AAGCACCATGATCATCTTAGTGCTGCTGACTCTGACAGAATTATCAGAGCTTGCGTAATGATATAGCTCAACGTATTTGGGAAAGTGCACGGTTTTAGTCTGGCCATGTTGCAGCTTTCCGTCAAACAAGTTGGTGTGGTTGAAGGTGATAGAGACGGTGGTGTCGTCATAGAGAGCAGTAATCTGAAGCGTGTTGGATGGGTCTTGTGGATGGTAGTAGGCAACATTCTCTGGAAATGCAGTGATGAAGTCTTTTCCATAGCTCTCCACTGACAGCCCTGTCAAAATATAAGTTCATTCTTTCTGCATGGAGTATATAGTTAGGAAACATGTCATGTTTTTTTTTTTCTGGGAATAAGATTTCTAAAGGAGCTGTTGGCATGTTATTTAACAAGGTTTTTGTAAAAACCCAAATCATTTAAACATAAAAATAAAACCAAACAAAAAAATTTGAAATTATTTTTACGTCTAATTACAATAGAACGACACAAGGAGTAAGTACTGAACAACCGAATCTTATTTAATTCTTTTTTTTTTTGTTTTTTTTTTGTAATGGCAGCTTAAAAGTGCCTCTCATATGGGGAATGAAGTCACATGCATTGCTCCAGTGAGAGTTTTTCAACAGAGTGTAAAAATGTTGATGGTTCTGTGGGTCTCGTCTATCAAATCTGATTGTTAATTTGTAACTTATATTGGATTAAAGTCAGGTGATTGGCTGGGCCATTCCACAGCTTGATTTCTCTCTCTGGAAGCAGTTAAGAGTTTCCTTGGCTGTGTAGTGTTATGTAGATGTTCGACTGAAGCTGCTAATACTAATTTACAATGACGAGTGCCACCGGGTTGCTGAAGAATACTGAGAGATTTCAGCTGCTGCCTGGGCTTTCACTGCCTTTCTACACCTCCCTTTATTCATGTGTTCAATACTTTTTTCTGCGTCATTACATTTTATTAAATGTAACTTAGTTTGTAAACTAACTAATGTTGTTTTCTTTGCATATATGGATTTCTCTGGTTGTTGCAAAAATCAAAGTCAAGTGAACAGCACCTTCAGAAATATGTTTTCTGAGAAAAATAGGGATGTGTTGAATTCTTACTTCCCCCACTGTGTGTATATAAGCTGTGTATATATGATTCAATAAATACCGTACCGTGTCATTCATACCGAGGTATTACCGTACCGTGAAATTCTAATATCGTTACATCCCTAATATATATATATATATATATATATATTTATTTATTTATTTTATTATAATTATATAAATACACACTCATATATATATATATATATATATATATATGTATATATATATATATATATATGTTATGTCAGATTATCATTTAATAGCGTTTATTTGGTAAGAAGCTGTGTTTTAAGAAGGAGATGGGGGAAAACTCTTTAATACTTTTAATGCAGTACTCTGTATTGCAGTAGAAATCAAAACAATTGTAAAACTAACCTACATACTAATAAAAGCAATGATATTCATACTATATTTCATGACTGTGCAAACTTTGGATTCAAATATGTGCAAAAAAAGAGATTAATTTACCTTGGCAAACCAATGATGAGAAGAGAAGAACAAACAACATCGCTGTCACACTGCAGATTTCAGCTCTGACACGACCAAACTACAAAAATGAGACAATTAAAAATGAGATAATGACCAGTTAATGCTTTTCTTCTTTTTTTTTTTTTGTTATAACAGCTTGATTCAAAAGGGTTTGTTGTTGTCTTCATTATTTTTTGTAATTGAAAGAATATAAAGAATTTGAAGCTGTGAGACTTACATTTCTTTAGAAATTATTCTAATTATAATAATCATCTGCTCATGTTGACTTCGTCAAAATATATATACCTCAAACAAAGCAATATGACCTTGATGTTACATCTATGAGTGCCACACAGATTATGAAGCTATAATGTTTATAATTTATCATCACATATGGAACGTTTCATTACTTTTTCTTTTAGATTTTTCAACAAACACATACATAAAGGCAGCATCTAACACACTGTAATGACCAATAAGACTTACCTGATGCTTCAAGGCCAAAGGTCTTCCACTTTCTGAGTGAAATAATCTTCATTCATGTGTTTTTCCAGCAAGATTGGCCTGTTTTGCATTCAAATCTCATTTAGTGTCAACACATACGTTTGCATAATGATCTGTTGACATGTGGCTATTTGTCATATAACACATGCTGTATATTCTTACAGCTCAGTCATTAATCAAGGAAAACGATGCATGAAGGATGTGTGAGGTCTGCACATTTATTAAACAGCACAACTCTAAATATATACACGTGTATACAAATATGAAGATGCTACAAATGACTGAGTTTTAGATCATTTAGTTTAATATTTTTGGTACTGTTTTCAAAATTTGTTCTAAGATGTGTTTTAATGCTCATTTAACTATTTGTTTAAAATAGGTTTTTCCTTTGTTTGTTTGAAAATTCAACACCAACCACTTTAGTTGTCATCAGCTCTCTGGATCTGCCATTAGTAGGAGCATGTCTTAAAGTCACATTTTTATTTGCAGCATTATGTAGTTATGGTAATGATTTCCCTAGAATGGAGCATCTAAACTGAGGCTTTTATATAAAGTCTGAATTATTATATTTAGGCAATACTTTGGGTTATGGTGTGTTATAATTAAATTGATTTATTTTTACATTCTTCTTCTTCTTATTATTATTATTATTATTATTAATTATAATACAAATTAGTTCATTTTTATTTATTTATTTATTTATTCTTTAAAATATTTACTAATTAGTTTTAAGATAATTTATTGATTTATTTATTTTATTGTTTTCTTTTATATATATATTTATTTATTGAGTTTTGCATTTACAATTTAAAGCAGTACATTACCTCTTCTCTACCACAACACTGAAAAAAAACATATATATTGTTCCAGACTTTCAGAGTTGACAGTGATAAAACAGTGTAGCCTATTCAGTCCATATGTTATCATTTAATATGAGAGCTTCTTACTTTTTTCTCTCTTTTTAGCATGGCTAAAATGGGCAATGTCTGTAGGGCTTTTTTAAATGTTGTCAATAATAGTTAAAATGTTATAATAATAATAATAATAATAATAATAGTAATAATAATAATAACAATAATAATAATAATAGATTAATAATAAAATTAAATAAAAAACTAAAATCTTTTTTTGTTTTACTTTATATAAACTACTGATAAAGTTCAAATTGATCAAAGTATTAGAACATGGAATATTTTTTATTGACCTGTTATTATTTTACCTAAATAAAAAAATGTATGTATAATATTTATTTCAGTGTATATATATATATATATATATATATATATATATATATATATATATATATATATATATATATATATATATATATACACTGCCAGTCAAAAGTTTGGGGTCAGTTTTTTTCATGTTTTTTAAAGAAAATTATTCTGTTCATCAACATTTATTCATCAACATATATCCCATCAGGTGAAGTTTTTTTTCCCTCTCCGCTGTCGCCACTGCCTCGCATGGTTCAGGATTGGTAGATCTACGCATCGATGAATTTGCTCTTCAGTGTTTGAACTCTCAGTAATGATTAAATCACACTGAACTGAGCTAAACTGAACTGAACTTAAACACTAAAACCTGAACCACACTGTTCCAGTTACTGAACCGCACTGTTCCAGTTACTATGACCATTTATGTGAAGCTGCTTTGACACAATCTACATTGTAAAAGCGCTATACAAATAAAGCTGAATTGAATTGAATTTATTAAATGTAATTTTTTTTTAATATTTATTAAAATTTTAAACAACTGCTTTCTTATTGTACTCCAGCCATTATTACTATTACTATTATTATTAATAATATTTATTACTTTTATTAATATTATAGTGATTGGATCATGTGACTGAAGACTGGAGTTGTGAAGCTGAAAATTGCTGTTTAAAATCACTGGAGTTAATGATTAAATTAAATGACAAACTTTGTACTTTTACACAGTTCTTTTATAATGCTGTAATATTTCACAATTTTACCATTGTACTGTATTTATGATTAAATAAATGCAGCCTTAGAGAGCAGAATAAGCTTATTTTAAAACATTTAAAAATCCTACTGACCCCAAAACTATTGACCGGTAGTGTATTTCAAACACAGACATCGAATCCAAAGAACTGATAGTAAATCTGTTTACAAAGCTTCAGTATACTGAAAATATACAGTGCTAATAATGGCACATGTATGTATATATATATATATATATATATATATATATATATATATATATATATATATATATATATATATATATATCAATGTTTAAACAATGTAATGATTTCGAGTATATGATCTTGCCTACATACAGTATTCTTGGTTATATTTACTCTCCCTCAAGTTGTTTCAAACCAGTTTGTATATTCCGTTTAACTCAAAAGAAGATATTTGGAACAAAGTTGAAAATCGGTAACCATTGGCTTTCCTACAGAGCCTTTTCACATTTCCAGGTTTCTCAGTAGCGGAAGTCATCATAGTTGGGAAAACTTGGATGGAATACAACAAATAATCTTTTACAATCTTATTTGCTCAAAGAATAAAAGAAAAACTCTACAATGATGTTATAGAGACATTTGAAAAAAGGGAAAAAATTGGGTGAGACTGATAACCGCAGACAGAGGATAGAATAACGTCAAATTTACTGTCCTGTCCTATAGACAATGCATTAGAAACGCCTCGCACAAGTGGTTATTCATTTTTTTGAATTTTTGAAGCAAATATGATATAATACATACATAAATACATATAAATGTTCATACGTTTAAAAAAAATCTAAATATTTAAACTTTCAAGGATTTAAGATGCTGATGATTGTTTAAATGATCCACAGCAGGCTTGTGAAAAGGGTCCATTAAGAAAAACAACACTATGGAAGTCAATGGTTACAGGTTTCAATCATTCTTCAAAATATCTTATGTTGTGTTATTTTGAAAGTCAAACAGGTTTGAAGTGCATAAAGGGCGAGTAAATGATGAGAGAATATTCTGTTTTGCGTGAACTACCTTTAAGTTTATATAATAGTATTAATACAGCATTTATCAGTGTAAAATGTAAATAAACCAAAATCTCCTTATATGTCTATTTTTTGCCATCACTTTGATGATCATTATTATTACTACTATTAGCTGACAAGCTGCTATCTGAGATAGAAAAGTACAGAGGGAAGTACGTGGCCCTTGTATAGCAGAGAGACTTGAGCAGACTACAACACTGCATGTTTTCCCACTGGAAACCCATGCTTGAGTTTGGGAAAAGTGAAACACACATTCCCTCCACGGGATCCCGAGGCTCCCCTCTGCCCCACTGTGTGTAAACCAGCTCATGTTCAATTTTACCCATCTGCCGGTACCAGTCTAATGTCAGCAAACTGCGCCGCAATCCGATCCACAATGAGTCCTTTACATCTTCACCGTTCAGAAAGTTGACCATCTCCACATGGGCCGCTTTGTTGCTTGGAGTGAAAAGTTCATCACTTACATCCAAACAGTTTTGATGGGATTCAGGCCAGGTTTGATGTGTAGAGACGATTTTAAATCTTGAAGGAAACATCGCACAGCCTAGAGGATCTAAATGCACACAGAAATAACAAGGTTTCAGAGTGTGGAAACACATTAGGCTGCAATAAATTCAGTAGAGTCTACTGCCAAATTTCAGTGCATTTCTTTGTAATTAATTGAAAATTTGCTAACAGTTTCCACATTAAACACTTTCAGTGTTCAGTTATCAGCCGCGCCAACTAAACCGTGAGACAAAAATACAATAGTCTAAATAATAATAATAATAGTTCTTTACATTTATATAGCGCTTTTCTAGACATTCAAAGCGCTTTACACATAGGGGGAATCTCTTCAACCACCACCAGTGTGCAGCATCCACCTGGATAATGCTACTGCAGCCATATTGCGCCAGACGGAACACCACACACTACTGATTGGTGGAGAGGAGACTGAAATAAGTGATGAAGACAATAATGATATGGGGATGGTTAGGAGGCCATGATGGACGGAGGGCAAATTTGGCCAGGACACCACGGTTGAACTTCTACACTTTTATACAAAGAACATCATGGGATTTTTAATGACCACAGATAGTTTAACGTCTCATCTGAAAGACAGGGTTTGACATTAGCACCCGCCAATCTGCCAAATCTGGGTAGATTTCACCTGTGGCGGGTTAGACAGACACCCCAACTAGCCACTGGTTGAAAATAATTTTTAAATTGGCAGTGCTGCCTCGTCACTAAAGATTAGAATTATAGTTAAGGCCGTTTGTCAATAATGTGATCTTAGAATCGAGAAGCAGCACGATTAATAAGTGTTCAGGCAAGCAAAAGAAAGCAGGCGTATACCAATTGAGAGGATGATCAGGCGCACGGAGGTCCTTGCTCACTGACTAGTGTCGTGCGCAGAGCTGATTTGATGCACGCCTTTTTGAGTGCCTAGGTCCCGTGTCTCGTTTTCTTGTGCAAAGCAACCGTGACTGGAAACGCAGCTGACTCGGTCATTTCTCTTTGAAATAGACTGGAAAAAGCGGTGCTCATGCAACCACAGTCCTGCTGCTTTCAAGAGCTTGAGATTTTTTGTAAGCAGCAGCAGTTGCCCTTTTAGCTTTGACCATTCTTTAACAGATTATTAATATGCCTAACTTTCACAGAATATTTTCACCGGCTTTCTTTTGCTTGCAGTTTTTTTAATATATTTTTTTTATTATGGTTTATTATCATCCTCTACAATTACATTGCTTTAATAGGAGATTAATCTTCTATTTATCTATAGTTACCTGGTGATCTAGGACCTTTAGCCTGGACAGACTACCGTGTATAATTTTAGATACGTGAGAATAAAATTTTTAATAGTTTTTTTAAGAACATTTTTGTAGAATAAAAAAGTTATATATTTGCTTGTTTGAACACATTATTTAAAATTAGTGGCAAGGAAATAATTAGTTTGGTATGGCCAGAGAAAGAAAAAAGGTAAATCCTTAGTGTTGAGCCCTAAAAGGTGAATATAAACAGTGAAATGTGAAATAAAACTAATTGCAATGAAACACAAAGCCCATTTGCACATGCTCATTAAGCAAGGTCTTAACACAAAAAACTTAAATTAACAAGGAGGCATGTGGATATAACACAACCCAGGGAACAAAAGATTCTGGCCCTGATTTGGCATAAATCTGGCACAGCAGACAATCATTCGGCACTGGCATACAGCATGTGGGCCAAACATGGCCCTGGTTTGGCCGAGGTGGCACCATCTTTAAGGCCGCACACAATATTTGGGCCAGATGTAAAATGTAGTATTTGGCCCAGATGTTAATAATTATTATGTGGGCCATGTAAATTTTCTTGACCCACGTTTAAAATACTTTTTTTTTATTTTCACATAAAGAAATTAAATTCTACAATCAGAAAAAGCACCCCTATAGCCCGCCTAAAGCGCGAGGATTTATGGGTTTATCAATTTCATTGTAGTCGTGACAAATCAACATATCTGGCCCAGTTCAGGCTCAGTTATGGGTTATTAACCTGGCTGAAACTTGACCCAGATATGGTCTGTGTTTGGCCCTTGTCTGGAAGCCAGACTTGGGCCAGTCATGTACCGTAATTCACTGCAGCATATGGGCCAAGTAAAAGCTGATTAAGCGGGCCAGAGCTGGGCCAGAGATATTTTGCTATGTGGAAACATCTATATCAAGTAATTTTAGCATGCCAAAGTCAAATTTATGCATATGAAATATATTTTCCTAAAAACAAATGGCTAGTGAAAATGGCGAGTGGCTAGTAACGTTGAAAAACTACTAACACGTCCAAATAATGGATTCAATCTTTTTGTCAGCTTGTTTAATTTCAGTTCATACTTGTCCAGATTAGCTTTTTTGGAATGAATTGCTCACAGGTATCATGTAAGAAATGATGCTAAAATTGGAATAAACAAATATGATTCTCACCTGGCTTTGCGCTCAAACATATGGCTGAGCCTTCATATATATTGGTGCTCTTCTCAAACACAAACACAGCGATCAGTGTGGATGGATGCCAAATAACATGCGTGTCATCTAAAGGCACCAAAACCCATGAGTACTGGGAATCAGCGATGTCGCTCCATTGAGTGGATGAAAGCAGATCCCCATCCACATACACACTATTCCTGGATTCTGTCTCTGCAATCACAAGGGCCTGAGCTTCGTCTGAGGTAACGTGCACTAGATAGCAAGCGGAAAATTTGAAATAAGGGATGGTTTCAATGATGAAGCCTGGACCGATGAGCTTGAGGGACGCAAGAGCAGTGGTGTTGACGAACAAGGGGTTTGACTGTAAAGTTGGCAGTGAATTGGAAGTATTGGTCAGCCCGGATGTCACATGGAGCCAAGCGTTGCTTATACTGGCTATTGAGGGTACAACAAACACACTATCAAACTGACTTTTTGGAATAACTTGGTTTAACATCATGTTGCATCTGCATTCTGCCGTTTCGACGCAAGGATGGGTCAACATCACGAGCGCTAAAACGTTAGAAGAAACTGAGATTTCTGTCCCGTCCATCTGGAGCTGAAGAGCGTCACCATTTCCAATTATGTAATTCAGTGTTGTGGTCGTTTTTTGGATCTTGAAAGAACCAGTACCCAAATCTGCGTTAATAATAACCAGTCTGAAGGAGCTGTACCGCTTGCTGACGTTGCTCATCGACGGAAGGAAAGTGCTAATCATCTGGGTGTAATTCAGAGGGGGGAGGTTAAAATAAGTTCCAGTGTTTTTCTGAGGCTGAACGACATTAGTTTGCACACTATCCCCTCGCTGACTGATCGACTGCACCACAATGTAATCACTGCTGGTGATTGTGACGGTGCGTGAAGTTAGACCGAATCTGTATTCCTCCACTTCCGCTGGAAGGGCGATGTTTTGGGTTTTTCCAGGCGTCAGTGATGTCGTGTATGACCAGCTGCTGTCTTGGACAGTGACCGTCACTGTGGCTTTCTCGACGACAGCGGTGATATTAAGAGAGTTGACTGGATCTACTGGATAGTAGAAGGCAATGTTCTCTGGGAAGAGTGTGATGAATTTCATCCCCATTTCGTTCCATGACAGGCCTGCAGAGTGATTGATTAGGAGTTATTGTTGTCATGAAAATGCTTTTTCATAACATTCTGGAAGATTTTAAAAAATGACATTTCAATATCTTTTGTAAGACTTAAGCATAAATCTAATCTGCCTAATAATCAGGAGGTATCTAAAGTTGAGGCATTTGCTCACAAATGTCTTTGGCTTCCCTTTCAATTCTCCTAAGGGTAAAAATATTGAAAACATCTCCACAATATTATAGGCAGTGTTAGGGGTAACGCTCTATAAGTAACGTGCGTTACATAATACTACTCTTCCAAAGTAACGATTAAAAAACCGCAATATTATTTGAGTTACATTTTTTAAAAAAGTAATGCGAGATACTTTAATACCTTGCTTAAGTGAAGTTTTTTTATAAACTAATTTCAAGAGGATCATGTGCTTATGATTGCTTGCGGCAGGTCTCGCATTATCCAATTTATGATTCACCAATTAAATGATTTCTAAGCCACTATAAATACCCTAAGTTTCATATCACAGCCACCTTTGTTTTGAAGAATCCGCCCATACTCATCCTCCTTTCCTTGATGAATGGCATGGTAGCCCAGTGGTTAGCACTGTAGCCTCACAGCAAGAACGTCTCTGGTTCTAGTCCTTACCAAGCCAGCTGATGTTTCTGTGCGGAGTTTACACGTTCTCCCCGTGCTCACGTGGGTTTCCCCCAGGTTCCCTGGTTTCCTCTCACCATCCAAAACCATGCAACTTAAGTTAATCGACTAATCCAAATCCAACCCAAGGTCAGTCTGAAAACGTAGTCCCGCAGACGTTTCTGGAAACAGCGGAATACGTCTGGGGGGTACATACGGCCGCGTTAATTTTTTTCGAGCGAGCGCTGCGGGACGGTGTGGTGTGACGCTGTTCTCTTTCGCGCTTGCCGGTCGACTGCTTACCTCCTTGTGGAGGGCTTTCCCGCTGCAACCCGTTTGTCCACTCAGCTCATCGTGTACGTCGGCAGGCTCGAGATGCAGAGAGGAGTCTACCACGGTGACCGGTTTCGAGTCCGGGGAAGAGCGGTTCCAGCAATCAGGTAAGACAAAAACATAATCCCAAAAATTAAGTGAACGAGTTTCATGACAGGGTGAGAACGTGGCGAAATCCAAAAACGTGGTAGAAAAATAAAATCAGGGCTTTTATTTTTTTGGACGGCTTTTGTAAACTGTTGCTCGGGCTTAGGGAAGCGAGCGGCCGGGCGGGTCGATCGGTAAAATTGGTTGGGTTCAGGGAAGGAGGAGGGCAGGTCGGCCGATTGGCCGGTCGGAGAGCGGCCTCTGGTGGGTTCACACGAGAACAGCGCGGGCGCAAACCGTACTCGCGAGAGGCGTCTGAGGTGCGAAAAAGCGCACAACATCAGCCTCTCGTGGATTCGCAAAAACAAAAACTGCAGCTGTACGTACCCACTGGGACGTATTCCGAGGTCTTCAGAAATGTCCGCGGGACTACGTTTCCACAATGAGCCTGGGTTGTCCAAATCGGCACCAAAGACATGCTCGTAGTAAGAGTACATTAGCTTCTACAGCAGGGGAGTTCTCGAGATCTACTTGAGCTCAAACTCCCCTCTCGCCTTGCAAACGGGAGGGAGCCCTGAGCTTGAGGATCTTATGAGCTCAGGGCTTTCTCCCGGGACAGCATGCCAAACAAGCTTTATAATTAATCATCAGCTAAGTGTGAACTCTTGAATTGGCTTTTACAAAATATATTGCGGAATAAAAATGACCTCAGTCAGGTTGAATCACACACTCAATGAGAGAGCGTGCTGCGAGGGAGCAGACAGTCAGCCCACACTCATCATCATCATAAGATCTCCATTTTACAGCATGCAGCTGAGTCAATGTGCTGATCTAATTCAATCTACTAACTGACTAAGTGTTTTACTAACTGATATGGGTTTATTTAGAGTCAGAGGGAAGTCAGGAGACTTTTTGCAATGGATTCTTGTTATTTCTCATGCTGTGTTCACACCAGACGTGGCACACATGGATAAATCGTGCTATTAGAGCGTAAATAGACGCGTGAACACTTGAGTTTACTCGCTTCATTCGTGTGTCAAATTCACTTCACAAAAGATGTGACTCTTGCAAAATGGCTACATGGATTTTATTAAGAGAAATGCTGTTCTCATGTGCTTTTATGAAGGCTGAAAAACAGTGTTAATTTATTTGGAGTCCGCTAGATCCATTCAGAGATGCAAACTATTCCTGCATGATGGAAGCTTTCAGCGGTGATTCTGACTAAGCCAGCCCAGTTTAAAGAATTTTTTTTTTCTCCGGGACACTAACAACAGGCACTATGTCATAATCACTCCCCTACAAGACAAAGCTCATGATTGCACTGTAAAAAATCTGTAAATTTTACAGTTTATTTCTGCTAGCTGGGGTGCCGGAGAAAAACGTTAAAAAAAAACGGCCGTTAATTTTACTGAAATTTACAGTAGAATAACAGAGTTGCAGAAATCACCAGAAATAAAGATTTAAGGAAATTTCTGTAATTTAATGTCCGTTATTTTACAGTAAATTTCTGTAATTTAACAGCCGTTATTTAACTTTTTTTTCTGGCACCCCAGCTGCCGGAAATAAACTGTAAAATTACAGATTTTGTTTACAGTTTGGTTAACGTGGTGCGAAAGTCCACTAAAATTCAGATTTTAAAACTTGAGCAATTTGCGTTAAATAGGATGTCTACTCTTGTCTTTGCATTGACTTAACATTGTACAGTTGAAGTCAGAATTATTAGCACACTTTCAAATTTTTTTCTTTTTAAAAAATTTCTCAATTGATGTTTAACAGAGCAAGAATAATTTCACAGTATGTCTGATAATATTTTTTTCCTTCTGGAGAAACTCTTATTTGTTTTATTTTGGCTAGAATAAAAGCAGTTTTTAATTTTTTTAAAAGCCATTTTATGGTCAAAATTATTAGCCCCTTTATGCTAATTATTTTTTCGATATATACAGAAACTTGCCTAATTACCCTAACCTGCCTAGTTAGGCTAATTAACCCAGTTCAGTCTTTAAATGTATAGAATAGCTGTATAGAAGTGTCATGAAAAATATCTAGTCAAATATAATGTACTGTCATCATGACAGGTTAAATAAATCAGTTATTAGAAATTAGTTATTAAAACTATTATGTTTAGAAATCTGCTTTCTGTTAAACAGAAATTGGGGGAAAAATAAACAGGGGGCTAATAATTCAGGGAGGGGGGCTAATAATTCAGGGAGGGGGGGGGTAATAATTCAGACTTAAACTGTAAATCACCTACGCTAAATAGAACGCAAAATTTTTAAATAATAAATAATTATTCACTGTATTTTGAAGAACCCATGATATCAATATTGCATGTTCATTATTATAATATACTAAAATATTGAATATCGGCTAATATCTAATCATGACAAATGAATTGAAAGAACTAATGACACACTGCTCACCTTGACCAATCATAACAGCGATCAGAAGAACTGTCAGCATGACTTCTGTCCTGATTGTAGTCAGTAATCTGACAAAGAGAACATAAAGACCATGAAGACGTTAGTTTCATAACTGCATTCAAAATATAGTAGTTGTAATTTTTATATTAATAATAATTATATAATGACTTTACTTGGAGGGGCACATCATCATTAACCTATTTTTAACTACTCATGAACTCCTTATGCACATCCGTCTAGTGCGTTTACACTGAATAACAATACAAAAGTGCTCTGTTGACATTAACATGAACAGTTTAAACACAGGAGTTCATGAGTAGATGAGTTAATGGTGATATGCCCCTCCAAGTAAAGTCATGACAAAACTATACATTAACAGCTCATGAGTTCATGCTGGTTACATTTAGCTTAAACTTAAATGGTAATTACATTAACTAACAATCATGTACTAAGTAATTAAAGTAGCCGTTATTCACACATGTAACTCATGTTGTAGTTAAAGCTAGTTCATGATTAGCGCATGTATTAACTTATCATTAAGTTGTTATTAGTTTTGTTTATAATAATTCATCATTATTCACGTCCTGTTATTGTAAAGTGTTACGATAAATTGTAATAAAATAGATAAGATTAAAGAATTAGGTCAACAGATTTTTTTCTTCAATTAATAAATTCAATAATTTATGTTTTCGTGACTTTACATTTGTCATTAATTTGAGTAAATGTTTGTTTTAAACATACTAAATTTAAACCCTAAAACTACCATGACCCTAAATCTGTCATCACTAACAATTAATTACATTACATAGATAATAATAAAGAATTTAAGTCAAGTTTTTTCATACTTTATTGGTCACATCAATAATGTATGATTATTTCCCTCATTCAAACCGTTAAACACGCTGATATTAAGCAGACAGTCTACTAATAATATGGACCATCAAAAAACAATGTTACAAGCAACACGCTTGATCCCTTAACTGTATGATTAGTAGTTTTGGGAAAATATAAACATGTTTCTATCAAATTTAATTGCAAAAGGATTATAAAGTATTCTAAGAATTAATACATTGTAATAAAATAGATATGATTAAATAATGGATATGATTAAATAATGGAGTTTTTTTCTTTAAATTTGAAATTTAATAATTTAAGTTTTCATGACTTTAAATTAATCATTTATTTAAGTAAATGTTTATTTTAAACATACTAAATTTAAATCTTAAAATTGCCATGACCCTAAAAGCTGTCATCACTAACAATTAATTACAATAATTCATTTTTATTATTATTCATTTTTATTATAATTAATGCATTTCTTTTAAAACTTGGGAAAACTCACAAAATCTTAAATAAGTTTACATAACTTTACAAATTAAAATAAAAAAAGTTTGGATTTTATTTTACATTTACTAAATTTAAACATCCTTGTCATGACCATAAATCTGCAACCACTGTAACGATGTTAGATTGAAATTACCATGCATGATTAACTTAATAATATGAAGAAAGCGCATGAGGAGTCAGAAGTAATCACTTTGTGCACAAAGCATGACTAGTGATGAAAATGTAAATGCAGCCATATAATTGTTAATGTATAATAATAATTTACATCATTATGTTATAGTTTGATATCTAAAGGATTTATGAAGATTGTATTTAAGCAGGAACCAACAAAAACTTTTAAATCGTTTTACACGCCACATTTCATCTTAACATTTTTTGTTGTTTAAGAGTAAAGGCTACAAACATAAAAAAGCCATATATATATACATACATATACATATATATATATATACATATATATATATATATATATATATATATATATATATATATATATATGTATGATTTTTTTAATTGTTTTTATGAGTATTAATAATACACACTTATTTTTATCCAATATACAGAGTCTTAATTATCATTAAATCACCCTTGAAAACTGATATTTAAATAAATAAAGCCTACTAATGTACAATCAATAAATGTGGCTATTCTTCATTTGGGCTTGCATCAAATGTGTAAGTATCATGTAGAAATATTCTTACCTGATAAGTGTATCACAGCCTTCTCACTGAACCGGAACGCATCGGTGTTGTGTTTTATTTATAGCACAGTATATTTGTCATTCAAAATGAATGCTTTATTTACAGCTTTGCATAAACTGCCTCAAACCTTGGGTAATCAAGCTAGTGCATGTCAGAGTTCCCTCAGATGAGGTATAACCACCATATACACACCCTGATGATTCACGGCACACACACTCATTCTCATTTCAATAAATAAACTTTCTTTGTTTGATCTGCAACAAAAACAAACATGCAAAGTAACACTATAGTTACAAAAAAAAAAAAAAAAAACTTGACACACAAATAAAAACACCCTGGTGGCCTTAAATTTTTAAAACTGAATAAAATGAACCTTATGAGAACTTATATTATATTAAACTCTCTTAAAACAACTTGTGTAACTCATAAAATTAAGTTATAACATGATTACCTTAGTTTAATAAGTTATAATTAACTAAAAGCATATGTAGTCATGCCTAATTGCAGAAGTATTTTGTGTTTTCAGGATTCTTTGAACTATTTTTTGAGAATGAAATATTTAGTGAACATATAATATTGTAAACACAGCCAAAGAAAAACACATGAAATTTCTCAGAGTGAAGTTTATTTATAAACTAATTTCGAGAGGAGCACCCGCTTATGCTTGATAGCAGCTGGTCCTCATTAGCTAACCCATGATTTACCAATCAGACGATTCCTAAATCTCTATAAATAACCAGAGTATCTTACCTTAGCCATCTTGGTTTCACCCCTACTCCTCCCCTTTCCTTGTCAGGGCAGCACGGAGGCCCAATGGTTAGCATTTTTGCCTCACAGCAAGAATGTCACTGTCTCAGATCTTACCTGGCCAAGTCAGCATATTTGTGTGGAGTTTGCCCCAGGCTTGAGGATCTCACAAGCTCAGGGCTCTCTCCCCCGGGACAGCATGCCAACAATGCATTATAATCAATCATCAGCTAAGGGCAAACTCTTGAATTATTATGATTTACAGCTATGTGTCTGAATAAAATATGATTTTTGCTATGTTCTCCTGATTACTGATAGTATTTATTGTACAAAAATGATTCTGCCATTTACAGCGTAAAATGAACACTGGTCAAAATAAAAAAGGTTATATTATTTCAGACAGGTTTACATACATTTTTAGATGACACAATCCAATGCAAAATCCATATTTTGTGAAATAGCTTAGATTTGTTTCTCATAATAATATTTGTTTTGAACAATTGAGATTTTACCCAAATAAAAAAATGCATCTCTCTAAATGACAATAATTTATTATTATTATTTAAGTTACCAGACCTTTATACAAATATATGCTCACCGGCCACTTTATTAGCTACATATTTGGCTTCAGAACTGCCTTAATGCATCATGGTGTAGATTCAACAAGGTACTAGAAATATTCCTCAGGGATTTTGGTCAATACTGACATGATAGCATCACGCAGTTGCTGCAGATTTGTCGGCTGCACATCCATGATGTGAATCTCCCGTTCCACCACATCCCAAAAGTGCTCTATTGGATTGAGATCTGGTGACTGTGGAGGCCATTTGAGTACAGTGAACTCATTCAAGAAACCAGTCTGAGATGATTCACGCTTTTAAACGTGACACGTTATCCTGCTGGATGTATCCATCAGAAGATGGGTAAACTGTGATCATAAAAGGATGGACATGGTCAGCAACAATTCTCAGGTAGGCTGTGGCGCTGACATGATGCTTAACTGGTACTAATATAAGCCCAAATTGTGCCAAGAAAATATCCCCCACACCATTACACCACCATCAGCCGCCTGAACCATTGATACAAGGCAGGATGGATCTATGTTGTTGATGTCAAATTCTGACCCTACCATCCGAATGTCGCAGCAGAAATCGAGACTCATCAGACCAATGATTCCAATCTTCTATTGTCTAATTTTGGTGAGCCTGTGAGAATTGTAGCCTCAGTTTCTTGTTCTTAGCTGACATGAGTGGCGGCACCCAGTGTGGTCTTCTGCTGCTGTTGGCCATCCGTCTCAAGGTTGGACGTGTTGTACATTCAGAGATGCTCTTCTGCATACCTCAGTAGTAACAAGTAAGTTATTGTTGCCTCAAACCAGTCTGGCCATTCTCCTCTGACCTCTGGCATCAACAAGGCATTTGCACCCACAGAACTGCCGCTCACTGGATATTTTCTCTTATTCTGACCATTCTCTGTAAACCCTAGAGACGGTTGTGCGTGAAAATCCCAGTAGATCAACAGTTTCTGAAATACCCAGACCAGCCCGTCTGGCACCAACAAACATCCCTGCTGAAAAATCCAGCTTAAACCAGCCTAAGCTGGTTGGCTGGTTTTAGCTGGATTTTTCAGCAGGGATGCCACGTTCAAAGTCACTTTAATCACCTTTCTTCCCCATTCTGATGCTCAGTTTGCAGCAGATAGTCTTGACCATGTCTACATACCTACATTTATTGAGTTCCTGCCATGCGATTGACTGATTAGATTTTTGTGTTAAAAGGCAGTTGAACAGGTGTACCTAATAAAGTGGCCAGGGAGTGAATCTAGCGTGTGTGTGTGTGTGTGTGTGTGTGTGTGTGTGTGTGTGTGTGTGTGTGTGTGTGTGTATATATGTATATATATATATATATATATACATATATATATATATATATAGAGAGAGAGAGAGAGAGAGAGAGAGAGAGAGAGAGAGAGAGAGAGAACATCTGAAGTGTTTCATCAAAGTTTTTCATTGTTGTTCAAAAGTCAAAAATAGGTGTTGCTCAATAGTTTTAGGACAACTTTGATCCTCTTTATGTTGACTGACAACTGTACAAACCTTTACAAAACAACACGCCTAGACACCCAGTACACTTCAATGAATTAAAAAGCATTTCTTTCCCATGTATATTTTAACCTATATGAGTATTTATAAACTATAAAACGATCGCCTGATCCAGTCTGGGGTGTTTATTTACTTGCTATGTCTCCATGACAGTGTTGTTGGGAAGGTTTCGTTTCGTGGTAAGCTGAACGTCACGGTCCTGTACGTAAGTTTCGCTTTCCGACTGTTTTATATAATGAGATCTGTGGCTCATATATTCACATTCATGCAGAGCACAGACACCTCACCTACATTCATCTTCCCGTCTACTGTGAGTTTCTTATTACTTCTCTAGTTACTTTTGGAGTATTGTGTCCGAATTATGTTTGTATTAGGAGCAATACAGCCTGTTATCAGATATCAGGAATTATGGAGTTGTTTTTTTAAGAGCGTCTGTATTTGCATATTAATACCGCGACGGTTAAGAGTAAAATGGTCAATAATATCATGAAGGAAGTTGATCAGATCATCTAAAAATGCAGTAACTGAGGTTTTAATTGCATTAGGACAAAAATACTACATTATTATAATTTTTTGTAAAGCATTACTTTTTATGTTTAATTATTTTTGTGGCCCCTAAAATGTTGCTATTTTTGGAGATTTTAAGTTAGTCGAGAACATGTTTTTTTTTTTTTTTTTTTTGCTTTTCAGATATTGTTATTTTTATTTTACATTTAAAGCCTTTAAATCATTTTACCCATTTGATTGTTTACGACATGGGATGATATGCGGAAGATGACTTTCTTAACAACAGCAGTATGTTTATGTGCATGGTGATGCTGCATCAGCCAATGTGTTAATTATTAATGGAAAAAAGCTGAACATTCCTTTATTTACTTGACAAAACACAAAATGTAAAATTATACAATCTTTCTATTCCTACTACTGGGCTAAGATATAATAAAGTGTATAATAATGATTAATTATTAATAATAATTATATAACTGATGGCACAAATAGAATCCCTTTAAAATGTGCATTTTATATTCTGTAACATGAATATTGGTATCGTGAATTAGCAAGTTGCATGTTTCTAGCATGGTTAATTGTTGTTAGCATGAATTAACATTGGTCACGTTGCTAGCATGAAATTTGGTCTCATAGGAATTAAGTTTAATAGCAAACATTTTATGAACTATTATCCTTATTGTATGATTAATAATGTAATAAACAGATTTCAATAATAAAAACAATGTTTTCACAGCAATGACACATCTGCAGTGAGTGACACAACCTTTATCAACATGGGAGTCCAAGGACTGAAGACCTACATTGAAAGCAGCAGCAGGAATGATTTAAAGACCTGGGCTTTTAGAGACAAACAACTAATTATTGATGGATGCAATTTATTTTACTCACTGTGTTTTGACTCCAATCTGGATCAGATTCACGGAGGAGACTATGATACCTTTGAGAAAGTGGTCAGACAGTTCTTCGAGAACCTTTCAGCATGTGATGTTCACCCTTACGTTGTGATTGATGGCGGGGATGACCACACTGACAAAAAATGGGACACCCTCCTGACACGAAAACAGAAGAAAATAAAGGATGCCTATGACCTGTCTGTGGGGAAGAGACGGCAAGTCCTTCCTCTCCTTACTGAAAAGGTGTTCAAACAAGTCCTCAAGAAGCTCAAGGTACCGGTGGTGCAGACTCTCGAAGAGGCCGATTGGGAAATTGCAGCGTTGGCAGAAGAATGGAATTGTCCAGTTTTGTCCAACGACAGTGACTTCTACATATTCAACCTCAGGGCAGGACTCCTGCCAATCACACATTTCCACTGGAGAAAAGTGAGAGTGAACAGAAAAACAAACCAAAAATTTATCTTAAGCAAGCACTTCATCGCACGGAAATTCTGCAAATCCTTCAAAATGAACGTCAGCCTTCTTCCGGTCTTTGCTTCCATCTTGGGCAACGATTATGTGAAGCTCCCAAATATCAAGAACCGGCATTGGGAGAGGTACTCGAATCCTGGCTCAGAGAATCCCCAAATTGAAGGGCTACTTAACTGGTTGTCCCAGTTTTCAGGGCCAGACGAAGCTATAAGCGCTTTGCTGAGGCCAACAAGTAACAAAACCAAAGCCCAGGAAGAACTTTCCCACGGAATACAAGATTACAAGCTCGTCCCTGGTTCTCTTGCCCAAATATTTCGCTCAACTAAGGTTCCACAAAAAATCTCCAAAGGTCCTCTACACGTTCTGCCTAGATGGACTTTGAGACCCATACTTGATGGAAAGATGAGCTCCTACATTATCAATGTACTGCTACATAATAGAGCTTCCTTGAATGCCCAAGTTGAAGATTTCCAACTCCCAAGTGCCAATGAAACTTCTCTTCACATACGCCAAGTGTTTTACGGATTACTGCTGTTGGGGGAACAACAGACAGCAGGTAAACGAGAGTCAGTCAAGGGTACAACCAAACGCTATGTTGTTGAATATAGCAGACAGCAAATAAAACGAAGCAGTGAGAACGTCGAAGCCATACAGACGAAGGCGATGGAAGGACTTCGACTGGAAACATTGTACCAGGTAATAATGATGATTACTAGTAGTGATGGGTCGGTCTTGAAGGATTTGTTCAATTTGAATTAATCTTTTATGTGACTCAAGAACTATGAGTTCTCTCACGGAGTGTTTCGTTTATTTGCGCATACGCACATTTGTGTAGGTGGAGTAAAAGATTAGCTAATTTTTCGATTCCTCTATTAGGTTTGAGTCATTTGATCATCACGTGAAAGACAGAAGCCAATCATATGCAGTCCGAGCCAGAAAGAGATTTGATCCGTTCATCACTCAAGTCCTCCGTTTGAGTCATTCATTCATCATGTGAAAGACAGAAGCCAAGCATATGCATTTTGAGTTGGAAAAAGATTTGATCCGTTCATTTCTTGAGTCTTCGGTTTTGAGTCATCTCTTAACATACTGACATTGCATTGTACAGTAGTTTTCTAACTATGACTTATTTGTAGTGTGGTCAACATTTGGGCTAGTTGTAGATGTGTTTGGAAGCATCTCGTAACATTGTAATGTTGTTTTGGCAAATTGAACGAAATGACTCAAAATAAATGTGTTTATCTTGATGAAAGAGACTCAAAGGTCAGAGTCAATGATCTGGACGTCCCATCACTAATTCCTAGCATTCTCTCTCCTAAAGTGAAGTGCTTTGTTTTACAGTTTTCTGTCTTTCCAGGAGCCACATGCGGTGCGACTTCAGGTGATCCTGGACACTTTGGGCGTTTCGTGCGAGATGCTAAAAGGGACCCCAGATGCTCTACAGCTGCAGATGTTTGTGACGAGGTACTGGCTGGTAAACGCAGAGCCACAGCCGTGCCGAGTGCATCTTTGGGGGCTGCTACTGGGAATGGTTTATGGAAAGCTCAGCAGTTCACCTAATGCACAAAAAGGTAAGCATGCAATAAAGTAATCAAGCAACCTTAGGCAAATATAATATTACTGTGATAGGGTGCAACGGTTAACAAAGAGGCATGAGCAATGAGAAATGAGTATTAACCTAATGGATGAACAGGAGAGTGTTATGCCTCTTCCACTGAGTGGTACAGTTCAATACATATAATACTGTTCAGTACGGTACGGGTCAGCCTGATTAGGCTTGCGTTTCCTAACATTTCCCTTTGTTGATGGGAGTGGTGTATGGCAGTAAGAAGTGATTGATGTCATTCTCAATCCAAAAAGAAAACAGTTTGGGCCGTTCACGTTTATCATTTTCAATGTAGACACAAGCTTAGAAAGGAAACAATGCAGATCCAGTATCGCAGGGCTGTTAAACTTAGTTCCTAGAGGGCCGCAGCCCTGCTTCAGCAAACTTACCTGTAGCTAAATGGACTCAATTAGTTAGAGTCAGGTGTGTTTAATTAGGGTTGGACCTAAACTGTGCAGAACTTCAGCCCTCCAGGAACTGAGTTTGACAGCTGTGTATCAGGTCGTGAAAATAAAGCTACCGGGCTGCAAGAATGCAAAATTACTCTATATTTAATACCTTTTTACTGCAAGTTTCTCCTTTAAGAACCAATATCCATATTCGTGCATGTGTTTTCTTCGAAGGTACGCATACTGGCGCTACCATTCTGCATTTGTTTGCGTTAAAAACAATGTAAAGATGGGGCATGGCAATTTGGCTCAAGATTCTATGCTACACACTAAGATTCAGCGAATACAGCAAGAGTAGAAAGCAAACATCTCTCAGACGTTTCTTGCACTGTTACAGAGAAACAAGCTCAGTCCTCTAATTGAATATTAGTTACGAGTTGTATAGAGTAAATATTGAGTAAAAAATTTTATTAATGTAAACAAATTGTATTATTTGGTTTTAGTTTTGTTGTAAACAATTGTTATATATAAATCATTTCATATAAATCAAACTCTTGATACTTGAAGATACTTTGATAAAACTTCCAGTGTTATCAATTGCCTGGTTTGTTGCATGCGGCGGTGAAGATTCTTTGTAATCCAATCATGTTCAGTCTATTAAGGCCCAATCCCAATTGTATTTTTGTACCCCATCCCCTTGAAACAGAGTGTGAAGTGGAAGGGCTTTAAAATTTACCCCTGAGAAATGAGACGCAGCTTCAGCACCTGCACACGTCATCATATGTCATCATGATCTCTTGCTTCATATGAGATCGATGATCATGACTGCTGTAGTTATTCCAGTTGTGTTATTTTTTGGTATTTGTCTTCAGGAAATCACTGAAGGCCTATATCATGTTATTACAACGATATCATGTAGCAATAAGCTCTTAACTATACTGAACTATGCTCATTTACACAGTGGCCATATTAATCTATGTAAACAAACCAAAAACAACATTAACATTATAGCAGACACTGTAAAAAGCTCATTCCCAGCCACTAGAGTTTTTTAAAAGGCTATTCGAGCTTTATCGAGTGTCAGAATGTTGTGGGACTGCTGTACAGGAGTTATTATTATGGATAATAGATAGAGAAATTTAGCGGTTTTTATTATAGTGGGTTTTTTTTTAAAGCATGACAGTAAAACACGAATATGGTTAGGAATACATTAAAAGATGTGCTTGCTTGTTGTAAAAATTCTTAATAATGACAAAAAAATACTAATTTGTGCATCTCCTGACTTCCGTGAGCAGCCATGCCACCGTTGTAGATGGTGTATTCTGGGAAATTTTCTTACCCCTTGATTTTGAATATGGTTTTAAAAAATCTCAGTTTCAAGGGGTATCTAGCTCTTCCCCTTAGCCCTTCACCTTCAAGCTAAAGAGAATTGGGACACACCTACCCTTTCATGTGAACTAAGGGCTAAAGTTTAAAATTGGGCCTAAGTCTAGCTCCACCCTTTTTGGAACCATATTGTTGTACTATGTACCCTTATGAAAGAAAAGAAATAGTGATATGGTACGGTTTGACATTTTCAAGTTTATTTATTTATATAGTGATTTTCACAATCATTATTGTTCCAAAGTATTGTATCATATTTTGATACATCTGACAATGGACATACATACACACAGTACCATACTTTACCAAACATTATTGCTCAGTGGAAATAGGCCATTGATACATGTTTTGTTGTTTTTGGGGTTTAGACATGCTGTCGAGACTGAGAGTAAAAGCTAGCCGAAAAGGAGGCTCTGTGGATATTGATGTCGCTCATGCTTACAGCCAGTGGCAGTCCTGTCTGAAGTACAGCCTCAATCTCAACTATCTGCTGTCTTTTCCACTCACTGAACCAGACTGCGCAAGGTACATGCTTTTATTATTCATTTATTGGATAATATATTAGTGCAAATCCTGTTTCCTGACTGTAAATCTAATTTAAAATGTTATTTGCATGTGCCTTTCTTCTACAAAATATATTTGAAATATTAGACACTTCTGTGATTATAGAAAATTACATTCAAATTAGATTTCATGCAGACAAAGTCTCTGAGTGTGTTGTAAAAATACAGGGCGATTCAAAAAGCATACCACAACTTTGAAAATCTGTATTAAATCAAAGAAACATGATGGAACCTTGTGTAATTAATCAATGTGAAGAGTACTTCAAGTTTTTTTTTTCAGTGGAAAACAAGTTCATAGATGTTCAATATGACCCCCTCCAGACACTTGTGTGACTTCAACCCGATACTCGAACTCGTTCCACACTCTCTGTAGCATTTTGGGCATAACAGTTTAGATAGCTGCAGTTATTCCTTCCTTTAGTTCCTGTGAAACTTTAGAGCTTCCTTAAATCGACGACAAAAAGAGCTTAGCTCTCCTTTTCTCTTTATAGAGTTGAACTTGTTTGTTGAACTTGTTTGTTGAACTTGTTTTCTTCACTCGCCTATCGGTGAAGTTTTTTTCCCTCTCCGCTGTCGCCTCTAGCTTGGTTGATTTGGGATCGGTAGAGCTACCCATCGATGAATTTACTCTTCAGTGTTTAGGCTCTCAGTAATGATTTTAAACCACACTAAACTGAGCTAAACTGAACTGAACTTAAACACTAAAAACTGAACTACACTGTTCTAATTACTTTGACCATTTATGTGAAGCTGCTTTGACACTATCTACATTGTAAAAGTGCTATACAAATAAAGCTGAATTAAAAAAAAATTGAGTTCTTGATTTTCAAGGTTGTGGTATTCTTTTTGAATAACCCTGTATTTACAATAATACAGTAATTGTGTTTTCGATCACATTTCATGCAGACAGCAAATAATAATAATAATAATGTTGCAAAAATATTTCACAATATTACAGTAGTGTTTTTATCAAATAAATTCAGCCTTGGTAAAAAATATTGGACTTAAATAACAAGTTTTAATTTTTTTTAAATATGATCACATATTCTTTGAAATAATTGAATATGCACAGCTCAGAATAATTTTATCATTTCACTTGTTAATATGCTTACATACACACTCACCGGCCAGTTTATTAGGTACATCTTACTAGTACCGAGTTGGACCACTTTCGCCTTCAGAACTGCCTTAATGCTTCATGGTATAGATTCAACAAGGCACTGGAAATATTCCTCAGAGATTTTGGTATATATTGACATGATAGCATCACGCAGTTGCTGCAGATTTGTCAGCTGCACATCCATGATGCGAATCACCACATCTCAAAGGTGCTCTATTGGATTGAGAGCTGGTGACTGTTGAGGCAGTTTGAGTACAGTGAACTTATTGTCATGTTTAAGAAACCAGTGTGAGATGATTCACGCTTTATGACATGGTGCCTTATCCTGCTGGAAGTAGCCATCAGAAGATGGGTAGACTGTGGTCATATCGGTTAGGCTGTGGTGTTGACATGATGCTCAGTTGGTACTAATGTGCCCAAAGTGTGCCAAGAATATATCCCCCACACCATTACACCACCACCACCAGCCTGAACCATTGATACAAGGCAGAATGGATCCATGCCTTCATGGTGTTGATGCTAAATTCCAATCTTCTATTGTCCAATTTTGTTGACCCGGTGTGATTTGCAGCCTCAGTTTCCTGTTTTTAGCTGACAGGAGTGGCACCCGGTGTGGTCTTCTGCTGCTGTAGTCCATCCATCTCAAGATTGGAAGTTTTGTGCGTTCAGAGATGCTCTTCTGCAGACCTCAAGTATGAGTGGTTATTTGAGTAACTATTGCCTTTTTGTAAGCTAGAAAAAGGCTTTATCAGTCGGCCATTCTCCTCTGATCTCTGGCATCAACAGGGCACTTGCGCCCACAAAATTACCGCTCACTGGATAATTTATCTAGTTCAGACCATTCTTTATAAACCCTAGAGATGGTTGTGTGTGAAAATCCCAGTAGATCAGCAGTTTCTGAAATACTCAGACTAACCATCTGGCACCAACAACTATGCCATGTCCAAAGTCACTAAAATCACATTCCCCCCATTCTGTTGCTCGGTTTGAACTGCAGCAGATTGTCTTGACCATGTCTAAATGGCTAAACGCATAGAGTTGCTGCCATGTGATTGGCTTATTATAAATTATAAATTTAATGTGCAGTTGGACAGGTGTACCTAATAAAGTGGCCGGTGAGCGTAAATGAAAATGACATATTCTTCCACATCTTTTTGAAATGTTATTTTTACAGAATAACTCTGAAACATTAGACCCGCACTTATAAATGCAAGCTTGTGCGAGAAGTTTCATATGTTGCTGCGTGAAGATCAATAGAAGCTCAAAACATGACCTCTCAGAACAGAAGTGTAAAATACGGAGCAATCACTTCCTTAAATTCTAATCATCCTGTTTGATCCCGCCCCTTTTGCATGGCCATACAACAGAATTTCGTGTGCTCAAACTCTAGTGTGATCGAGGCTTTAGAGCGTGCTGTGATCTGATAATATTTCAGTGTTATCTAATAAACACGGTGTTTGAGAAAACTTTAGTTTCTTGCAAATGACATTAGCTGCAGCTTTTGACGCGTGTGTGTTTTTGTGTTCAGTCTGTACCGTGGCTCCCTGGTGCATCAGGCTGTAGGAGAGCTCAGGAGAGGCATCAGTCTGGAGGCTCTGCTGGTCAAGGGTTCCAGTGCTGAGCGCATCTTCAAACAGCTCAAGGACATCATCGTGAGCTTAATGGGAGACGACTTCATCAAGAAAATGAAGAGCGGACTGGAACACAGAGATGCTGGAAAAACACAGAGAGCCTCCAAAGGCCAGAAGGATGAGCTGGACATTTACTTTGAACAAATGATGATCGAGAGCATCGACAGTGAAGATGAGGAGCTTTTAGATGTGAGGAAGAGCAAGGCCAAGAATCACCTGATGGAGTTGCCAGTGTGCCCGATCCGTGCCAGACACAAGGCTAAAGCTCGCAATGCTCGTCATCCCTGCAAGAAATATGAGAGAAGATGCTTTGAGTAGACCTTGAAAAAACAATCAGGAAAATTGTTAGTTTCACTATTGCACTTACAACAAACATGGAGGCATTAAACCAGGAAACATGGTGAAGTGATAATTCTATAATATTAGAATCACGTCAGGGATGATCATGTTTTCTAGGCATATGTCAGAAGCAGATTTATTTTTGCTGAAGCTTTTCTTGTGATATACACTACCTGACAAAAGCCTATCTAAGTTTTAGGAACAACAGATAATAAGTTGACTTCTAGTTGATCATTTGGTGTCAGAGAAGTGGCTTAAATGAAAGGCAAAGACCTCTAGATTATGCTTATTCTACCAAAATAAAATATGAACAAGCCTTGATTTTAAATTGTTTAATTAGGACAGTAATGTCTGACTTTGATAAGACAAAAGTCTTGTCACTTAACAGAAATAATGTACAGTATAGAATATAAAGTCACGGTGCAGTGGAAAAATAATTGTGTATGACTTCCATAAGCTTTGACGACTGCATCCATACATCTCTGCACTGACACAAATCACTTATTAATAAAGTCATCTGGAATGGCCAAGAAAGCGTTCATGCAGGACTCCCAGAGTTCATCAAGATTCTGTGGATTCATCTTTAATCCCTCCATCTTACCCCAGACATTCTCAATAATGTTTATGTCTGGGGACTGGGCTGGCCAATCCTGGACCACTTTGACTTTCTATGCTTGCAGGAGGCTGAAGAATGAGGAGCGCTATCCTGCTGACTCCAAACTTGACTGATTTCTGTGAGAATTTTGGGTCCATGTGGGTTCTAATAGGTCTTCTGCAGTATTTGTGATGATTATGATGCATCTCCCCATTATTTTTGAATGAAATGCCTACTTTTTCACATCCAATCAGCTCACAGAAAAAAAAGCCACGCCCACTGTTTTCTTATTTAATATTCCATACACTCCAGTATGTTGATGTATACTTCAACTGAAACAGAATATTAAGAAAGGGGGCGGGTTTTATTTTTGAGCTCCTCCTCTCATCTTTATCTCGCACCGAACTATTGGTTGAAAGGGCAAGGCTGAGCACATTTTACATCAGCCAAAGACTTTAGAATGCCATTATCAGAGTATACTGTATAAATGTTGAGGATGAGGTGTCTTTTAGACTGTAATAACTCTCCAGAAACATCTCCCCATTATTTTTGAATGAAATGCCTACTTTTACATCCAATCAGCTCACAGAAAGAAAGAAGAAAAAAGCCACGCCCACTATTTTCTCATTTAATATTCCATACACTCCAGTATGTTGATGTAAACTTCAACTGAAACAGAATATTAAGAAAGGGGGCGGGTTTTATTTGAGCTCCTCCTCTCATCTTTCACTCGCACCAAACTATTGGTTGAAAGGGCAAGGCTGAGCATATTTTACACCAGCCAAAGACTTTAAAATGTCCATTATCAGAATATACTGTATAACTAAGCATCAAAACATGCCTGTTTCACTTAATGATTTTGCTCGATTTTAAATCAAAAATAATGTGAAAACAATCAACAAGGTGTTTTTGCTATTAAGAATTTAGACCAGGGGTTCCCAAACTTTTCAGCCCTCGACCCTCAAAAATACCAATCCCAGTGACTTGCAACCCCTACATTTCTTAGAGGTGGTTATAAATATACAATCTTTGTGCACACAACAAAAGGCCCTAAACACGAGCATATTGACAACACAAAAAAGTGCAACAGTTTAACAATCTTATATTTTCATAGTCATTTATTAATTGAATATTAACCTCACCTAAAGAAACAGATGGGCACAATGTTTTGAGCACAAGTCTATTCTTGGTTTAATTTTGGAGACCGCCGTTTAGAGATCATTCTCCGTGTTCTGCATTTATCTTTAATCTTGCCATAAAGATGTCAGAGAGTTTACCCAGGTCCTATAAAATCAACCTGCAGCAGTTGACGCTATTGCTGTGTTCTTATTCTAACAAACACAGCAATCCTATGAAAGAACTAATTGAAAGGCTTATGGCTTTACAAATGCATGTTGTTGTTTTTTTTACGTAACCATTTCATACTATTTTTTATTATTTCTGTGGGTTATTGATAAAACATTGTAATTCTAACAGTTTTATTCATAGCATTATATTCAGTGCAAAAATACACCGAAAATAAAGCAAATCTCAACTGCCTGATTGCATATATTGTGTCAGCCACATGTCAAGCTTTAATCTGTTGAATGTGAATAATAAAGCATTGGAGTATTACAAACTCTTGTGTGAATATGGCAAGCCGTATTGACATTTAATCTATAACCCGTACTAGCATCTATTTTCATGTTACTAGTACTTATATTTTAGATACTTGTATCTTTTCCATTAAGTCCTAGTACTTATTCTTAAGATACTAGTGCTTATTCTTTAGTACTTAAGTACTAGTAGTATCTATAATTACATACTAGTATCTAATTAATATATACTAGTACCTGATGATTAACTACTAGTACATAAAGATTTGTACAAGTCCCTCCTGGAATACATACTAATCAAAACTGAGTAGATGAATTCTCAATGACAGATCCCATAGAAATCAATGGAATTGTTTTATTTGGTACTAGTAACAACAGAATACTGTAGATACCAGTCACTATTAAAATAAGTACTATTATCTAATTAATAAGAACTAGTACCAATTAAATAGGTACTAGTATGTAATGAATACAGTGCAATACTTCTGTACAAGTGATTTTTCAGGTTTTTTATTTTTTATAAAATTTGCAACAATTAAAAAAAAATCTTTTCACATTGTCATTATGGGGTATTGTGTGTAAAATTTTGAAGAAATCATTTAATTGAATCCATTTTGGAATAAGGCTTTAACACAAAAAAATGTGGAAAAAGTGAAGGGCTATGAATAATTTCCGGATGCACTGTATAAACATCTAATGAATCAGTGCTAGTATCTAAAAAAAGAACTAGTGTCTAGTGAGTTAGCACTAGATTCTTTTTTAAAGCACTAGTATCTAAAAAATAAGTACTAGTAACATGACTATGTAACATATATACTAGTACGGGTTATAAAGTAAATGTCAAAACGGCTGCCATAGTGTGTATGTGTATAAAGCTGTTTTGAATGGTGTATTGTGAATATAGTCGGGTATCATTTGCGGTTATTTTGACACCAGTGCTAAATCAATACTTTAAAAACGGTACCAGTGCCAAATCAACAGTGCCTAAACCAATAATTTTGAGCCACAAAATTATGGTGGATATCTCTAGAAAAACTTTTTATTTGACAAAGAAAATTATCATTTTAATTGAACAATATAATTTAAGTTTATAGTATACATCAATTCATATTTTATACATTTGAATTGCATTAATACATTTCTTTGTTTTTAAGCATAAATTTAAGATTTGCATTATGCAGTTAATATTAGATTAGCTTACTAATAACCTGTGGAAAGGCTGTCATCAAAATCTAGGTTTAGGGCTTGTGACTACGTTTACATGGACATCAGTAATCTAATGATTTGCCTTAATGCAAATAAGAGAATAATGTGATTAAGGTGTTTACATGAGCTGCTTTTTGATAATGGCAAATTGTTTTGGTACCCAACCCTAATTGTGAAAACCCTAAAAAATAACAACTGATTTAAAAAAAACTTGATGGTTAATGAATAATTGAGGAAAATCAACTCAATAAACAATTTTTTTTTAGTTTTTAAATTTGTAAAAATTTTATTGTACAATTGTGTTCTGAAATGACCACAACAGATTACTGATTTCAGCTGTGCAAACTACAATATAATAAATACAATCTTAAAAATGTAAAAGAAAACCCCCCAAAAACATCAAACAAAAAAAAATGTTGTTGTTTTTAACCCATTACACTTCATTTTATAAGGTCAGTGTATTACATTGTTTTCAAAGCAACAGCAATGCTAGAAAACACAACGGGCAGAAAAGTACTCGCACCGATTAATAAATAATGGACGACGTAACCTTAAAGAACCACTATCTGCATTACAAAGGAGAAATATGATCACATACTGCAAAAAAAAGAATAATCAAATCTTTACCTGTACCTTAGTAAACAGATACAGTGTTGGCAGATGGAAATAAGACAATGCTGGTGGGCCGCACTGAGCACGGTCGAGGGAGACGGGCGTTTAGGACATTTCTGTACACCCAAAATGAGCATCTGCTTAACCAACAACTGCAAATACTAAGCGTCCACCTAAACAAATAAATAACACTATAGGAAAGAACCGAAGTAAGATGAAAAGGCAAAAGCATCTTATTTCAGATAGCCCTGATACCAGTGTATTAACACAAGGAAAGCAATAATATAGAACTTATACTATGAACAAAACTGATAAGTAATTGTACAAGCCAGTTGTTTAAACCATCAGTCTTATATAAGGGCATAAAACTAGTAGTGCATGTACCTTAAAGGTCTTCATAAAGTGTGACCCTGTAATCTCCTGACGCAGGATCCTGAAAGAAGAATTTGAGAATATCTGCAATAGTTTAGACTCTGAACAGTGCCTGTTGCATGGTGAATTTGGCATCCTTGTAAAACAGTGCTCACTAAATGGTCCGTAAGTACATTATGTGGTGGCTAAGCACTCCATAAAGGTCTCAATTCACAACTCAAGTCTCACTGTGGCTCAGAACATGAGATTTTTAAAGGGATAGTGCACCCCAAAATAAATACTTAATTATCATTTACTGGCTGTTTGCTTGTTTAAAGTCTTTTTTTAAAGGGATAGTTTACCCAAAAATTAAACCTTCGCTTATTCAAATCCTATTTAAGTTTCTTCAGTTAAAAACACAAAAGAAGATATTTTGAAGAATGCTCATTAAATGAACGCCCCATTGACTTTCATAATTTTTTAAGAAGATATTTTGAAGAATGTTGATTGATGGTACCCATTGACTTTTATAGTAGGTAAAAAAAATTACAATGGAAGTCAATGTGTACCGTCAACCAACATTCTTCAAAATATCTTCTTAAAAAAATGCTTAGAAAGTCAATGGGCAATGAGCATTCTTCTATCCTTTTAACCCAAAAGAAGATCCATCGGAGAATGGTTTTAAGTCATTGACTTCCACAGAATTTTATTTCCTATTATGATTGTCAATGACTACAGGTTTCTAATATTCTTCAAAATATCTTCTTTTCTGTTTTAATGGGGAAAAAAGATTTGGAACCACTTAGGGGCAAGCATATTTTCATTTTTGGGATACTTTGAAGAATGATGGTTGAGTACCCTTTGACTTCAATAGTAGGAAAAAAAATTGTTATGGAAGTCAATGGGTACAATCAGACAACATTCTTCAAAATATCTTTTTTTTGTGTTCAACAGAGGAAAGCAACTCATACAAATTTTAAACCACATTAGGAAATGTTGAGATTATTCTCATTTTGGGTGTTAGCTTTAACACAAAAAAAGATACATCAGAGAATATTTGTCACGGACTTCCACAGAATATTATTTCCTATTATGATTGTCAATGACTACCGGTTTCTGACATTCTTCAGAATATCTTTTTTTCTTTGTTTCAATGGGGGCTATTTAGAACCACTTTAGGGCAAGCACATTTTCATTTAGGCATATTCTGTAGAATGTTAGTTGATGGTTCCCATTGACTTGAACTGTAGAGAAAAAAAATATTCTGGAAGTCAATGGGTACAGTCAACCAACATTTTTCAGAATATCTTCTTTGGTGTTGCAATGGAAAGGAAAATATTTAGAACCACTTAAGGGTAAGCCTATTTTCATTTTGGGATATTTTGTAGAATGTTGGTTGGTGGTACCCATTGATAGTAGAAAAAAAATATTATGGAAGTCAATGGGTACAGTCAATAAACATTCTTTAAAATATCTTCTTTTTTGTTTCAATTGGAGGGGGGGCTGGGGGGAATGGAAACACTTAAGGGCGAGCACATTTTCATTTTTTATGAAATGGAAGTCAATGAGTACCATCAAGCAAAATTCTTTAAATATCTTCTTTTCTGTTTAACAGAAGAAAGGCAGTTAAATAAGTTTTAAACCAAATGAGGAAGAGTATATGATGAGGTAATTCTCATTTTTGGGTGAACTATCCCTTTGACATAAAAGAAGATAAATCAGAGAATGCTTTAAGTCATTGATTTCCACTGAATTCTTTTTCCTAAAATGCTTGTCAATGACTACCGGTTTCCAACATTCTTCAGAATATCTTCTTTTCTGTTTCAAGGGGGGGCAAGCACATTTTCATTTTTGGGATAGTTTTAAGAATGTTGGTCGATGGTACCCACTTTTACTTCAATTGTAAAAAAAATTACTATGGAAGTCAATGGGTACAATCAGTCAACATTCTTCAGAATATCTTCTTTTTAGTTTCAACGAGGGGAAAAGAGATTTGGAACCTCTTAAGGGCAAGCACATTTTCAGTTTTGGGTGAACTATCCCTTTAAGAGCACACAACCTCCTCCGAAAGCAATATCGCTGATTATTCAAGCATAATTTGGAAAACCGGAATGCAAAAAGGCATCATCCATATTGTTCCACAAACCTCTAACCAGAAATGTTTCAACAGAAGATGTGAAAGACACAAAATCATTTTAATAGGATAATGATAATGTTAAAAAATAAATCCCTTCAATCATGAAATCAAGACAGCCACTGTATGGACAGATACAGTATCTCATAAATAAAGAAGTTGGCCCAGATGCTATGGGTAGTAGTACAGTCTTAAAGCAGCACACCACAACATCTCCACTAAAGCATGTCGGAGATGACATTTCAGCCAGGACCAGGCCACCGCTCCACCATCAGCTGCTGGTCTCCACCTTAAAGTAGGACCTTACGTACAAGTGGGACCAGACTAGTTGCTCCGAACTGTTTATATGGTTTGAGAACTGTCCAAGCCATATTCCACAGCACGTGCCCCAGCCTGATCGGGACACAATGTGTGTCATACATCATGGAACTCACTGTCCATGTCTGACATTTTTTCGCTGCCACATCGGAGTCTCTCTATTTTCTTTATAATCTCAGACACCACGCACACGGAGGACGTGAGGCCAAATAGTAACAGCAGATCTGCATGGAGAGAACACAAACCGGCAAACAAGTTTAGCACTCGTATCCAAAGCATAATAAAAGCATGTGTCTAAAAGAGCACTGCACAAAGAAAAGAAAATAGGTTCAAGTTAATTAGATGATAATATGCTAGTATGTTTTAGCTAATAAATGATTGAACACATTGTTAAGTGAGGGATTTTGAAAATTTGAAGGTGAACTAATATCAGAAAGCATGTTGGGTGGTAAGGTTTTTGCTTTTATGACTGCAGCATTTGAAAAAGTGTATGCAGGTCATGTTCAATAGGAAATGAAACATTGCACAAAACACAATACATTTTTTGTAAACTCAAATAAATACTAAAATCAAATTAATACTTTTTTTTTTTTAGTTTAGTTTAGTTTAGTTAGTTGCCAGACACCAAGAAGAAATTGTGTTTGTGTGCCTCTGCATGTATACTGTATATAAAGTCACCGGCCATTTTTTTAGGTACATTGGTCAGTGAGTGTTGCGTTGGACCCACTTTAGGCTTCAGAACTGCCTAAATGCTTCATCGTATAGATTCTACAAGGTACTGGAAATATTCCTCAGAGTCTTTGGTCCATATTGGCAAGACAGCATCACACAGTTGCTGCAGATTTGTCAGCTGTACATGATGCGAATCTCCCATTCCACCACATCCCAAAGGTGCTCTATTGGAGAGCTGGTGACTGTGGAGGCCATTTGGGTACAGTGAATTCATTGTCATGTTCAAGAAACCAGTGTGAGATGATTCGTGTTTTATGACATTGTGTGTTATCCTGCTGGAAGTAGCCATCAGAAGATGGGTACATTGTGGTTATAAAGGGATGGACATGGTCAGCAACAATACTCAGGTAGGCTGTGGTGTTAACACGATGCTCAATAGGTACTAACGGGCCCAAAGTGACCAATGATTCCAATCTTCTATTGTCCAATTTTGGTGAGGCTGTGTGAATTGTAGCCTCAGTTTCTTGTTTTTAGCAGACAGGAGTGGCACCCGGTGTGGTCTGCTGCTGCTGTAGCCCATCCGCCTCAAGGTTTGAAATATTGTGCGTTCAGAGATGCTTTTCTGCACATGTTGGTTGTAACGAGTGGTTATTTGAGTTACTGTTGTCTTTCTATCAGCTGGAACGAGTCTGGCCATTCTCCTCTGACCTCTGGCATCAATAAAGCATTTGCGCCCACAGAACTGCCGCTCACTGAATATTCTCTCTTTTTCAGACTATTCTCTGTAAACTATAAAGATCGTTGTGCGTGAAAATCGCAGTAGATTTCTGAAATACTCAGACCAGCCCCTCAGTCACCAACAACCATGCCACGTTCAAAGTCACTCAAATCACCTTTCTTCCCCATTCTGATGCAGCAGATCATCTTGACCATGTATACATGCCCAAATGCATCGAGTTGCTGTCATGTGATTGGCTGAGTACAAATTTGCATTAACGGGCAGTTGAAGAGGTGTACCTAATAAAATGGCCAGTGAGTGATATGTATACATGTACAAATTGAAATAAAATAAAGCTAAATAGAAGAATAAATCAAACTAACAAAAAAGATGCACATTCGATTTCTAAAAATACATTTAAACCCTTATATTTAAAAGTAAAAGTTTATTCAAAATACGCTCCCACACCCATGAAATGTCTCAAACCACAAAACACAAACAGGTACATAGTATGGTAACATACTGTATATGACTAGGTTAACAGAAAAGTTGGGTTAACAAGTTTAATTAAATGTAAATGTAACTTCACACAGCCTAATTATTATCTGTCACATTTTCTTATTAATTAGTAACTAATACTTAGTGACCAGAGTCTATTACAGGGTTGCTGCTTGAAATATTAAGTTCACTGATACTAACTAAAAAAGCTTAATTTTCATAACATCTAATAAAAAAGCAGGCCATTTTATATGTATATTAATAACATGATATTAAAATATTAATATTAAAATGTTTGTACCTTAAATATTATTTTGAATAACTTTAAAAGCCACTATGAGAACAACACGACCAAATTTTTCCAGAAATATCTTGTGGAAATCCTGCTATTTGTTCAGATGATGTGAAAAATGTTGTGTGTTGTGCTTTACTCTATTGTTTTGGTGGCCTACCTAAAATGCTGAGGCTCTCCGTTTGAAAGACACTCTGCAGGGGAGGGAAGTAGATGACCAAAAGCTGGCCCATAATGGAGCCCAGAACAGCATAGCAGAACATCCTGTTACTGCATAAGCCCATCTCATGCACCATCCGCGTCTGCAGGAGAACAGAAACACAGATCTCTGATGAGTCACTGACAGCCTTAAACGCTCATCAAAAACAAATTCTGCCATTTTTAACTTCGTAAACAACACGGCTCATAATCCTCACAGCAGGTGGCAGTGTTTAAGATTAAGACCACCGCATGCTTTTAATCTGTCTCAGGAGAAATTATAAGAGAAATATGCCTTTTTATTTTAGTTATTTTTGATGTCAGGGTGACACGGTGGCTCATTGGTTAGCACTATCGCCTCACACCAAGAAGGTCACTAGTTTGAATCCCGGCTGGGTCGGTTTGTACTTCTGAGTTTGCATGTTCTCCCCATGTTGGTGTGGGTTTCCTCCATGTGCTCCAGTTTACGCCAAATATATGCGCTATAGGTAAATGGAAGAAACTAAATTGACCGTAGTGTATAAGTGTGAATTAGCATGTTTGTGTGTTTTCCAGTGCTGGGTTGCAGCTGGAAGGGCATCCACTGTATCATTATAGTGGATAAGTTGGCGGTTCATTCCGCTGTGGCGACCCCAGATTAATAAAGGGACGAAGCCGAAAGAAAATGAAGGACTTTTTGATGTCTGTTTTTTTATACCTGTGATCTGGAACTGAGAGCGTTGAACATATCGAAGAACACAAAACAGGTAAACGTCATGGTGGTGTCCCGTGGAGTGATCTCATTGTCCCGCAGCTGGGGGGGAAAACATTTTAATTAGAACAAAGTAAACAAAAAATAAACAAAACACCAAAAATCTAAGACATTTTTAAGGCTTCATTAAACTTTTTTTCCACTATTCTTCTAGTTTTCAGGAGGCAATTATTCTGATTTCTACCTTTTCCAAAGTCAAATTTAAGCAATTTTTTAATCACTTTCTAGGTGCATTTTCCAGCACTTTACAACTGTGGTAAACTACAGTGTCTCAAAACAAACAAACAATACCCAAATAATAATTTATCAAACAAAAATAAGGCTGCTTATCCTACTACAGGAATAACAATGACTAATTTTCTTACAGGAATAACAGCGCAATCTGTCCATTAGCATAATCCTTTTATTTACTCCCCTTGGCGATGACGCAAAGAGAGGGTTTCTGCAGGTTTCACAGATAAATTTAAGACTTTTAAAGACATTTTTAAGACCATTATAAATTAAATTTTAGGCCCATAAAGGAATTTTTCAAATGGCCCAGATGGAAAAGATTTTAATTGCCCTCTCCAAAAAAATAAAAAATTGAATAGATTTAATAATACATTAATAATAAAAAATATATATATTTTAGATTTTATTTCTTTGCTAAATATTTTAAATATTGTGTAAAAACAAGCAAGCTCTACTTGTATCAATATACTTTTTTCCAATATAAACTTTCTTTAAAATATTATTAATAATAATAAAAAATGAACAAATCTTTTAAAAGTTTTAAAAACTACAATAAACTAAATCTTTGCACAACAATCTGTCCAGGTCAGTGTCCTCAGCAGTAAATACTTTTAAACAAAGTATTAGCAGTAAAGAACTTTTAAACAAATGTTACAGTAAGGAAAATAATTAAACCATTACGATAAATAGAGTTAAAAATTACTTATAAAACGCTTTAAAAATAAAAAGTTCAAAGTTTTATTGAGATGATTGTTGGTGATTGGGTTTGGACAGATTGGGTAGCAATACATAAACAAAGGAAAATTAAGATTTAAACCAAAAACACATCATTTCAGTAAATTTAAGACATTTGAAGACTTTTTAAGACGCTGCAAAAACCCTGAATAATGCCGATTTGTTTTTAGTTGCGTACAGCCTAAATAAAAATGGTGTTTTCGAATGAAGATAAGAGTTTGATCAAAGGTTTACTAGAACTGAAATGCTACAGTGCTTCATGTTTTCTTCAAGAGTTTCTGACTACAAACTGGACAAAAGGTGGATTGGATTACTTGTTGGCGAAAATGTATTGCAGTAGATCAGTATGTCATGTGGTGGAGAGTGGTCGCCCACGCACTGTTGAAAATATCACCACTTTCAAAGACAAGGTATTGAGAAGATGAAGGAAATGCGGTGATATGAATCAGGTGAGGTGGAAAATGTATATATATCATATAATTTCATCTATTTGCCATCTAATTACAGATTATAACAAGCAGCCATTAAGGGGTCAAGCAATGCTGAGCCAGAATGAGTAAAGCAGTCCAGAGGCCAAAAGCAACAAGGTTAGTAAGCAGCATCAAACGAAGATTTTTAATTCCTTTGAAGTACTGGAAATATCAGAAAATCATGAAAACATTAAATGTATGAACGATTTATTGGCTTATAACTTTTGACCAATAGGTGACAAAGTTGTAAATTTGATGCTTTGTGGTCAGTGTGTAACAATGGTGTACCTAAAGGTTGGTGTTAATATATTTAATCATTACAGAGAGATTGATGCGTCAGATGCAGTTTGGAGTTATACCAGCACATTTGTCAGTGTCGTAAACTAGAACTATTTTGCCTATTGACAATAATATAGAATTTTGCTTGGATATTTGAGTCATGGTGTACATATTTATATGCTATTTATTACAGTGTACAATAGCATAGGAGAGTATTCAAAGGAAATTTTTTGATGGCATGCTTGTCCCAAGTCCAACACTAATGGTTATTTACTCTCTTATTTGCAATTCATCTTAATCTGTGTCTTTCATATATCTTTTATTTAATTTACTTCAAATAAATAAAATAAAAAACAGGCAGATTTCGCTACAGGCACATGTGCAGACTGTAGAGTTTTAATTTAATGCAAAAGCAAAACTATTTATTTTATTTAAATACACTGAAAAAATTATTCAAAGGTGATTGGTTGGATTTACATTTCTTTTTTTATGTTTAAGAGGTGGTAGTAAACCATTTATTTGGGCTAAATGTAAACAAACAATTTAAGTTAAACATTAGGGGTGTCAAAATTAATCGTTTCTTCAGTGCACTGCGATGCAGCCGCGGATAATTCGGTATCGGTTCAGTAATAATCATAATCGGTTATTACTGACGTCATTTACCTCATATGCGCTCTGTCGCGAGGGAGGCGATCGCGAGTATTTACAGCGCTTTAACTACTTAAAACTCATAAACTGTGCACCAATTTCACTGTGTGTGTTTGCTGGATCAGTCTTTCACTGACATATACAACAATAGCCCCTATTTCACTGAGATCGAGAGAATGAAAGTAGCCTACTCCATTTCTCTCTCTCTCTCGCTCGGTCTCTCTCTCTCTTTCTCACACACACACCTTGGCCCATTTGACCTGCTGGCGTGGCTTTTCTTCTCTTCCCGGCTATTTTACAGCTTACTTTTGCATACAGAAACGAGCGCGTGTTTGCAGAGTTTTCTCCACCGTGTCAATCATACATCAGCTGTGAGATCGCCGCTGCCGCCTGCCGCTTATTAATATCACTCATCTGTAAAGAACGCAGCGCGCAAGAGCCAATCGCAATCGTTTTTTTTGAGGGTGTGACCAATCAAAGGGGTGTAAGAGAACTAGACAAGGATCAGAAATTGAGCTGGATATTTATGATTGTTTACATTATTTGCTAAATGCTCGTTTTGTTTAAAGTTACAGTTTATATATCTGACTGTTTGTATTAAATGACAAAATTGTATTACAAATAGTATATAAATATAAATATATTCATACATTTTAATACAAGAAATGCTGCTGTGAAGAAAATATAAAACTGTGTATGGAAAGCACCGCCAATGCACCGTGATGCACCGAAATATCGAATTGAACCGAATCGATAGAATGATAATCGTAACCGAACCTTGAGACTAGTGTAGGTTCACAGCTCTATTGAACATTACTGAATTTAATCTTTGTTTAAAGTCAACACATATAAATTGTTTGCAAAATATTTTTTTCAGTGTACTTAATAATTGTTAAATATTTGGTATAGTAAACTATTATGAAGGCAAAGCAATAACATTTTTAAGCGCTTAAAAACAATCCTTGAAAACGGAGACTAAATCAAAGCATTTTCAAGGATTTCCAGCACCCGTATAAACTCTGAATTATTTCATTAGATTGAACGTTCATTATTTTGAACTTCATTATCTTCCAGAACAGATTCAATGCCACTTTACCCAGAGGAAAAACAACCTTAATCATTTTAAAGCTCTCTTTTAAAGAGTTTCAAACCAATTAGAGGCTGAGCAGAGTAATGGCACTGGCTTGATATTAATTCTCTAGTAAACAACAAAGCTCATATATAATCAAAATCGCATGATGCTTCAAACAAAAACAAGGACAGGGTAAACAAATGGTTTAGTCATTTTCCTAAAGGCCTGTTTTGACTACAAATGGAACACAAATGAAAAACAAAGCAGGACACAAATGCCTGCATCACATGAGTATTGCGTACTTCTCTCCAGAACACAAACAGCGTCCCGCAGACGATGATGAAGGCCGACACCAGGATTTTCACTATCAGACTGCGTGTGATGATGCTGTCCCGGACGTTACGCGGGGGTTTCCTGATCACGTCCCAGTCCACAGGCTCCACTCCCAAACTAGGAAAATAATTTAAGTTTGTTGTTACTCTGACACAAGCAAATTTCAGCGCTCTTGAACTAACATTTGCTGTCCTGCACTTTGGTGGTTATAAATGTGTTTGTGGTCAGTTTGTTACCTCTGGGCTGGCGGGCCGTCCATGATGATGTTGATCCAGAGGATTTGCATGGCATTCAGAGGGGTGGGGAAGTTCAAAAGCGTCGCCAGCGAGATGAGGGTGAGGGCAGCGATGCTCCTAAAGAGATTCAGCAAAGAAATGGTTCAGTTCCAGGATAAGAATAATGCATATCACATGAGGGCAAAATTATTAGCGATCCTGTGAAATATTTAGTATTTTTCAAATATTTCTCAAGTGATGTTTAACGGAGCAAGGACATTTTCACAGTATTTCTAATAATATTCGTTCTTCTAGAGAAAGTCTTTTTTGTTTTATTTTGGCCATAAAAATTTTAAAGCCAATATTATTAGGCCACTTAAGCAATATTTTTTTACCACCATCTAACAAACCACTGTTTTACAATAACTTGCCTAATTACCCTAACTTGCCTAATCTAATTAACCTAGTTAAGCCTATAAATCACACTTTTAGCTAAATATTAGCATGTTGAAAACTATCTAGTATAGTATTATTTATTGTCATCATGGCAAAGATGAAATAAATCAGTTATTAGAAATGAGTTATTAAATCTATTACATTTAGAAATGTGTTGAAAAAAATACAGGTGGCTAAAAATTATATATTACTGTATAGTTTTAATAAAAGTATAACATTATAATTAAATACTGAAAATAAAAATATAAATAACCATTATAATAAAAAGGTAGATAGTATATCATTACATGTGTATTAATAAATTATTAATAAAAATAAACAAATATATGTTCTCACACACACACACACACACACACACACACACACACACACACACACACACACACACACACACACACACACACACACACACACACACACACACACACACACATATATATATATATATAGATATAGATATATAGATATATATAGATATATATCCATTCAGTAAATATGCATTAAATCAATCAAGTGACACTAATGACATTCCATTTTGGTATATATGTAGATTTATACAAAGAGTATATTTAAAGTTTAATTTTATATTACATTTTTATATTAAGTATCCAGCTCCATTTTTATTTGACTGATGTTTTAAAAACTTGTGGAAATAAAATGTCAATATGTGACTGTAATATTGTCATTTAAATGATTAAAATTGTCTCGCTGATAAATAGGTAAAAACCCCAACAATTTGCAGACTAAAAAAAGATTAAACATTATAAAGTTTTAAAACTATAATTATAATTGTGTGTGTATGCTATAAACTGTATATAGTCAAGCCCAATATTATTCATACCGCAGATTAATTTAGTTGAAATGTAAACAAAAACTAATATTTTATATATTTTTTTTCATTTCCCTTCGGAGTACTCCCTTATTGATCAGGGGAATAAACCGTCAACTATTCCAGCATATGTTTTATGCAGTGGATGCCCTTCCAGCCGCAACCCAGTACTGGGAAACACCCATACACTCTTTCATTCGCACACACACACTCATACAGTGCAGCCAATTTAGTTCATCCAATTCACCAATACTGCATGTCTTTGGACTGTGTGGGAAACCGAAGCACCCAGAGGAAACCAAAGCAAACACGAGGAGAACATGCAAACTCCACACAGAAATGCCGAGTGGCCCAGCTGGGCCTCTTATCTTTTGGGAGAAGCCGGAGGCATTTCCGGTTCAAAAAAATAAATAAATAAATTGCTGGTTAAAAAAGAGCAACTTTAAGCCAAGAGATGCACGATATTTGAAATAAATGATATTGTGATATTTTGTTTTTCTGCAATTCATATTGTAATATGACCATAATTTCATAAAGAATTACGTAAATATCTCTACTTGAAAACAAATCATATATCTACACAAAACATAAAAACTATTTACAAGCATAGATATATACAAAATAACACAAATTATAAAAATAAATGAATTTTTTTTTTATTTCAGCATTGAAGAATAGAAATTCAATATTAATTGTAAAATAACATTGTAATCAACTGTATTGTATACATTTTATAAATAATTTAATTCAATTAATATTGGTTAAATCCAAACTTTTCTTGGTTTAAATTCGCTTGATATCTTAGTCACAGGTCTTAAAAACATCCAAATGAAAATCTTTTTACTCTATTAGGGTTAAACTGTGATTCCTGGTTATTACAATCCCAACTCAACATTGTAGATCCTGCCATGTGACTATTGCAGCTTAGCCCACTGCGATGCTGAAACGATATATTGTGCAGCCTTATTTAGGTCAGAATTTGCCAGGGGTAACAATAAAGGTATTTATTCTAACTTAAAATGTATATAGTTATAATATAATTTCTCATAAGAGCTCGCCAACTCACGTGCTCAACTGAAAGCGCACAAAGTTCTTAATGTTGTTGTAAATCCCTTTCCCTTCTTCTATGGCAGACCTGGAATGAAAGAGAAACAAGTGACATATAAACTCAAATGTCACATCAACAGTACACTCAGAAAACAAGAACAAAAGCTCACAAGATAGTCTGGAAGTCGTCGTCCACAAGGATCATGTCTGCTGCCTCTTTGCACACATCAGTGCCAGTTTGACCCATTGCCACGCCGATGTCTGCTGCCTTCAGAGCCACTGCATCATTAACACCGTCCCCTGTCATGGCCACAACCGCACCGATGTTCTGTAAAGACTGAAGCCAGAAGGAGCACTTAAAAAAACATACACACACATTATATAATATGATTGCAAACAACCAGTTTGATGCACTTACCTTGACTATTTTTAACTTGTGTCTAGGACTGGCTCTGTAGAACACAACTACCTGCAGAGAGACGAGTTACAAATTCATTTACATGACACCTCTCATTGTTGCAACTATGGATGTTTAATATAATCAGAATGCTCAAGACCTGCAGATCATTGCTTGAAATGTGAATATCGGCATCAGCCAAATAAGACTGTTTCTGCAGGTTTTACCAAGTCAAATTTAAGACAGTTTAAGACCTTTTTATGAACATTATAAAAGAAATTTTAGACTTATACAGGAGTAAATCTAAGGATTTTTACATGCACATTTAAATGATAAAATACATGCAGATGATTACTTGAGTACTAAAATAATGTGTCATAACAAGCTCACCATACATACACATTTTTTTTTAAATATAACTTTTCTTTGACAAACTATAATAATCTAAATGAACAACAGTCTTTACAGGCCAGTTTCCTCACCACATATGGTCTATAAACTCATGGAAAACTTACAAATGCTATTGTGAGGAAGATAATAAAACCATATTAGTAAATACAGTTATAAATGGAGTTTTGTAAAAAGTTTTTTGTTGTTTGGGTAGCTTCACATGGACATTGAAAAATTAAGACCCTTTTAAAGAACTACAAATCAATATTTCAGTGAATTTAAGACTTTTTAAAGCTTAAAATGTAATTTTTAAAATTGAAACATTTTAGACTTTAAGACCCAGTGGACCCCCCGAATAAGGTAAATGATGCTGATATTACTTGTAAAGTCAGCAGTTTGCTTGAGATGAATTTTTACCAGTATTGTGATTAGTGCTGTTATGATTAGCAGCTTCAAGTTAAACCATAATAATATTTCTAACAGCTTCAATTATTCATTATCATTGCGACTGATTATCGTGATTTCAAAAACTCGCTGTAAATCCTGGAACATTGCAATTAGCGAAATATACAATTGAAGTCAGAATAATTAGCCCCTTTTTGACTGTGAGGTAGTTTTCCAAGTGCAAGCACAATAATACCTTGAATAAAAAATACAATGTTCCTATAACATAAAAACAATGGACAAAGTAATGCAAACACAAATAAATACATCCAAATGCAGGAATCCATTTTTGTGTTGTTTGCCAAAAAATATAGAGTAGCAAATTTTACTTGTTCTTTATTCATTTCCAAATGCAAAACTTGGTGGAATTCCTCAAGTGTGTGTGACATCTATTTTTTAACATTTAGATCATTTTAAGAAAATGTGACAATATTAACTGTTAAATTAGGTCATTATAATCAAGATATTAATTTTTACACCTCTAATGATAATTCAGATTCACTGTTTTAAATCGACAACATCCATCAGACTCAGTAAATTATTTATTAATAATCCATTCCTTACGCCAATACAGTATCATGATTTAGTCATATGGTGGCGCTGTAGGCCTTAGACCAGTAAGATGAAAGTAAAATACATAAAGGAATAAAATAAACAAATGGAAATTGTGGCCTATGCTCTAATTATCCATTCTCTTTAAAATATCACCTAAAAGCAGCCACTAATATAATACACTGATATAAATTAAAGATACAAAAATATCATTTAGTTGTTTAAAATTTGAGCATTTATTAGTGTAATAAATTCACAAGTCTGATTTGATTTTGTAATCAGACCGAGGCAAGTGCTTATGGCAAAATAACAAATCTGGCACTTGTATGGCTCAATTATGTCATTTAAATGCTGTAAATTTAAATGACATAGTTTAAGATGTCTCTGTCATGACAACTTGACATTATTAAGACAAAACAACTAGTCATAAATACACCAAAAAAGATCTTCATTATAATTGTCATAAATTTTATGACAGCTTCACTGATGTTTTTCTTGACCTCAGCTAAATGACATGTCATGATTATAAAGGTGTCATGACAGCCTTATGAACAGTATAGATTTCCTACACTTTCCAAGATTAAAGTTCAATTAATGAAATGAATACAGAACTATTATTTAGTTGTTTCAATTTTTTTGTTGTTGTTAGGAATAAGCATTTATTGGTGTACTAAAGTAACAAGTCTGATTTGATTTAATGGTCAGACTGAGGCAAACTCTTACGGTGAAATCAACAAATACGACACAAATATCTCTTGATTATGTCATTTTAAATGTAAAAATGCCATTGTTAGAGATGTCTTTATGGCAACTCATTATAATTGTCATAAATTTTATAACAGCTTCATTAATGTTTTTCTTGACCTCAAGTAAAATGCCATGTAATGATTATAAATGTGTCATGACAGTCTTATGAACAGCGTAGAGTTACTACACTTTCCAAGAAAACCCAAACAAAAAAGGCATCACATGCCTAGAGCAAGGATGTCAAACTCAATTACTGGAGGGCCGCAGCCTTGCACAGTTTAGTTCCAACCCTAATTAAAGACACCTGATCAAACTAATTGAGTCCTTCAGGCTTGTTTGAAACCTACATGTAAGTGTGTAGGATCAGGGTTGGAACTAAACTGTGCAGGGCTGCGGCCCTCCAGGAATTGAGTATGACATCCCTGGTCTAGAGGGTAAAATAAGTTTAAAAAGTCAATCCAGTATCATGCATTTCTAGTTTGCAATGGCTTTGTATTTTTCACATTTGTATCAGCTAATAATCAAGAATACTGTGGACCTGAAAAAAGTGCCAAGCCCGGCTGCGGGCCCTTTGGATCGTATTGCTTTGGAAGCAGATTAGAGTTGAATTAGAGTTGATGAAATTAATGCAAAAATGTTATTTAGTTGTTTAGAATTTGTTGCTGTTGTTTAGAATTCAAGCATTTATTGGTGTAATAAAGTCACAAGCCTGATTTAATTTAATGGTCAGACTGATTCAAACACTTGTGGTGAAATCAACAAATATGGCACTTGTATAATTTAATTATGTCATTTTAAATGTAAAAATGACACTGTTTAAGATGTCTTTGTCATGAAAACTTGACATTATGAAGAGAAAATAACTTATCCTAAATCTGTTAAAAATAATTGTCAAGAAAACCTTATAACTGTGTCATGAATTTTATAAAAGCTTCACTGATGTTATTCTTGACCTCAACTAAAATGCCATGTCATGATTATAAAGGTGTCATGACAGTCTTATCAACAGTATAGAGTTCCTACATGTTCCAAGAAAACCCAAACAAATAAAGGCATCGCCTCGAGGGTAAAACGAGTTTAAAAAGTCAATCCAGTATCATGCATATCTAGTTGCAATGGCTTTTTACTTTTTCACATTTGCATCAGCTAATAATCAAGAATGCTTAAACAAGTCCCAAACCCGGCTATGGGCTCTTTGGATCGTATTGTTTTAGAAGCAGATTAGAGCTGAATTAGAGTTAATGAAATTAAAACAGAAATGTTATTTAGTTGTTTAAAATTTGTTGTTGTTTGGAATTTTAGCAAGTATTGGTGTAATAAAGTCTAATTTAATGGTCAGACAGAGACAAACACTTATGGTGAAATCAACAAATATGACACTTGTGTCATATATTATGTCTTTTTAAATGCAAATATGACACTGTTTAAGATGGCTTCATCATGACAACTTGACATTATGAAGACAAAATAACTTGTACTAAATCTGTCGAAAATGATTGTCAGAGGTCATTATAATTGTCATGAACTTTATAACAGCTTCATTAATGTTATTCTTGACCTCGACTAAATTGCCATATCATGATTATAAAGGTGTCATGACAGTCTTATGAACAGTATAGAGTTACTTCACTTTCCAAGAAAACACAAACAAAAAAAGACATTGCTAGAGGCCAAAATGAGTTAGAAACTCAATCCAGTATCACTTTATCACATTTGTATCATCTAATAACCAAGAATACTGTAGACGTGAAACCATTCCAAACCCAGCGGATGACCTCTTGGATCTTAATGCTTTGGAAGGAGATTAGAGTTAATGAAAGCGTGTTCATACCCTGTGCACTATCTGTGAGAGATGCTGGATGTCCATCTGGTCAACTTCATCTCCAGACAAACACTGTGAACCTTTGGTGTAGAGGCCCAGTCGACTGGCTGTAGCAGAGAGCAAACAGATTAAACAGATGAGAACAGGGCATAATAATCATCAGATGTTTACAATGGATTTGATGCTGCCATAATATTTTATTGATCATTTGAAACACTTTCTATTTAGCCATTAAGCTTCATTAGATTGTTATTGATTGACCTGCAGCTTATTGGAATATACAGTATATAATATAAAGCTACACATTTTGTGATTATGAAAGCAAGAATGCATGAAAATGTGTATTTTTTTAAACATTAATTTAAAAGTTTGTTTTTTTTTAACAGTGAATGCTTTGCCTTGGGTAAGTGTAATGCTATGTGATGTATTGATTTGCTGCTTTATTGACATGAATGAATGATAATACTAATTTCCTAATAAATGGACTGAAATGAAAAGATGATCCGTGTTCACGGGACAGGAGGCTATATAATATAGGACAGTGCGCTATATAATGTCTAGTGAACTTTTAATCACCCATTACTTGAATTATAATTTTTTAATGGCTCTTAGTATGCTAGTTGAAGCCAAGCGGCAACCTCCCGCTCTCTTTCGTGAAGCTAATACGGAAGTAACTAACTGCAATTCATTGAAATTCCACTAGTCCTGGATCCATAATTGAGCAGATTTCTATTGAGCCCACTGTTAAAATGGCCAACTTTACAGCAGAAAATAGGTGTGTACAGCCTGATACAAAGAATGATTTTGGTTTATATAGCTAATATTACCTTTCATGACAACTGTCAGGGGGTGCATTTCTTCATAACTTATTTGTTTCGTTTATATTAAGTTATATTAAATCTGCATAATTAAGGGCGTGGCCACTTGAGTGACAGCTAGGTCTCGCTGCCTCATCACCTCAGCTGATTCCGAATGATTAGCTGCTGAACTTGGCATTTATATCATGTTCTTGTTTTGAATTTTAAGGATGCTTTCACACTAGCACTTTTGATCCGCACCCGGATTTGTGTGGTACGTTTAGCTAGTGTAAACGATGTCTTCTGATCTCGGGTCATCGTTCACATCGTTTGTGCAAACTCTGGTACAGTTCACTTCTAATACAGCCGTACCACAGAACGGAAGTGAACCGCCAACTGTACAAGAAACTTTAGTTTTCATAATGTTCATTCGTGTGTGTGTGTGTGTGTGTGTCTGTGTATCATCTACATTGGTGACAAGCGGAACTGACCCAGTGCAAACAGAGATAATGTCTGCTTTTCCTCAACCAAAAACCACTTCTGCAGACATAGCGCAATATTCTGAACATTTAAAAAAAAAATTGCGGCAGATAGACGCAAGTGGTTCTGTATTGTGGTTTTTGGTAACAAAAGCCAAAGATTTAGTAAAAGCAGAATGATCGTGATATGCGGACGTCTCCATTTTGGTGCTTTGTTTTCTTGGCCATCACCTAGCCACAGCTGTACACAAAACAGCAGCTTGATGATGCAAGGTTCAGAAGGAAAAAAGACAATGTGAACACAAACCAGCCGAAAAGGTGGCAAGAGGGGGGGACAATCGAACTTAGTTTCGGTCCAGGCAACTGAACTAAGTGTGAAAGCATCCTAAATTGTAAATGACAACATAAATTGTTAAAGATGGAGGGATACATGTGACAGAATGCATGAGACATAAAATTAAAAACATGGTTGAATGACTCACCAATTGCCACCGCTGTTTCTTCTGAATCGCCTGTAACCATCTTCACGGCCACTCCACTGCTGATCAGCGTGGCCACCGCCTCCTTCACTCCCGCTCTGGGAGGGTCAATGATGCCCACCAGCCCAAGGAAGGTAAGAGAGCCCATCTCAGATCCAGAAGCAAACGCCAGCACTGCCAGAGGACAAAACAACAGCATCAGCATCTCAATTTTATTACCGAGTCCTCTATAAAATGCCTTTAATTACAAGAGAAACTAATAGAGAGAAATGTCAATATGTGAAACGCTTCTTCAACGTCCTCCGAGACAACTTAATCTTATCAAAACAAGACAAATGACAGACGGGACAGCTGCAAGATGGAAAATCCTTGCCAGGGTGTCACTGAACGTTTTTGTGTCATTTCAAAGTTATGTGTGATTTGATCGTGGTTGGGAAACTGTGTGACTTTATGCCACAGCACAGAAGCATTAATGAGTTGAGATCCATGCACAGACCTTACCAGAAATGCTCTTAAGAATAGTATAAGCTGTGGGATTTGAAGGAAAAAGACATCAGAGCTTTACATAAAGAAGCTACCGTATCAGTGACTCAGCAAAACATAAGTAGCCTTCTTAAAAACAGTTTATCCAAAAATGAAATATCACACAAAGAAACATTATTAAATAAATGTTGGAAATTTGTTGCTAATGTCTACCATATTATTAATAACCTGTCCACTTACATATTAGGTACCCTTACCAGATTGGACCCCATTTTGCCTTCAGAACTGCTTTAATTCATATGGTATAGATTCAACAAGTTACTGGAAATATTCCTCAGAGATTCTGGTCCATATTGACATGACAGCATCACGCAGTTGTTGCTGATTTGTCAGCTGCACATCCATGATGCTCCTGTTCCACCACATACCAAAGGTGCTCTATTGGATTGAGAGCTGGTGACTGTGGAGGCCATTTGAGTACAGGGAACTCATTGTTATGTTCAAAAAATCAGTCTGAGATAATTCAAGCTTTATGACATGGTGCATTATCCTGCTGGAAGAAGCCATGAGAAAGAGTACACTGTGGTCATAAAGGGATGGACATGGTCAGAAACAATACTCAGGTAGGCTGTGGTGTTGACACAATGCTCAATTGGTACTAATGGGGCGAAAGTGTGCCAAGAAAATATCCCCCACACCATTACACCACCACCATCAGCCTCAACCATTGATACAAGGCAGGATGGATCCATGCTTTCATGGTGTTGAGCCAAATTCTGACCCTACCATCCGAATGTTGCAGCAGAAATCGAGACTCATCAGACCAGGCAACATTTTTCCTATCATCTATTGTGCAATTTTGGTGAGTCTGTGCGAATTGTAGCCTCAGTTTCCCGTTTTTAGCTGACAGGAGTGGCACCCAGTCTTGTCTTCTGCTGCTGTAGCCCATCAGCCTTACGGTTAGACGTTTTGTGCATTCAAAGATGCTCTTCTGCATACCTCTGTTGTAACGAGTGGTTATTTAAGTTAGTTATCTTTCTATCAGCTGCAACCAGTCTGGCCATTCTCGCAAAGGTATTTGTACCCACAAAACTGCCGCTCATTGTATATTTTCTCTTTTTCTGACCATTCTCTGTAAACCCTAGAGATTGATGTGCGTGAAAATCCCAGTAGATCAGCAGTTTCTGAAATACTCAGACTAGACCGTCAACAACTATGCCACATTCAAAGTCACTTAAATCACCTTTCTTCCCCATTCTGATGTTCGGTTTGAACTGCAGAAGATCATCATGACCACGTCTACATGCTTAAATGCATTGAGTTGCTGTCATGTGATTGGCTGATTAGAAAATTGCGTTAGCAGGCAGTTGGACAGGTGTACCTAATAAAGTGGTCAGTTATAGTACTATATCAATGGCTACAGGTTTCCAACATTCTTTTAGATATCTTCTTTTGTGTTCAACAGAAAAAGAATCTCATACAGGTTTGGGACTACCTGAGGATAAGTAAACTAATTTTTGGGTGAACTATGGCTTTAAATACTGACAAAGGTAGCACTAAAGTGTCAAGTAATATTAGCATTGTCAACCAATAATGCCAACTCCTATCAATGAATCAGCTAATGCCATTCATTTGTAATCTGATATGACATCCTGCTTTAACAGTTGCTTTAATAACACGTAATAGAAAAATAATCCATAATAGCTTCTCATAATAGCATAATAGTCTCTCCACAATAATGAGGCTTAATGTAGTCATTTAATTAAACATAATGCAACAAAAATACACTGTGCTTACTATAAATCATGCTACCCCATTTAGTTCTATTTAATTATATATAGATTTATGTATATATAGATGTATGTATATATCTCTTCATCCAAGGTTTCTACAGGTTTCATCATGTCAAATTTAGGACTTTAAGACCTTTTTAAGACTATTATGAATGAAATTTTAGACTTACACAAGGCTAAACGGCAAGGATTTTTTCTAATGGCCCAGGTAAAACATTAAAAAAACATTAAGAACAGGCGTTATTGTAAGGGAGATAATTAAACCATACATTTATAAATAGACATAGAAGTAAAGAGTTGGTTTATAAATATGAGTTAATAAATAAACGTTTGTTAAAACTTTTATTGCGATGGAATGATAGTGATTGGATGAGTGTGGGCCCGACTGGATAGCTTTACATGGACATAGGAAATTTAAGACCTGTTTAAAAGGATTTAAGACAATATTTAAGTGAATTTAAGACTTTTTAAGGCCTAAAATATTGATTTAGAATTTTAAGACTTTATAAGACTTTTTAAGATTCTGCAGACACGCTGTCAAGATTCTACAGTACGTTGAACAGAAATGTTTCATTAACAACCTTTTTCCTATGGCCCATGACGCTTTATGTGAATTGGGTGATTTTAACTTCTATAGAATTGTAGGAAATCAGTAAAGATATGTGTACAATAAGGTGTCATTATTTCCTCACAGTTAAAATATTTTTTTTTATTTTGTGTGTGTGTGTGTGTGTGTGTGTTTTAAATAATTGCTTTCAGCAGACCACGAATAACCCCAAAAACTCAAAACAAGTTAGCAATATTATAATGTGGTAAATATTATTGTACTGGTGTGAATACAAAGAAAAAATACTGTGGAGGAGCAAAACACAGTGAACTCAAAAGAGCTTTGGCCACAGATGTGCTTGTGATGCTAATGTCACATAAAATAGCAAGTGTAATGTTTTTTTCATAATGGATACATTTAAAACCCAAGGCAAAACGCCTCCAAACTAACTTTCTACTATGTAAAAGGATTATTTGTAGCACAATATTATGTAAAATGAATCATTTTATTGATGCAAGAATTTATAACTCTACTGTTTGATTCAGAGAGAAAGAAGGTTTTCTTCTGGAACATTTGATGCATTACTGATTCTTTAAATGTGATACTGTAACTCTCTGACTAAAATGCATCAATAAAACAGTGTTAAACTAAAATGGATCATTTTAAATGTTGAGTTCAATAGAAAAGATTAAAATATAATAGAATAGACCAGGGATTCTCAAACTCGGTCCTGAAGGTTCCGGTGTTCTGCAGATTTTAGCTCCAACTTGCTTCAAGACACCTGCAAGGATGTTTCTAAAAAGCCTAGTAGGAGAATGATTAGCTAGCCTAGGTGTGTCTGATTGGAGTTTAAGCTAAAAACTGCAGGACACCGGACCTCCAGGACCAAGATTTAGAGCCCCTAGAATAGACATTTACAAACAGGAAGAGCAAACTATAACTCGAACCACAGTAGTCATCGACAAAAAAGGTGGATAAAGTCTTTAATGCTGGATTTGAACATTTTAATGCATCGCTGCAGAATTAAAGTGGTCATTTCTTGACTAATATAATGACAAATATTTACCTCTAAGACCGCCAGAGCCCATGTAGCTCTTCTGCTGTTGGTAGAAGTCTCTCTGCTGATTGTTCAGAGGCATAGTGACGCCTTTGCTGTTGTAGGATGTACAGAAGCGGATGACCTGCTCATAGGCGCCCTTTACATAAAACAAGCCAGGCTTATCCTGTGTAAATGCAAGAAAACACAATTAGTTAACTACCAGAATAACTTTGCAGGTTATTTTGACAAAGTACTGCTTATTTACAAAGGAAATGTCTTATTCATATGTAAAGTAGCCGTTTGTTACATGACATTAAAGGTGCAGTGAAATTAAAATAAAGTTTTTTTAGATGTTAGTATCAGTATGTTAGTCTTCAGGTATGTCTATACGCAGGTGTGGTACAAAACAGTGGCAAAATTTGTGTTTAGAAGATATAAAACCAATATAAACATAAAACTTGTCAATTCCATGAAATAGATAAAACGTTTTTTTTTTTTTAATGTCATCTCATAAAATCTTGACGAATCAAACGCTCTCTAGTATCTCACATGCCCCACCCCCTTCAAGACACTTCTCATTTGCTTTTCATTTGACGCACTTGAGCTCAACCCGTCACTGGCAGAGCTGTGACAAACAAAATGCTATTGCCAGTTTTTACAAGAGGAAAAGCTGCACTATGTCCCACCTTCTTTTCGTTTTTCAGTTGAGATTACGTCAAACGTTAAATAAAAAATTCACATTTCAAAGCCCTTTACGGGACCTTTAAAGGGGTAGAAAAATCTTAAACTGATGTTTTCAAAGACAGACTAATGCGTCTTTGTGAATGAATAAGCATGAGGTGCTGCATTGGGTGTCCACATCAAATTGAATTTACAAATCATTTTATAAAGTTATCCTCCAACTTTAAATAAAATATATAATATAATAATATATAAAATTTATAGTAAATAACATAAAATAAAATATGGGTGAAACAATGATCCACCATCATTAACAGAAAAATTTTACTTAATAAAATATCATTTTTTACACAAACAATTAAAATGAAATGATTACTTAATGCCGATCAAAATTTAAATAAAATATTCTGATAAACTTCTGTGTTGTATACATAGATATCATAGATATATCACAGACAACAGATATTATATACAGACATCAATTCTTCTAAAAAGTACACAACAATATACACAACACCTATACTTTTTTCTGCTTTGGTTTGCTAATAATGTAATAACATGCACATTTACTAAAGCTGCTTTGACAGTAATCATAATGAACAGCAATATATAAGTAAACTTGAGTTTAAAAAAGCATTAACTAACTAACTTGAAAATGAGAAACTCAATACTCTACAATCGACTTCTTAAAAGATTTATTGCATCACAATGAATTCAGGACTGTGCTCTGAAACCTTCAGGCTTTATAGACACTCCTCGCGTTCCTCAGAGAGAAACCAAGAGGCTTTTCTTTAGATCAGTTGGGCTGATGAAACTGCAGCTATTAACACTTAAAATCACGTATAGCACTAATGGCTTCAGGACAAATGACACTTGATAGGCTCAACAATACATTTTTGCCCCAATTCAACATTCTGGCTGATGCGATTTCTTCTCTTTAAAGGACTCCTTATGCTCACTTAAGCAAGGTTTGAATTATTTCATCAAATATTTTTTATTATTTTGTCTGCTTTCACAGTGCTGTGATAAGCAACAGAAATGGTGAGGTGGAGGAGTCTGTTGGGTTGTAATAACTCTCCCCAAACTATTTTCCCAATATTTCTGAATGAAATGCCTACTTTACTACATCCAATCAGCTTGCAGAAGAATAAACAAGCCACGCCCACCACTTTCTCATTTTATCTTCTGTTTCTCTGGGAAGTGTCACAATATGAAAAAATAAAAACTGGTCACAGCTTCCGGTTCATACGGACTTTAAAGTTCAAAATAGTGATGCTTAATATTTTTAGGAAATCCATGCTATTTGTTTAGGATTCTTTAACAAGTTTTTAAACCTACTGTCATATTTCAATTTCTTTTAAATTATTTATTTGAAACAGAAATCATCTTTTGACAAGTCATGTCTGCCAGTTTTAAACAGTTCAATGTGAGCCACTAGTCACAATAGTGTTTCACACCTGAAGCCCTTGGATTGCTCTGTAAAAAGTGAACCGGTGAGATGAATACTGTGGATGGCATTTGTGTACCACTGTGATGCTTCCAAGTAAATGTCAGCTTGTTACCTTGTATCATGTGTATGTTTTGTGTCATGTGACCAGGCTTACCCTCTGAGTGCGATGAACAACCCGGACAGCCATCCACTTCTGCTCTGAAGTGAAGGGTATCTCCTCCAGTCTCACAAACTCATGCTGCAGTCCCTCCAAACCCATCTATTAAATGCGGACAAACAGAAAATAAATGCACATTGTGTTGCACACTCCGCTCATCTGAATCCTTCAATGAAAGACTAATCTGATCTCAAAGAAACTGATAATATAGTGAATAGATTTAAAGGTGGCAGAGTGTATAGATTCAATATGTCAAATTGTTTTCTTATATCTGCATAGTAGCTGCAGTATGCGTCTTAAGCAGGTAAAAAAAAAAAATCCCCAGAATTGGTTTTGTTTGCTGGGCGACAAAAACGGTATCAGTATTTATTGACTGTACACCAATGTCAATAACTATAAAAAAAAAAAAAAAAAAAAAGTTTGGTATAAAGCACTATAGTTTTATTAAAACGTGGCTGGTGAGTACGCGCATGACAGCTGGTGAGTACGCGCCTTGAAAGGAATCTCAATACGCTTAGGGTGTAAGTTTGTTATTTCCAATCAAGCTGTGCGACTTGCGCACGCAAATAGGGAGTGACGAGAACATGGGGTGCAAGTGGAGCTTGAGGTGCTTGAGATGCAGAGACCTTGAAGTAACGTTGTATCACTGTATATGGGAATGTAAAGGAATACACAACTTGAAAGAAATAATAGAAAAGATTTTTGACGCTTGTATACCAATGTGTCCTTTAATTATTATTTTTTATTTATATCCCAAGGAGTTAAGTTAATAAAGACGGAGCATATATTTATGAATAAATGTATTCTGCAAGCGAAATGGCTTATTTCTTTAAATTGGAAAAGTATACGTGCACCAAATATCGGCCGTTAGTTGAAAGAGATGGTAACAAACATGTCAATGGAAAAAAAAAACGAATGTGTTAAGAAATAAATTCATAATTTTTGATAGTGTTAGGCGACCTGTGATGTTGTTTCTAAAAGATGGTGGATTTGGAAATGTTTACTAGAAGATCAGTAAAAGAGGTGATAGTGTATTCTGATGTAAAATACTGAGAAGCCTTTTGTTTAGTTTGTTCATTTGTTTGCTTGTTGGTTTATGCTATATCTGGCACATGAAAATGTTAAAATATATTAAAAAGGATTTGAGGGAAAAATAAAACAAAAAAGAAAACATTGTGGTCAATCAAACACAGTCTGGGGTGTGTGATTGGCCGGTTTTTCATCAGGCTTTTGCACTTGAAAGATTTACAGGACAATGAGGATTATTTTTTTAAGCTTACAGAATTTCATTCTCATCTGTGTTTAGGTATATTCAGATTTCCATTCTATGGTAAATAAAAAAAATATATATATATGCAGGCATATAAATAAGGTTAATATGCGATCAACCAAAGTTGTTGCTGAAACTGAAGCAAGGGGATGCCTCAACTAAATTGGGTAAAAATGTAATGTACATTTCACTGTAACTGTAGCCCCCAAAAGCTTAAATGACGATTACGAAATGCTTTCACCTCAATTCATTTCTTAGTATCATGGTCTTGCACAAACGAGACCCACTCTTATTTTCTTGAGAAACATAAAAATCGAGATGCTTTCATCTGTGGATTTGCATGACATTTTTCTCAGTTTAATCCCTATGTAAATGTCCCTGTGGTGAAAACAATGTTATTAGTGTACCAGACGTTAACACAACCGGGGCCCTCAGGGGAGATGCTGTTGCCACAGAAACCTGTTCTATGGGGTGTGAAAGCTTGTCTGCTCATCTTAATTAGCATGAGCGAGAAGAACTGTTTCGAACGCTCTGTTTGCCAAAATGAGGTGAGCACAAGGTGACAGGCAGCCAGGCATTTATTTCCACAGGCTGCTGCCTCGTGTCTTGACAGGTGGGTAGGGCCAACAGGCATGTCCAACAACACTGTTTGGGATTAGTTACGATACAGGATTTGTATGTAGTATCACTAAAGAGCACCAATAACAGCTTATCATGCCAAACGGCACCATAATGTACCTTCATAGCCAGTGCGATGAGCGCGCCTTCTGTGGGACGACCCATCAGAGTATTGTGTCTGATCATGGCATCATTGCACACACAGCCAACCTACAGAATTGCAGAAACCGAACAAATAGGGCCACATTATTAGGAGTAGCAGAGTGACTCTGCATTTCATGATGTTTTCTGCTCAGCCTTACCTCCACGATCTTGCTGATGGAGGTGTTGGAGATGCCATGCACCACTTCTCCATCCATTAAAATCTCTCCAGAGTTATTGTACCCGATGCCAGTGACCTGTCAAAGAAATGACAAAGAAATCTTAATGCCAGTCAAATTGAAAGTGCATTTGCAGCTTTGAGAAGTGCCATATTTAAAGCTAATTATCAAGAGACACCAACAATGCAGACAAGTACCAGATAACATTGTCAATGGTGGAGTTTTCCATACACTGAATTATTTGTGACCGCCTGCCTTAATATCAAAACTAACCATGACATAAACATTTTCTAAAAGGTTTTGACTTTGTTAAACAAACATGAACACTGCACGTTTCCGCTAAACACAGCAAGTGTTTTAATATGAAGGCAGTTTTTTTTATTTGCATTTTTTAAAGACTGTCTTGAGAAAAGTCTCAGTTATTTGCATTTAGAATTTTTTATAATGCCTGGAAAAGAACCGTTTGAGAGTTCAGCGCTGCTTTGATTAAAGCTGTTATGGTAAATACCAGTATTACTGGCAACCATAAGTGCCTCCTGCTGGCAGAGAGTCAATTAGCATTGGCAATCAGCCTGTCTGCTGTGCATCTTCCTTCAAACAAATTGTAAATTAAATACAGTGGTCCTTCACCATATCAACATTCACGGTCTTGCAGTTTCGCTAATTGTTTAGTGCAATTCAACATGCTTTATTTACAGCGTATTGTGTTCAGCGTCCTGATTAGTGCATTGTGTTCTGCATCCTGATTGGCTGTGTAGACCATTGTCAATCAATCTACTCCATGCTGTGTCTCCTGTACAGTACAGAATGTGTTCAGCTTGCAAAGTTTACATGAATCTTCGATCACTAGTAGTGCGACTTTGAAGTGCTGTACTGTATGTTTGCAAGATTTCTCCCCAACAAACCCCATAATGATGCACCCACAGTAGCACTCAAAAAGCAGAGGAAGATGCTAACCATCGCACAAAAAGTTGCACTTCTGGACAAGCTCAAAGAATGTAGAAGTTACATGAGTGTTTAAACAAAAGAGAAAAGTGTGAAAATGTTAATGCTTAACGTTATCTGAAAACCGTGATGTGAGGGGTTTTACAACCTTAAAACATCTATAATGATTGTTAAAAATGAAGTGGACTATTTACAGATTTCACCTATTGCAGGCTATTTTTAGAATGTAACTCCCGCCGATTAACGAAAAACCTTCTGCTGAACTGTTATCTGTTCCAAACTTTAAGATGAAGTCATTTGGTGGCAGGGCTTTTGGTTGTACAGCACCAAAGTTATGGAATTCCCTGCCTTTGCACATTTGCCAGGTGAACTCTGTTTCCACTTTTAAAACTCAGATAAAAGCTTTTGTTTAGGATAGCTTTTATTGATTTGCTGGTCTAATATAATGTTGATTGTTATTTTTACTGCATATATTTTTACATGTGCTTGTGATCTGCAGTAAGGTGTCCTTGAGTGCTTTGAAAGGCGCCTAAAAATAAAAGGCATTATTATTATTATTATAACTGGGGACCACTGTAGCCATTTTGGATTGGATTTGTTTTTTTGAGTAAACATCTAAAAGTGAATGTTGATATGTTGCAAAACTAAGAATTTAGAAAAAAATAATGCTTAGAAATATTGAGATATTAGAAATATTTTTACAATTGTGTTTACATCATACTGACCAATTCATGTTCATTGCATTTGGAATAGAACTTTAAGCAGATTCAATAAATAAAATGTTACATGAATTGTGATCATGGATTTTATTTAATGTTGACTAATTATTTTTTAAACCTAAAAATTGATATGATCACTTAATAGAATGAAATCTACGTCTCAAACATTTTACAACCTGACAAATGCTATTTAATGTGTGAATAAAATGTAGGATAGGACTTTACATTCTCAGAAAAACAAAAGTTGTGATGCCATAAAAAGCCATTTTTTCTTCTGCAAAGACCCTTTCAGTGATCAGTTCTGAAAATAACCACTTATTTCGTGTGACAAACAATAATCTAAAGAACTCCCACTTTAATAAACCTCTTGTGTAATCAAAAGTTTTCATGGATGGCTTCTTTGTGGCACCATCAAAGCCAATCCACTTGTAAAGTGAGACATCAAGCGAAGCGGCTTCCGGGTCCAAGCGCCATATGAAACTGTATGGGGAGGCTCATCAAAGGGTAATATTAAACATTTACAAATGGATGCAATAATTTTGAAAATCACCCAATATATGCCTAATATCAGTTGGCCAGAACATAATTTTTTATAATTGTTAAAATATTGGTGCCTGTGATGTAGCAAGTCCACCAAGATTTTATTGAAAATTCTCTTTAATGTGTGATATGATATAGTGGTCATACACAAATAATTTCTCAAATCAAATGAGTAGCGGCCTGGACATGGAAACAGTATTTCATACTTCACCAATATATCACGACTTAACAAGCGGATAGAAAAGGTGGTTAATCATAAATAGTGCTCTGTTTTAGTAAGGTATTTTAAGGGATAAGCTTATAAAACAGCTGGCAATATCAATATCAGTCAAAATAAAGTTCTTCTGAATTAAGTTATTACAAACTTTGATAAACACTCAAACTCTATGCCACACAAGACTTGAATACTGATGCTAGATGACATTTAGGAGTCTTTTGACAGCAGTCTCTGTTTGAATCCTACAGGGAAGTGAAATTCAAAAACATGAAGTAATGGGTCTGGGTGGAACGACCTACTAGATTTAAAAAGTGAGAAACTCGATCTTCAATTTCCCTGTAATGTAATGTAATAACATGAACCTTTTGTCAAGCTGCTTTGGAACAATAATTATAGTGAAAAGCGATTTACAAGAAAACTTGAATTGAACGCAGCTAACAGGGAGGACCAACCTTATTTAGTATAGCACAATGAATTCAAGACCGAAACCATCAGATTTTTGAAACGCTCCTCATGTTCCTCAGAGATGCTGCTCTTTAGATCAGTCTGGCTGATGAAACTCTGCAGTTATTAACACTTCAGATCATGTACTGTGGTAATGGCTACAGGACAAATGAAACCTGAAGGCTGTACAATTCATTCTTTCACTGCTCAAAGTTTGAGGATTATACTTGAGTTCAAAACGTTATTTTCCTAAGTTCTGCTTAATGCTTAATCCTTCTCTTAATAGAGATTTTTTCAACACATTTTTTACCAATAATTTTAATAACTAATTTCTAAATAATATTTTACAACTTGTTTTGCAAGATTATTCTACTATTGATATAGATTATTGATAGTATTTCAATTAAGACTTTAGGTTATTCTGTGAACCAAGTAAGGTTAATTAGGCAAGTTATTGGTAGTTTAACAGTAGTTTGATCTCTATACAATCAAAAAATATATTATTCTTAAGGTGGCTAATAATTATATAGATCTTTTAGAGTCTCTTACGGTCACTAAAGCAAGATTTGTTTAATTAAAATACAGAGTAACCCTTTTTTATTAAAAAAGTTTTAAGATTTGTAAAAGCTGCTTTCTAAAACGAGTTGGTGCCCAAACAGTGCTGCCCAATATTTTTGAGGGAAATATAGTCATTCATTCATTTTCTTTTCGGCTTAGTCCCATTATTTCACCTATAATTTCACCTATAGCACACGTCTTTGGACTGTAGGGTTAACCGGAGCACACAGAGGAAACCCACGCTAACATGCGGAGAACATGTAAACTCCACACAAAAATTACAACTGACCCAGCCAAGGCTCAAACCAGTGACCTTCTTGCAGTGAGGCGATTTTTCAAAGTGCAAATGTGTTCAAGTGCACATCTGCACTTTAGGTTTTGTATCATTAAAACCAAATCTGACAAATGCTGTGTCGAGGAAAATGCAAATTAACTGAGTCAAATGCTTTTTCAGCCTCAATACTTATGATAATTAATTCAATGTTTATTTTGTATATGGGTCATTATGTGTAGTGTGTTTGCTGTTGTCTTATAAAACCTGTCTGATCATTATGTATCAGCATAAGCATATATTCTTTCATGTGCTTTGACATGATGGAAGTAAATATTCTATAGTCCACTTTAAGAACAAATATTGGTCTGAAGACCCACATACCATTTGACCCTTGCCTTTTTTTGGTATGGCTGATATTATTGCCTCCTTCCAGCAAGGTAGAATTTTTGTCTTTTTTTTAGAACCCAATTAAATATAGAAAGTATGACAGAAATTAGTTGACTTCTAAACTCCTTAATCCATTCTGTCATATAGCCATCTGATCCAAGTGATTTGCCTGGTTTAAGTCTATTAATTGCCATTTTTAATTCCTCCTCGACTATGTCAATGGTCATTCTTCTATTTTGTTCTTCATTTAATGTAGATAATTCCAAGGAATTCAAGTAAGTGTCGATTTGTGTCACATTTCCACCCTAGAATAAAAGGTTTTATAAAATTCTTTAAAAGTTTCCTGAATTGAATTTAGTTTGCTTCTTATTATTTTGGTTTTTGGGTCTCCAATTCTGTGAATTGTGTTTTTTGCTGTTTTCTTCCTCAATTTCCAAGCAAATATTCTCATAGCAGTAGATCCACCTTCATAGCACCTCTGTTTTAAGAACATTAAATTCTTGATTATGTGTGAAGCCAAATCATTAATTTTGCACTTTGGATTTTGAAAGTTTTGTTTAATTTTCCAAGCACCTACACAACAGCATGTGCGTTTATTTGCCACAAGTGTACAGCAAAACTTCAAAATGAGCCAATTTCTGATGAATGCAAGTGGAAATAAGACACTAATTTTCTCTGCTAGAAGTTGTTAGTCCCGTTTTTCAGGAAAGTGACACTGCAAAAATTGCTTTCTAGTCCAAATATCTAACAATCCCTAAATCAAGAAGTATTTTCCAGACAAGCAAAAAAAATAGTCTGGTTTTAGAAATGATGTGTAAAAATGAAGTGAGTTTTTCCTTAAAATGAACAAAATAATGTCCCAATGGAGTAAGAAATATAATCTCATTTTGCTTTTGACATAAGATTATTTTGCTCACACCATTAGCAGATTATTTTGCTTGTTTTAATAAAAAAAACTCACTTTATTGTAACTCATTTTTTCTAAAAATCACGACAATAGCGTTTGTTTGTCTAGAAAATGTTTCTTGTTTTGAGAATTTGGACTAGAAACAAAACAAAAACTACAAGAATGGCACGTAAAAAAATGCTTTGAGACCAATTTATACATGAACAGAGGTCCACATCAATGTCTTATTATAGATGTGTTAACTGTTATTATGGATGATCTGACACCCAGATCACACTTTGTAAGTGAATTCGGGTATAGTTTCGTGGCAAAAAAAATAAAAATAAAATAAAAAAGTAAAAAAAAATAATAATAAAAAAATAAAAATAAATCACAAGTTCTAGTGTCATGTCCCCCTTATTGGCTTTTCAGGACTCTTACCTCAGCGTGCTGGCCATCAGAGGTGAACAGATGAGTGACTGTCATCTCATTTTTAGTGAGAGTGCCTGTTTTATCTGAGCAGATCACATTACAGCAGCCTGAGGAGGGGAAGAGAGAGAACAAGTGTCCTGTGTTAATACACACAACAAAGATAGTCTGATTTCCATAAAATCAGTCACATTGTTCAAGAGAGAATGCAAATAAGACCTGATATCAAAATAATACTTGGCAAAGAAATCTAAATAATTATTTTTCATGAAGGAAAAAAATAGGAAGTACTTTGAACCTATTTAATATATTCATTTTCCTTTGGCTCAGTCCATTATTTATCAGAGGTCACCACAGTGGAATGAACCAACAACTATTATAACAATTGAGCATACGTTTAGGCAGCGGATGGCCTTCTAACCACAACCCAGTACTGGGAAACACCCATACACTCTCACATTCACACACGCACTCTTACATACAGGCAATTTAGTTTATTCATAATATAACATATCTATCTAATAATATCTATAACTTTCATTTATATAAAACATACATAAAATCAATTTGAAATTATACATTTTTAAAAAATCTAATCAGATTTCCAGTGAGAAATTATATATTAATTTTAAAAACTTTACAAAATAGTTCTTGATGGTACTTGGGCAATGAAGTGTCACAGTAAAAACTCATTTTCTCTATAGGGAATCTGTTTTTTTTATCAATGACTGAAAAAGTTTGGTCCCACTTTATTTTTATGTACATTACTAACTATTAATAAACCATTAACTATGAGTTTGCCTCAATAAACTACTAATTTGCTGCTTATTAATAGATTAGGTATTTGGTAACGGGTAGGTATTGGGTAAGATTAGATTTCTAAGTACTAATCAAAGACCAATACCTTAAACATGGTGAGAATCAGTAGATAAACTACAGTGTTAAAAAAAACTTTATATATCTCTTCATGGAATTTGTGTCTTTTACCTTTGTCTTTTTGTCAGATTTTTACACATTTCTTTGCTGAAAATTACATAATGCTGTGATCCATCAGGTTGGTTTGGATTATGGATGATTATAACACCTATAAATTCCTATGAGAATATGAATGGGGAAAAATAGCCCTTTTATATTCTTGCCTTTTATAGCCTCAGAAAACAGTTAAAGGCAAAGTTCACCCCAAAACAAACCACTGACTTCCATAGTAGGAAAAACAATTACTATGGAAGTCTATGGTTATACGTTTTCCTCAAGATAGCTTGTTTTGTGTTCAATACACTAAAAAAAAATCAGTTTGTAAATCACTTTAGAGCAAGTAAATAGGTAAATATAGTTAAATAGTTCAATTTTAATTCATGAGTGAAATATACCTTTGAGCCTAAACCTACTGTACATGCAAACACAGTTTTTTTTCTGTTCTGTAAATAATGCCAATCACACACTAATGACTGATTACCAGAGTTGGGTGCAACGCGATCCACAGTAAAATGTTACTGTACTGTAATTATATTTTGGGGGGAACAAAGTAATGTAACAAATTACATTTTAAATTTGTGTAATTTGATTACAGTTACTTAAGTCAGTGTAATTGTGTTACTTGCTTTACTAATATAGTTTTTAGAAGAAAAAATGCTGTTTAAATCATGTTTTCCCCTGCAACATCAGTAATAAGCATGCGCTTTTAAATTGCTGAAGAACATGAGCTGAAATGGTTGCTGATGAGAGTTGTAGCTTCTTCAAGTGGAAATGCAGACATTACTTTGATTTTTATTGACTGAAAAAATATTGCTGTGAAAAGCAGTCTATGTCCAGTCTCTAAAGAACTTTCGACTGATTTTAACTCGACCAGCAACTTGTTCAAGCTCTTAAACAGAAAGCATTCTACGACAATACTCGTCACCAAGGAGGACATCCAACGCCAAAAATACGGCGGCCCTACTCAGCCTAAACAGGCTAAATTAAAAAACATGCATGCGGGATTGGGAGTGAAGGTTTCTTCTGAATGAAAAGCGAAGCATAACTGCTTATGGGGCGTTCACATATTGCACATATTGTCCGCGCTCAATTTGCCAGGTGCACCAGTTGAAAACAGTGAGTCACGTGGCAAGAACGGACTGATCGGCTTCATACTAATGTATGGAATATTCGGTAGACTAATTACCTCAGACTAACACAGCATACTGTGGATGTCAATGGTTACAGGTATCCAGTTTTCTTCTAAATGTCTTATTGTGTTAAAACATAGACAGAACAGGATAGGAACAAGTACATATTAAAAGAATTTAAAGTTTTGGGCAAACAATTTCTTTATGTCAGGCTGCTGTGATCAACTCATTGTAATGTTTTTGAGTAAATAATAAATCACTGAAAGAGCTGCAGTTTATTTAGCTTTTTTATAGGAATATTTTATATGTTTTAAAGGTAACTTTAAAGTAAAGCCATTATTAATCTGATTACTTTTTACATTAACTAATTAGTAATGTAATCAGATTATAATTTTCCAGTCGTAGTCAGTAATTTGTAATCTATCACTTTTTTAAAGTAACTTCTGATGTTAACAATATACACAGAAACATAAGCAAAAATTATTTATTCCTTTACCTTCTCTAATTTCTAGAAAAATTAGGGTCACATTTGAAAATTATTTGAACTAAAGAATTGAGCATTTCATAAATACCTTAAATGTTTTAGACACCCACAAACTGTTTGGATTTAATGTGTCCACTTTGAGAGTGACTGTGGCTGGTCATTTGACTCTGTGGGCTGAACGATTCTCATATGACTGATTATGTAAAGTCACTGAGGGGAGAAACCACCAAAGTGACTTTTGTTTATTCTCCTACGAGCACTAGCAGACAAACAGGAAGGAAATGCACAAGGTCTTTGTCTGAACGTTAAACAGAGAGAGATGCTTGGACAATAGATTACAGATCATTTACAAACTGTCCTTGTATTCCATTGATCAGTGTTTTGTGAACATTTCATCTATCTGTTCTCAGAAGGTCACAGATGGTCATGAAACAACAGTGTGGAAAATGGTTAGAGCTGCTGTTAAATGGGATTTTGCTGAAAAGTAAGTGTCACTTGATAAAAGACAGCCAACAATAATGTGTCCGGTTTATGTCTTTCACTTTTATAATTGGATAAATGAGGATAAAACTGCATTCTGAGAACCAAAATCTTTTAGACTTCAAAATACTACAGTCCCAAGTTATTATAGGCAAAAAATGTGAAACTACTTTTTCTACTGATAAAAGTATAGATCATTTCAATGTGGTCAGGTCAATGGCCCATTAATATTTTCTGCTTGTTTTCAAACTATTTCATATCTGTAACAAAAGGCAATTCAATCATATTAACATATTCAATGTTAAAAAAGCTGTCATAACATCAATGTGTGGCTCTTTTTGAATTCTGGGAGTTATAGAAGCTAAAAATGTAAAACAGGAAATATGTTGGGACGATTGTTTTTGTTTGCATTATGCAAAATGGTCTATATAAGCAAAACGATATGCACATATTATATAATATATATCAGGAGTGTCAAAACCAATTGTTTCTTCGACACAGACTTGAACACTTCAGTATCGTTTCAGTGATAATCATAACTGGTTATTATGTACTGATGTCATTTATCACTTATGCGTTGTATGGCCGTAGCTTACTATGGCGAGGGAGGAGACCGCAAGTAATTAAAACACTCCAGGGAAGTAAATCAGAACACAGCCCTCTCTCACTCTCTATGGCCCCTTTGACCTGCTGGTGTGTTCTTGAGGTAACGTTTTATCTCTTCTCTCGGCTATTACAACAATATCATTACCAGGGTATATGCAAGAATCCTAAAAGTAATTTCAATAATTTTCTAAGACTTTTTAAAGACCTTCTCACAATATTTTACGACCTCATCACCACTTCAAGTTCTAATCAGTATCGAGCCTTTAACTTAATAAAACAGCTGTAAATAAACATTTGTAGTTCAATAAATCAATAAAGCACAACAATGCAACAGAACTCAGATAAGCTTAGAAGAAACAAAGCTTGACAGAATAAATTACGCGATTGTTTTCAGCGACAGGCTTCAGGCATTGTTTAATCTTATATAACCAAGACTACGCAAGCTCACATTTTTCCATTTTGCCGTCTGTTTGGCTACATGTGGAGAGCGTCATATTATCTTCCTGTGTTTGTGGCAAATTACGTCACCTCACCTGGACGGCCAAGCTTGGCCAGACGTCCCCCTGCTCGAAACAATCTAGTGGATCGAGCGTGGCGTTCTTAATATTAGGGGGAAAATAAAAATGTATGCTTTTTTTTTTTTTGGAGTCAAACACTTTGGGCAACAATTAAACAAAATTTAAGACTTCATAAAAACACAATTAAGACTTTAATACCTTTTCATATTCGGGATAATATTTACATTTGTTTATTTGCTATAAATGCTCATGTTGTTCTGTGCATGTACTTGAGTTTTGATTGATGCATTCAAAAAGAGTGCTTTCTTTGAGCAGGTCAAATTAAAGGTACAGTTTATTTATCTGACTGCTTGCATTAAAGGAAAAAAATTGTTTTATAAATAATATATAAATATATTTATAAATTATACATTTTAACAAGAATTATAATAATAAATAATGTTAAATAGTAATAATGATAGTAGTAGTTGTTGTAATTAAAAAATATCAATAAATAATAACTTATAGAGATCATACTTAGCGTCTCCACTATGGGTAATTTCTTAACGATCGCCCTTTTCTTCACCATCCTCATTACTCCTAATGCCAAAGTCACCGTCACCACGATGGGAAGGCCTTCTGGGATTGCAGCCACAGCCAGGCTTAAGTGAACAACAAAGACACCACACTTGAAATGACGAAACCAACACCACACCAGAAGTTAGATGCCTTTTGGGAAAATCAGTCTCTGTGCTGGACACAATGATTAAAGACATACCTGACACCTATGGTGAACATGTCCAGAATGTACTTTCCCTGAAGCCACCCGACAAACATGATCACCCCTGAAAATGAGACATATATTAGTGCCGCCACAGAGAGCCAGTGTAGAGTGTGACAGAACAGAAACGAGGGTTTGCATATTTAATAAGGTGGTGTGCATCACTGATTTAAACACAAATGCAATGAATGATAATTGAACAGTCTTAACAAGGTATCTACCGATTATCCCCAGGGAATAAAGCGAGAGCTGTTTTCCCAGCAAATCCATGCTTTTCTGTAATGGGGTTTTAGGAGCCTGTTTAAAAACAAGTTAAAACACTTAATTATTATGTAAAGATATTTTAAGGATGTAAACCTCTTGTATTGCTTTACCAGTCAATAATTTGGGGTCAGTAAGATTTTTTAATGTTTTAATAAGCTTCTCCTGCTCACCAAGGCTGCATTTATTTCATCATAAATGCAGTACTAATTGTAAAATAATGAAATGTTATTGCACTACAAAAGAACTGTTCAAAAGTAGTTTATCATTTAATTTCATTATTTATTCCAGTGATTTTGAAGACGAATTTTCAGCTTCATTACTCCAGTCTTCAGAGTCACATGATCCTTCAGAAATCACTCTAATACTAATTATTCATTCATTTTCTTGGTTAAGTCCCTTTATTAATCAGGGGTCGCCACAGCGGAAGGAAACGTCAACTTATCCAGCATAAGTATTTTACGCAGTAGATGCCCTTCCATATAAATTATTTTTATTATTATTAATGCTAAAAGTAATAAAAGCAATAATGACTGGAGTAATAATTTCATTTGAAACTACATACAATAAGGAAAAAATAGATATTTAATAAATATTTACCAATTTAACAATTGTTTTTGCATTCATTAAATGCTGCCTTGATGAACAGAATAATTAGATTTTAAATTATTAAATAAAATTGATAATTAAAAAAGAAAAACTGACCCCAAACTTTTGACTGGTAGTGTATATTATTGTTTTATATTGTATTTGATTACCTCTTCCGCTTGCATCATTTTAAACACTTCACCAAATTCTGAATCTTCTCCAGTGCCTATGACAATGCCCTAAAATAAAAAAAAAACAAGTCTTATTCGATGATTTAATCAAACACAAAAAAAATTTATTAAGAAGAAATCTTAAAAATTAGTAACTGCATAAATGAACACTATAATGCAATAATGATCAAAGTAATCAAACAAAAAAAAGTCGAGAAAGAATCTTGACTTTGAACATCAAAACATCTTAAACAGATCAAAATTCTCAAATAACAAAATAGATATTCTTTCAGTTTTGTGATGGTTATGGTACAGTGCTCAGCATATATTAGTACAGCCCTTACAAGTCTATCTTTTAAAGTCATATTTTTAATTGGAAGCTATACAATGTTATATTTGTGCATATACATTAGATTAGTCAGTACTGAAGCCAAATCTGGAGCTCATCTAACAAAATAACTTAAGATAATAACCCAAAAACTAGTACACCCAAATGTATGTTATAGAAAAATATTTAATAAAATTTTAAAAAAGAAAAAAAAAGAAAAAAAAAATCGAGAGAAGCTAAAACCTTGAAAAATTTAGCTGAAATTTTGTAGGTTGTATTTTTTTTTCTTTGCGATATTTAGCTTAAATTTAATTGTATTATGTTTCCATGTCTAAATATATTTGGTGACTAAAATATTATTGGAATAAATATATATGTTTAACAAATCTGTTTTCTTTAAATGCACCAAAATACATTGCCTATATTCACTGAGAAATTAATACAAAATATTCATTTTCAAAATGTGGTGTATTATGCTGAGCAATGTGTTAGTTTGGTAGTACATTTGGTTTAATTCATCAAATATCAACAACAACAATCAAAAAGACCTTGGTCTTCCCACAGTGAATAAGCGAAATTGTACCTTATTTAAACATTGACACAAAACTCTTTACATCAATTACATCAAAAAACACAAACATTAAGCAGTAGGGAACACGTATGCCTATAAATGAACTCTGTTTGGGGGAAAGTATCAGATGAAACTGTACCTTGGCTTTCCCACAGCGCACCAGCGTCCCCATGAAGGCAATGTTACTGCGGGAAGCGATATCGCCATTGGTGGCAGCCGGTTGAGGGGCAGAGGTCTTGGTGCAGGGGGTCGTTTCACCTGTCAAACTGGACTCGTCAACTGCCAGATCTGTGGACTGCAGGGCAGAGAAGGGTCAGCTTCACCAACAGGCCATCTGAACAAAGCTCCTATTTCAGGCACTAGTACTTAAACCACTTGCAGTATTGTCAATGGTGTGTTTGACCGCAACCGTGTAAAGATTATTGCACACTGAATCCCTAATTTTCGTCTGTGATTACTAACACCACAGTACAGTTACTAACCAAGTTCTCAACAGTGTTATTCAGACACCTCACCCCCGAAATCAGTGTACAAATACCTTAAGAGTTTAAAAGAACACTCCACTTATTTTAGAAATAGGCTCATTTTACAATTCTCCTTGAGTTAAATAGCTGAGTTTTACCATTTTGAAATCCATTCAGCCGATTTTCAGGTCTGGTGGGAGCACTTTTAGTTTAGGTTAGCCTAATCACTGCCTCCCCCCATATCCCACGCCTTCATACTGCATGCTTATCACCCCCAGCGTGGGTCTGTGACCAGCGCTCTTTAGCGGCTGGATCAGTCGCTGTTACTTACATTCGACTATCTCCACATCCCCTGTTGCGATGTCATGTCTACCTCTATGCACTTGTTGCTGGGGCTTTTCCCCGAATGATATCACACTGCCTTACTTCAAGGAGAGTCTGAAAGAGGCTTCTTTCCTCTTTCTAAAAGCTACCTCTCAACTGACATGTCTTCCCCCGAAATGTGTGATGTTTGTGTATGGTCGGAGGGGTCCAATTTCGCTACATGTAAAAGTGTATGTGACAAATAAAGGCTTTTTTCATTATCATCATCATCATAAATCATTGAATCAGATTAGACCATTAGCATCTCGCTCCAAAAAAAAAAAAACTGTTCTGTTGTTGCATCATGCACTAAGGCTAAGAAAATGAAAAGTTGCTATTTTCTAGGTCGATATGTCTAGAAAGAATACTCTCATTATGACATAATAATCAGGGGACTTTGCTGTTGTACCACAGCTTTACTAAGCACAATGATATTATGCAGCACTAGAAATTCCCACCCGCATAACTAGATAATATCACTGCATACACAATATAACCGCAGAAGAGTGTTCCTTTACAAAACGAAAAATTGTAAAACACTACTTTTAAAACGTGAATTTAAAAGTGGACATAGAGAGGACTAATCTCATTTGCTGTGGCAGGTTGCAACTGAGGTCTGCAATTGAGTCTGGAGTGTGGAAATAAGAAAACGTTCACAAGATTTCTCAAGAAAATGCATAGATGCAACAGTAGATCATGGACTTAAAACAAAAATATTTTTTAAATAATTATAAAATTTGTGATTAGTCTACTGCTTATACTGTAACATGTGTCAAACTTTCTTTCTTCTGTTGAACACACAAAAAAAAAACACACACTATGAAAAACCCTGGTCGCTCACACGCATTGACTTCTACAACAAAAAGTGTATATGGAAGACAGTAGATGCCAGCTACCAGCCTGCTTCAAATTTCATATTTTGTGTTCAACAGAATAAAGAAACTCAAATGTTTGAAACCACATAACAATGAGTAAATGATAAGTTCACTTTCATTTTTGTTTTCTCATAACTTCATAAGAATTCATCAGATATAACTCAAATTTACTTTTGCTTTAACAATCAGTTACAGTAAATTGTGTTTCTACAAACTGGCAAGGATAAAGAAAATTATTTTACCTTATATTTACATAATCACAATATGACCAAATTATAATATCAGAATACTGTTTTATTTTTTTCATTTCATGTATTTTTACAGTCGATATTTTTAAGTTTTGCCATTTACTTGAGGGTTCATACACATTCATAACTACTAAAATACCATGATTTGTCCATGACTTTTCCAGGACTTTCAAGTATATTTTCATGACCTAATGACTCATGGAATGTCTGTATATATGCACATCGTAAATAATAAGAAAAACAATGCAAAAACGACCAAATTCATTACAATATATATCACAAAACACAAAACAAATCCATTTAGTTTGAATTTATTTTTTATATATCTATTGTTTTTAAAATGTATTTAGATAATGCTTACACATGGTGGTTCATTTCCCGCTGTGCCACCTCTGAAATTGAGACTAATCCAAAGGAAAATGAATGAATGAATGAATGAATGAATGAATGAATGAATGAATGAATGTTTAAGCAGCATTCATAATACGAGACCATGTTTTTGGCCAAAGACAGAAAAGAAGTAAAGACTAATTACCTAATTAAAAAGTAAATATCTAATTTCCATGACCTTTCCAAAACTTTGTGGGGATTTTTGTTTTTCCAAAACTTTTCCAGGCCTGAAAAATGCTTTCAAAACTCCATGACTTTTCCAGGTTTTCCATGACCAAATGAACCCTGTTACTTATAATAAAACCCATATAACTATAATACCCTGATTTTTCCTAAATGTGTGAATATTATTTCTAACCTTTTTAAAAATTACAATTACAAAACACAAACGAGTTCTGAGTATTTTTACCTTGAATTACCAAAGCAGTCAAATTGCATTTAAGTGTTCACCACTGCCTTGCCCTTGTAAATGCGTGTCTCTGTTGCTTAGCAATGTCCTGCTAACAAAAATGAACCTTCTGATAGTGAAAACATAACTTTATTTCATACATGTCCTTCAAAACAATATATTCAGTGCGTTTAAAATAAACCTGCTGTCCAGCATGCCAGAAAAAATGAGGTGTGCACTTTCAAGAGTGCTCTAGTAACTTGTACACATTTATAGGCTATTATCAAAAAGATTGTATTTTTAGGTTAATGACTTGATTATGAAGACAAACATTCAAAGCTTAATTCTAACATCCCAATAGAAGCTTTGAAAGTAAATATGATGTGACAGTATGACATCTTTCATGAGAATAGTCAGAATGACTAGCAGTCACAGAATTCTGGTACTTCCAGTGGTAATATATTATTAAACAGGGACAACGGACAGTGAAAGAACTGCTCCAGATGTAGCTACAAACCTAAATTCGATCTGTTGTTCATTGTTGTGCAGTATTTGCACAAAGACAAAAGGAGAAAGAGAAAAAGAGAGATATTGCTATGCATCTATATTCATTCACACCTCGAAAAGGCGCAGGTCAGCTGGGACCCTCTCTCCGACTGACAGACAGACGGTGTCTCCAGGTACAAGCTCTCGTGCCAGCAGGTGCTCCAGATGTCCTTCTCGAATACTGGAGTACAGCGAGAGATGAGAAAAGACAGAATGTGAAATAAAGAGGGCAACAAAGCATTAAACTGTTTGAAATTAGGCCAGTCAATTCATGAGGCACTCCTTGAAATGTATGTCCTGCAGGCTACGTAGAGATGAAATTATTTTGTGAATGTACCGCTAATACATTTGCTTTTTCACAAAAAAACTGCTAGGTTAGAAAGAGTGACAGAGAAAAGCATGGAAGCATATAGTGATACATGCTGAATGTAGTTTAATGATGTCTGAGAATGGAGAACAGGGCTTAAGCCTGTAGCACGACCCGGTTTTGAAGTGCAAATATGAGTCTTTATGTGTTTGAAGTGGAAATTACAGCTACTGTTCTCAACCTCCATATGTCAGCTGAAGGACTGCCTTTTATGCATTTGTTGGCTGTAAAGATGTGGAAAATATACTTTAAGTGAATACAGCCACAGATGGCCCTCACAAATGCAAAATTAACTTAGAAAAAGAAAGAAAGAATATATGATGATGAATAAAATAACTGAAAAGCTTTTTAAAATGTACTAAGAATAAAAAGAAAGCGGATTTCAGAGAAAATACAACCATTTTGTTGTGAATTATGAATATCACAGTAGAATAATATGTGTGTTTATTTACATAGAGAGGAAACTGATCTTCAAAATGTGTGTGCTTACAGGTTTCCAACATTCTTTAAAACATCTTCTTTTTGTCCAATAGAAGAAAAAACTCAAACTGGTTTGGAACCACTTCAGGGTTAGTAAATGTTGACAGAGTTTTCATTTTTGGGGGAAATATCCAATAAATCATCTTTATTGATTAAAGGTTTTAAGCAGTTTACTGTGTTTTATTCTATTTATTTTTATTGATCTATTTTTTTATAAACTGTTGAATGTGAAAATGTTGTCTTTGTCCTGTTGTTCGGTGTGATGCAGGTAATGCCGCAAATCAATTTCCCTGAGGGGACAAATAAATCGACCTACCTACTAAAAGCAACGATACAAAGCATTATAGTTAATAATAATAATCATTTCTATAAGAATACTCAAAATCACCTTTGCTTGGACATTTAAGTAATATAGTGAATAGTGTGTTTTCTACTAAATGAAATATTGGCTAAATTCTACTTTTAATATTTCAAAACAGATTATAACGAAAAACAATAACTTAAAATGCAATTTTTAACTGTGAGAATGAGAAACTTACTTTATAAAATAATATTACTGAGCAATTCCATGCAAATGTCAACCTTGCCATAAAAAAATTAAGTTTTCGCCAAAATAGCAAAACCGGTTCTGCGTTTTTTTGTGAAAGCAAGTATTTTTCAGAGCTTTAAAAATACTCAATGTCCCCATTAATGTTTTCAAACAATTATATGTGATTTAATAAAATCACACATGTGGAAATTTCACATCTGTCACATCCATAATGGAGAGATGTTGCATCCATAATGAAGCTTTTCCCTCATAAATACGAGAAAACGTCAAATAAAATAAAATCTGTAATTTTTGTTCTAACGTTAGCCAACTCTTATCCTTTTGATTAGCATCATTTCTTTTGGCTATTACAGTTGAATTCATTGAATTGCTACAAAGTATGTTAAAACTAAAAACTCGCAGACCTTTTTGGCCACATCCATAACGCATGTTTATTTTCCTCATTTAAAATATTTAAAAAAATAAAAAATTACAGATTGATATTTTTCTGACCCTATAACTCTGTGGTTAGTCCTTTTGGAAAATATAAACAGACATTTCAATACAATGTTAACATATACTCTCTCCATGAATTTGTGCTTTGAGATTTTACTGCAAGTGTCACCATAAAGCTGGAATTGCTCTACTGACTCCAACATTTGAACGCATATTTTACAAAGAATAATTGATGTGTGATTTATATTTTAAAGAAATTGCTAAACTAAAAATGTGAAATTGCTCACTATTTACTCACACTCAAGTGGTTCCAATCATTAATGAGTTATACACAGAATCTGCAGACATTTTTAGATATTTCTGCTTAGAATTTTAGGGAAAAAATCTGCAGATTTATGCTTAATTATTTTGGGAGTATCATAACTAAAAACTTAATATGTTTACAATGCAAATCCATCTAGATCCATTTTTTTGGTAAACAAAGCAAGTCTCTAAAATAATATTTCTACTAAAAGACAGAAAATATCACTTTACACACTGCTTTGTAGTTAAATCGAGTTAACACTCACATTAGTTGATATTTTTACTGAAATTAATAAAAAACTGAATAAATATTAATTTAGACAAATTTTTACAAGTAAATGAATAGACACAATGATTCCCCGTGTGAGTCTAGTTATGAGAACACAATATACAGTTGAAGTCAGAATTATTAGCCCCCTTTGAATTTTTTTCTTTTTTAAATATTTCCCAAATAATGTTTAACAGAGCAAGGAAAATTTCACAGCATGTCTGATAATATATATATTTTTTTTGGAGAAAGTCTTATTTGTTTTATTTCATCTAGAATAAAGCACTTTTTATTTTTTTAACACCATTTTAAGAACAAATTATAAGCCCCTTTAAGCAAACTTTGAACAAATTTTGATAGTCTACAGCAGTGGTTCTCAAAGTGGGGGTCGGGACCCCCTGAGGGGTCGTGGGACAATCAAGGGGGGGGTCGCCTGGTGATTTCAAAAAATCTTTTTTTTTTTTTTAAACCATAAGAATTACCATAGGTTATCCAAAACCCACTCAAGAGAAAAAAAATTGTTGTCTATAGTTACTATATGCTTTATAGTTACTATATAGTTACTATAGTAGCTTATAGTTACTAGTTCTATTGGAAAGTGACCCCTGGGGTAATTACATTATATTAAATGCATTTATATGCATTTATAACCACTGTATATATAACAACCTGAGAGGATATTGGGGGTCGCGAGTCACTGGCATTGTCATTTTGGGGGTCGCTGGCTGAAAAGTTTGGGAACCCCTGGTCTACAGAACAAACCATCATTGTATGATAACTTGGCTAATTACCCTAACCTGCCTAGTTAACCTAATTAACCCAGTTAAGCCTTTAAAACTCACTTTAAGCTGTATAGAAGTGTCTTGAAAATATCTAGTCAAATATTATTTACTGTCATCATGGCAAAGATAAAATAAATCAGTTATTAGAAATGAATTATTAAATCTTTTATGTTTAGAAATGTGTTAAAAAATCTTCTCTTCATTAAACAGAAATTGGGGAAAAAAATAAACAAGGGGTTTAATAATTCTGACTTCAACTGTATATTGATATATACAAAACATAAGAATATATTTTGAAGAAATGGAAATGGAAGTACGAATGGAAAGTAAATGGTTACAGGTTTCAGCATTTTTCAAAATGTCTTTTGTGTTCCACAAAACAAGTCAAACAGGTTTGCAACAGGTGAAGGGCTGATTAAATGATGACAATTTTCATTTTTGGGTGGACTATCCCTTAAAGCCTGATCCAATTCTGATAATTCTAATAATTGTTTATGACATAAATCTATGACAGCTTTCAGATCTTTGGAGGGTAAAGCACTTAAGCTCTATAGATAATGCTTACCAATGGCATTCTGGAGGCACAAGTTTACCAAGCTCCTCCAGGGATTTTTCTGAGCGGTATTCCTGAAATGAATCAGAACACAGCTAATGTCCAGCACTCTTAAACTCTCACTAGAGTCATTTATACTTAAAAAATGTTAAAAAATGGTGTATACTCTGAGGTTTGCAGCTACTCATACTAAGTACGGTAAAATTGGTTAACGTCATCAGTGTTTGTAGGATTTACCTGTACAAAGGCAACTGTAACAACGATAATAATGGCCTGTAAAAGGAAAAAAACAAGCATTAATGGACCGATCCGGGAATTGCAAGAAAATACAAAATCTAACAGATAAGAGTGAGCAGGAACTTACCACGGTGATACTGACGGCATCGTCAAACTGTCGCATCAGCACACTAATAACAGCGGACGACAGCAGCAACAGGATGAGTGGGTCTTTAAACTGGACAAAAAGAAAAAGAAAAGACAGGACATAAAATAACTTATAAAGTTATTACTTAAAAAGACTTATAAAATAAAAAATGACATTCGATACCACAGACACACACAGAAAGACAAAACCCAATGATTTGCAGGTCTACTGTTCTCAGAAAAAATGCTGTGTGTGAGGCTAAAAAAAAAAACTGACCTAATGTCAGACAGAACATGATCAGATAATTTTTTGCTCTGCCCAGTGGAAACAGTGAATGAGTAGCATAAATGGAAATATCACATCACTTTTCACGACATTGAATCAGCTCAGAACACTGATAAACATTTGTGTACAATTCAATTTTTTAGCTCATTTAACTGTTAAATCATTTCATTTTGATTTTGCAAAACAGATTTTTAATCAAACTTTTCCTAAGCCCCATGAATGAGGGCACAAAGTATAGAAGTAATGTTTATTAAACTCAGTGAATGTGAAATATGGACGCAATCAGAATTTTTAAAAACTGGGTACAATGAGGTGCCAATGATCCAATTCACCATCGACCAGCAAACCTTAAAAGTTCATTTAAAACTGTAAAACATGAACAAATTACTTTCTTCATACACCCCCCAAAAATACTTTTGCTGCTTGTTCAAAGTACTTATTAAAATTAATTGAAACAACATAATTCTTAAGGTTTTTTTTGGCACAACTTAATTGTTTTTACAAATTTAAGTGGATTGAACATTAAGTAATTAAGCAAACTTAATTGAAATGTTGAGACAACTTGAGGGAATTGTGTGAAACTCAGCATTTTTAGTGTACCATGAATGACCTAAGGGCCTGATTATTTCTGCAGCTATACATGGTTGTTTTGAACATCAAAATAGTGATATATATCTAAAGATTTGAGTCATTTCAACTCATTTTAAATAAGTTTTTTTTCCATTATGCTATCAGGTGTAAAGTTTATTTCAGGCATAAAATTATTTATTTATTTCACTACTTAGTTTTATTCTACTGCTGGGGCAGGGGTGCCCAATTTTTTTTCTTTAGAAGAGTCAAAAACCAAATTGATTGAGGCTAAAGGGCCGGAATAATTTGCCAACTTATTTAATATTATGTAAAAATAACTAGAAAACATTACTGTATTTTAAGTCATACAGTATACTTTTACAGTAGTTTTTGTCTTGATTTGATTTTGTAGTTCAGCAGTAAATCACCGTAACCCTCTCATACTTTCTCCCTCTCTTCTCAGATAAGTCGATGGGCCAAATCAAAGGTTACAATGCATTTATTTATTGATTTGTCAATTTGTTTTAAGTGTTTTAATTTTGTTTTTCGTCTGAAAATAGAACTTAAGTAATTTAAAGCTCATTCAGCAGCCAGAAAAAGGATTATTTTAGTGGATCATATGATTTCAAAATATTTTTTCAGCGTTTCTAGTGGAATATACCAACAAAAGTGCCTATAATCTGAAACACAGTACACTTTTTAGACAAAAAGATCAATAATGCTGTCATGCTGAAAAGAATTTAAGTTCAAATCATAGTTAAACATAAAAAAGCTCAACTAAGAAATAATTGTATTGACAATCTAAAATGTTAAGGTTACACAGGCCAGTGTATGTGTATTAAACAGAAGCTCAATATGCTCTGTAAATAATGTTAAGGGCAAATTATTCATTTTTCATTGGCTCAAATGATCATATTTACAAGTGAAACCGTTACCCTAGTTTTATGAGAATTGTTGTTTTGATTAAAGCTATGAATTTAAATTAATCGACTTTCTTCAACAAGACAAATATGCTTTATACCAGGTTGTTACGACTGAAGTTTATTTATTTATTATTGCGTATTGCATGTCTTTTTCTTTGTCCCGCCTTCTTGTTGTTTTTTCTGTAATGCCATAGGCTCTCATACCGGCGTGATCTCGTGTTCTGATTGGCTGCTGGTCTCGGAGGCCTGTATAAAAAGGAGCTTCCTGCAGGGTTCGGGGAGCTCATTTGTGCTGCGTTCGGTGCTGGGAGTGGAGCTCCTGGATTTCCCTTACCCCTCCGGCCAACGACCAACAATCAATATTGTACTAATGTTCATACATTAACCTATTTTGAGAGTTTGAGCGTGTAGGGGTGGCCTGCCTATTTATTTGATTACTTTTGAATATGTTTATGTTTAAGGAGAAAAGTAAGCTTCCTGTATTTTTCTAAAATATTAATAGGTAATTTACTGTATTTACTTTATAGATTCTTTTGTTTGTTATTTTGGCCTGTGGCCACCCTGAAGAGATGCTCATTTATATTTATTACGTTTTTTTTTTATAAATCTATTCATATATACTCTCAACTGAGTGTCTGAGATTGGTTGTCGACTGAACGGAATCTTTTGCATTAAGTTTTTGTTTTGTTTGGGAAATCCACCACCCCAGAACATTTGTTGGTCCCACTTTATATTAAGTGTCCTTAACTACTATGTACTTGCATCAAAAATAAATAAATACAATGTACTTACTGTGTTTATAATGTTTTGAAAACACTTGTGGTGCTTTTGAGTTGGGATAGAAGTTGGGTTATGGACCGGTTTGGTGGTATGGGTAGGTTTAAGGGTGGGTTAAGGTGCAAGGGATGGTCAACAGTGTATTTACAAGTGTAAATGTAATTACATACATGAATTTAATCAAGCATAAGTACAAAGTAAATACATGTACTTACACAATAAGTACACTGTAACTATTAGTGCCTATGCAAGTACATATTAGTTAAGGCCACTTAATATAAAGTGGGACCCATTTGTTTTCTCGTTTATTATGCCTATGTGGTTTTCCCCTAGACTTGGGGCGTAATAATTGGGGGCTCGTCCAGGATGGACTAGATAAAATAGTTTTCATGGAGATAGAACATTTTGTTTTAAGCAAATTATTTATCATTTATTCAAGTGATAAATTTTAGATGTGAACCATAACGATAAACTGTATTAATCAGATGAATGAAAGCTTTTTTCCAGTGCAGAAACAGAAGCTTGATTTAAATAACCACAAGTTTTACAACAAACATCATGGTAAAAATATTGCAAAACTATTTGCAAGGGATCGCAAAGCCATAGTTCATTTGTGATTACCATGTTTAACCACTGCAACCACATGCATTGTTGGTGACACTAACCATAATTTCACCATCGTTTTTATGGTAAAACTGTGGTAATGCAAATGGTAGTCTACACACATAGTTAGGTTAGATATAGCAAGGATAACCAGTGGCACCTGAAACTGCTAATGTAACGACACGCTGGTAAATTGCTAGAAAGTGGAGATTAAAAAGAGAGGAGTGTGGCTTACTTTCTTTGATTGGCCACACACAGAGAACAGCGCTTTAATCTATGACAGGATCTGACACCCGTGGATCACGCCGCCCGCATAACCGCCAATTAGCAGCGGCACACAAGATGAGCTCATCACTTCTTTTGAGCGAGCGATACGGCAGGCTTTTAAAAACCTGACCGCAGTCGTGCAGTAACAGGCAGGTTACACGTATAAAGGCAAAACAAACAGGGTCGTCTGCTGTCTGCTAAAAGTGCTTCTCTCTTATGTCTACTGTGACACATCCGGATTTACACCATGGCTTTGTGCTCAGTGCTGGTGGTGCGGTGATAAAAATACCATAGAGAATTTGAATAAATCTGAAGAAAGAAAGAAGGGAGATTATTTTAAAGTGGTGCTGGTAGTTGCGCCTGACAAAAAAAAAATGTGTCTGATACGTTCTGGACTGTGAAGCGCAGAGCGGTAAAGAGAGAGAGTGTCAGAAAGCAGGGAAAAAAAAAAACTTAACAGAAAGCAGAGAGACTAAGGGAGGTCGGCACATCCCAAAGCAAAAAGCAAATGTGAAGTGACAGATTAAAGGCATGACAGCTTGTTTCTCTAAAACCGACTCTCCGAGAGACTGTGATACCTCAGACAGCCTTGTTCACAGACTCGCAACACTTTTTACCTCAGTCAAAAAAACAGTACTTTCTACTCAGCAAAGGTAAGACGAAGGTGAAGCAGGAAACTTGAGCGTTTGGCTGCGTCAGAGAATTAGTATAATAGCAGGTGTTTGTGAGTGTAGAAACAAAAAGATTAGAGGTCATGAGAAGAAAAGGCCAATCCTTCTCCACACGCTGTAACATACACCACCCCGTTGCCTTCAAAGTTGTGACACGACATATTTGAGCTACAAATTTTTTCCTTGCTCTATGACCAGAGTAAGGTAAGTAACTTCAAAATCATTTATTACTAATTAATTGTTAGGTCATTTAAATTACATTTAAATGACTTTTCTGATTACTTTGTCTGAAAAGTAACTTACACAATAAGTACTTTAATTACTTGACTCAATAATAAAAATCCAGACAAATCTAACACAGACTGTTTCTTAAGTGTCTAAAGAAGGATAGATATAAATCTATCTTTAGATGAAATTTTGAATTATTATGCAAACTATCTGAATAACAAAAACTATATACAATTACTGTGGTTCTCTGAATGTATATCTTATATTGTGATGGACTAATTTGTTAAATCATTTTCTTCCTACAGAGTTTCTGCAGATATCATAATGTCAAATTTAATATTTTTAAGACCTTTTTAAGGCCATTAAGTATTAAATTTAAGACCTATATTGCAATGTCAAAAACAGAGAAAATGCTAAATAAATAAAAAAATAGTGATAAAATAAATGTATTCAAGTTAAGCAATACTAAAAACAGGTTTGACAAGCAAACAAGCATCTTAAGGTTGATTTATACTTCCACCTGGCGCCACAAATGGACTAGGCTTTTATACTTGATGCGTTCGCCATTGAGATATTCTTTTAAATGACAGGGGGCGGTCAAAAGAAACAGACAGTACAATCAGACGGATTAACAGAGAAATAGAACGTTTCCAGAACTATATCATATCATTAATATCATTGAAGATTTTTAAACTAAAGCCGAAAAGAAAATGAATAAATGAATGATTATAAGGATTTTTATAACCATTCAAGATTTTTTAAAATCTAACTTTGATGCATCACTTGCTTTTGTTTATATTTTGGACAGTTCTACCTATTAAAGTGAAACATTAATGACAACAGAAAATGGGTTGCTCTACAAATATTTTTTATTTTTATTATGGCAAGAATAAAGTAAAAAGTACACTTACTAAAATTACTGACTTTTTTATCCTTATTTTGCCCTCTCACCAATTCACACATTACTGTCTGGCTAGTTTCTGTCCTCTACTTATAACCTGACCATTATCACCAATAAAGCCGAGAAATTGCCCATCAATATACTGTAAACGTTAGCCCGAGTCTCAAAAAATTTCATGAGCTCTGCCAGCCGAAATCATGTCAAACACACCCAAAGAGAACCTCCGCAAACACAGCGATGACGTCACATTTGCAAATAACAGAAATGCCAGAAAGCAGAGATCAATAACAGAAACCTGACTGGCTATTGCATGTTGGTCTTATTTGTAGTTGTAATGCCAATTGGACTAGTGAAAAAGGACTACAACATCACGAAAACCCAGCAACAACTAAAAAGAATTAAAATGAGCATTAAATGTAGCGATACATGGACATCGGAAAAATAAGACCTGTACAAAAATATTTAAGACCTAGAACAGCGACTTGAAGGCTTAAAATTTCGATTTTTAAATTTGAGACTTTAAGACCCTGCAGAAACCCTGTTCCTAAGCATATTCAAATGTCTTGATAAATGTCGTCTTTTCAGTTGAAAAATAGAATATTCAGATTTTCATTATGTACAATAATTAAGAAAGTATATTATAAGTGTAACGGATGCCAGCTACCAAATTGCTTTAAAAATACATTTTATTTGTGCTCACCGTTTGCTCTAGAGAAAGATTTGTGCTTAATTTCTGAATTTTTGAAAACAAATTCGAATAAATGTATAAGTTAATGTTTCAGTTCCTAACACTCACTGCATTTTAGCAGTAAGAAGCTACGATACAGATTACTGAGCAGAAGCTTGACTACAAAATTAAATCGCAATGTCAAAAAAAAATTATAATTAAATTAAAAAAATAACAATAATAATAATAAAAAAACACAGCCCTAACAGTTGGGTTTCAAAAGTAACAAATTAAATCTAATAAAAAGTAATCCTTGACTTTTTAACAAAAAACTGATAACAGTAGCTAATGTAATTAATTACATTCAACACTAGCTATAACTAAGTAAGTATACAGACATGCTCAGCAAGTATAGAGAGATTCGTCAAATGTGCCACTCTGCAAGGCAACCCACAAAAGATGAAGGTGATAGTGTGCCACCTTTAAAAAAGTAATGAGGGGGAAAAAAATACAATTCCTCCCAGTTGTAATGCTATATTTAGCACAAGCCTCGTGACCAGTGCAGGGACTGGAATTCTTCACAGAGGACAGTGGCCTGTCATTTCTATATTGGACGAAAAAACTGGATGAACTGGGTCACTTTACTGCTTTGAGGCATATTTACAATAGTTTTATTCTTAACAATAAATCTCACACTTTTACACTGCATAGAATGACTTTTATGCTAAAAAAAATAAAAAAATGGATTTGGCCAACAGGGCAGTGAAAATATAATTGTTTAATTAAATAATCATTAAAATTTATTCTAATGCAGGCTTCAAATGGGTTTCCACAAGTGTAAACTAACAGCTTCACATAGTATTTATGACGTCACTGTAAGCATATGTACTGCATCACGGCAGTACATGCATACTCCATAACATATGCATATATGTGTCAAAGTTATTATTATATAATTTATTTGTAAGCACTTCACATGCTTCACAACCTTTATTATCTGTCTTGTGTCATCCACTGATGCACACAAATGAGGGCAACTTGGGTTTGATTGGGGGTTCATAAATAAACTTCCTTGGGAAGAGCAGATGGAAGAGGCAAACGAAAGGAAATGCTTAGTTATGGTATTAAAGTTCTTAAAATTTCTGTCATTTTTTGCATTACCGCATACATATTGCATTTGCAAGTTCATATTGAATAGATTTTTTTTCATGAGGAAAGAATAGCTACACTGCTGCCAACTGTATAGAATGTGGCTTAAACAAGCAATACATCATCTAGGATCAACATCCTGTACTGCAACATGAAACAAAAGAATCCTATCATCCACCTTAGGCTATAAAAAAATCATGTGATAAGGCTTGGCGGGATGACTGTCATTCCATGAAATACTTCCAGGAGGCTCATAAAAGTAGCTTTCAGTGATTTTCTGAATGAATACTCTGTAGATGAAAGCATACTATCATCTTAAAAACTTAAAGAAACTTGTTCATGATTTTATGACCAGCAGGGTGGATTACTGTAACAGCCTCCTAACTGGCCTTCCTAAAAAGGCAGTCCCACAGTTGCAGCTCATTCAGAACGCTGCTGCCAGGATTCTGACCAGAACCAGAAAATCAAAGCACATCACACCTGTGCTCAGGTCTTTACACTGGTTCCAGGTTACATTCAGAATAGATTTTAAAGTATTATTGCTTGTTTATAAATCACTAAAAGACCTAGGACCTCAATACATTACAGATATGCTCAGTGAATACAAACCTAACAGATCACTCAGATCATTAGAATCAAGTAAATTAGAAATTCCATAAGTTCAGTCAAAGCAGAGTGAAACTGCCTTCAGCTACTGCACCCCCCGCTGCTGGAATCAGCTTCCAGAAATGATCAGATGTGCTCCAACATTAGTCACGTTCAAATCAAGACTGAAAATGCATCTGTTTAGCTGTGCCTTTACTAAATGAGCACTGTGCTGCGTCTGACAGATATTTTTTTTTCTTGTGTTTTCTTTTAAAACTGGCTTCAACTGGCTTTCATTTTAAATCTGTTTTAAACACTTTTAATTCTTCTAATCTTTTTTACTTTGTCTCTTTTATTCGTGTTTATGTAAAGCACTTTAAATTACCATTGTGTATGAAATGTGCAATATAAATAAACTTGCCCTGCCTATATAAATGAATAATAACCAATGCTTACAGAGTTGATCAATCGTTTCATTTTCAATGTGTTTTTGTACTATAAAAACAGTCTGACGACAGAATTAGCAAGTTAATGTTGGTATAGCATTGTTTTTTTTAAAGCCACCAAACCTGAGAGAGATATTTTTTCCAGAGTGGTTCATCTTCACTGATGTCGAACTCGTTCCACCCGTGGTATGTGCGGCGTCGTTCAACCTCCTCCCGGTTGAGACCAAACTGCAGGTCAGCCTGGCAGAGGGAGAGAGAGCGGGAGAATTAAGTCAGAAAAATGCTGCCTTCCCAAAATAACATTCATCAGATGCGTAACCATGACAACTGACATTAACCACTAACAAACAAGAACGCCGGAGCCATGGAAACAACTAATAAAGCCAATGTCCTGGAACTTGAGCTTTGGCAAGTCTACTGTTAGACAACTGTCAGAAATTCTGCAAGAAACACCTTGAGACCAGAGCACTGTATCCTGAACCTGAAACACCATAGAACAGGGATTCTGCACGTTTGATGAGAGTAAATGACAAACTTTAACACCATCTAAAGTAAACAATTCAAGGGAAAACAATACAGCAACATGTTGAGAACTTCAGTTAGGTCCTAATATTTTTGGCTTCATACACCAACACAATGGATTTGAAATGAAACAAACAAACAAGATGCTCTAACTGCAAACGGTCAGCTTTAATTTGAGGGTATTTACATCCAAATCCGTTGGACAATGTAGTAATTACAACAGTTTGCATATGTGCCTCCCACTTGTTAAGGGTCCAAAAGTAATAGGACAATTGGCTTCTCAGCTGTTCCATGGCCAGGTGTATGTTATTCCCTCATTATCCCAATTACAGTGACTTTTAAATAAACTTCATTTAAGTACTTCAAGTCTTGACTGCCTCTTATTTAAATACTTGGGTGTGGAACTACTTGATAAAAATATTTTAATACTAAACCACACAATTTTCATTTTATCAGTTCAAAAATTTATTAAATGAATATTTTTATCAAACGGGTTGGACAAATTTTATAACAAGGTTTCATTAGTAAATGTATTGACTAACATGAACTAATAGTACTGATTTAAAACCAGATGAAAACAATTCTTAAGGTTTTTTGGGACAACTTATTTGTTTTATGTTCAATCTACTTAAATTTGTAAAAACATTTCAGTTAACTTTTGTTCAGTTAAGATTTGAGTTGGGACAACATGATGGAATTGTGTGGAACCCAGCATTTTTTACAGTGTACTTGTACAGCATTGTTTTAATCATGTACTAATGCATTATTAAAATCCAAAGTCATAGGCACCAATGCTGACAATAATCATTTAAAATTATGATAATGAAACTATGTTTTACTTTAAAACGAAATGTCAGAACTAAAAACAATTCCTCATAAATATTAATTATATGATTATACAAATTTAAGGCTTGCTGTGCGGATTTTTAGACCTAATTAAGGCCTTAATTCACTGAAAAGCAAACCTAAAATTTGAAGACTTTACGACCAGCGAAAACTTAATAAATGCTTCATCCTGCTGTAATATCATGGTTAAAATGGTGCCGAGTTCAAGCTAATTTGTACAACAAACAGGAAAGCCACAAGGTCTCCTTTTGCTGTTTTCCATATACTGTCTACACTCAATAAACACCAAAAGGAATTGTTCGTTGATTGTTCATGTTAGTAAATAAAATAACATTAACTAATACATCCTTGTTGTAAAGGGTTACCAACAAGTTTATACTTCATGCAAAACGAGATGGCAGAGTGTGGGTCATAAAAATCTAAAGCAAAAGTCCCCATCTTGCATATAGGAAGCATGCACACTATAAAACACACGATCACTGTATCACATACACCGTGCATCCCACAGACGTAACACAATAAATATGGAAATCTGTAATTATAAGGTTGAATCAACATCTCTGAATGACATCCTGAATACAGTTAATTCTCAAGAATGGTGACTCACCACGTTTACATGGACATCAGTAATCATTTACTCTTATCTAAATAAGGCAATCATATGATCAATGAGTTTATCCGACTTGATTTTAGAACGTTCCTTCATGTTCCTGTTTAAATTTTATAGTACATAAATCCAATAACATCAATACGTCACCATGCTATCCAATATTTACTCTGGCGTTTGAAGTAATTTCAGGTGTTTCATTTTTAATTTTTCAACTTTGTTTCATCCAGCAACATTACATTAACGCCACAGAGACAAACTCGTATTGACCTTATTCTAAAATGCGGAAGTGCGCCTGTTTTCGCGATTGTCTTAGAACTTCCGATTCAGTCGCCTATAGGAAAAATGACAAGGAATAATAAACGGCAGAAAATGGCCAAACTACTTGCTCAACAAACAAATATTTGCATGACTACACAGACCAAGTAGCATAATATAATAAGAAAATATTAAATTGCAACATCAAGCAGCGTAACGAGCAGTTGTTAACGTCAAAAAATGAATGGAAGTGAATGTGACCGGAAGTCGCGAGACAAAAAGATTCAAATGGCAGCGCCCACTCGTCAGCTGAGAATAAGGTGAATAGGTTGTGAAAAGTCCTACACGACACTAAAAGTCTGATTAAAGTGCTTACATGTCAGTACTGCACTTTAATGATGTGACTAAAATATAGGAATATTCCACAAGTCTCAATTCTTTAAGAATACACTGAGGCTGACTTCAAGGCCATCTTTACCATGAGGATGAGAGCTTCAGCTATCTTGACTTGTTTTTAGGATTATTTTCTACCGCATTCGTCGTTGTCCAACTCCTCGTAGTGACCCCTTTCTCCATCATTGCTTTAAATAATGCAAAGATCTCACAAAATTTCATTTTAAGGGGTTATTTTACAAAACCGTTGAGAAAGTCGAAAATTAAGCTGTCATCCTCTTGGCGGTGTAACCGGAACTCCACAAGTCTCAACTCGATTTGTGTTAAATACGATTATAACTCCAGTCATAATAATGTCACCAAAAATCTCTGTTTACATGGTAGACTCTTAATCAGAGTACTGTCCTAATCATATTAGAAATACCCATGCAAACATAGGCAACAATGCTGGTGATGATTATTAAAAGTATGACACAGAAATTATGTTTTATTTTAAAATAAAATGTCAGTACTAAACAATTCAGTATGAAGATCAAGTATATGATTTTACAAATTTAATATTTGCTGTGCTGATTTTTACTTATATTTAAGGCCTTAATTCACTGAAAAGCAAATTAAAGATTTAAAGAGTTTAAGAAACCCTTATAAATGCCTCATCCTGCTGTAATATCAGGGTTAAAATGCTGCTGAGTTCAACCAAATTTGTACAACAAACAGGAAAGGCACAAGGCCTCCTTTGCTTTGCATATTCTGTCTACACTCGATAAACAATGCAGCTTCTGTTGGCGGACAATATAAAAACATGCTCTGCTTTATTTTCTATGAAAGTTGCATTATCCAGGGCGCATTATTCAGGGCTTAAGTGCTTCCTGCGGCTGAACGTTGATGACAGTGGTTGAATAAGGGTCTTCTGGGAGCAGATGGTCATGTCAGTGGGGTGATGGACATGGCACTACAAGCTCCATCATCCACACTGAGACAGCCAGAGCATCCCGGCAGTCTCTAATCTTCCTGATGTGATTCATTAAAGGACACCATAAGGGATATACTTTGAATTCCTCAGTGTCATGGCATGCAGTCTATGCTTTCTTTGTCTGTTTGACTACATGAAGAAATGTACCTGCTGCCATTTGTACAGGCGGTGACTAAAAATAATAACGTGATTTAAACGAGCAATTCCAGGATCAACATCCTGTTTTGCCCCCGGAGCACAGTTTCAATAGGTTGCCAAGGGTTATGAAAATTAAGTGGTAATAATATTTGATGAGACAACGGATCCAAGACCAGCAAAGGATATTTATTTATAACTCATTTAAAGTCATCAGTTAATATTATTCCTAGAAATCCTTCCAAGATGTTCCTAGAAGTTGCTTTTCTACAATACCCGATACTCATTGGTCAATTGTAGGACTTTGCAGGCAAATATTTATTTAGTATTAGTATAATAGCTACTTGACATTGTTATTTCGCAATAATGATGGACTGTTCTTAATTCCACTGGTTATATTTGAATAAAATCTACTTTTAAATTTGAAGGGTCTAGAAAACGTCACTGATATGTTTTACTTAGCTCTTTAAAAAGTACAATTTAGCTATTAAATACATCAATGCTGAGACTTTTATTTTAGTCTGTTGATGGATTTCCAACTTAGATGGAATACTCAGAAATAGGCAGGGCTTTCTTTATGTGAATCATTCCCTTGGTTATGAGTATTGTGGCTGAATTTGTCAAACTGATGTCAACAGAGAAGGACCGCCACTCCAAAATAAACTTTTTTTTTTTTTTTAAATGCTTGCACAAATTAATTGTTAACCTTAACAAGAGATCCCCAAACTAGGGCCTGCGGGCCAAACTTGGCCCATGGTAACCTTTGATGTGGTGTAAATTTACCAGGTTTTCTTTAAATGTACATAATGTCACCCGAGAATGCAAAGACTTTGATAGTAAATCAAGTCAAATTCAGAATCTGCTTGAATGGTGTATACTGCATTGAACTTCACTGTGTTATAAATGTTTTTTTTGTTTTTGTTTTTTAGCAAAAAGTTATACTGAATTAGGTAATTTGATTTAAAGTAAAGTTTACTATTTATTTAAAAATATTGGAAAATAAATCAGGAAATGACCCACATCAACTTTAATGTAAAATTGTTTTGTATATTTACCTTCGGCCCACGGCTCTCAATAACTTCTTTTTTGGCCCTACATACAAAAAAAGTTTGGGCAACCCTAAAGAATAACAATGTGTGCTAGTAAAATAAGCATTGTAAATTTTGATTTTATACAGACTTGGGTAAAACCATGGTGCTTTGTCATTATGTCATTCAAATATTATTCAAGTCGGCACCAATGGCCTAGTGGTTGGTGCCCCGACTTCGTTTCCTGGCTCGATGTCCTTTGCCGATCCTTCCCCTATCTCTGCTCTCTACACTTTCCAGTCCATAAAATCTCCATTGTACTATACCAATAAAGGTGAAAACAACAAAAAAAAATTATAATAAATAGTATTCAATTACTTGCTATTCCTGTATGCGGCAATCTACAGTATACAAATAAAACTAAATTGTGCTTATGCTCTCACTTTAAATAAAGAAAATTGACTTTTCAGATTCTCTGTTTAATGTACACCATTATGCAACAGGAAGCTTGTGAATTGCAAATGTTTGTCATGCTTAAAACCATTTGACAAGGTTGTGTATTCAGGATAATAATGTTATAAATAAATTTTTTTTTTTTTTGCACAGAATAATCTTTTCTTTTAGTAACATAGGAATATAGAATATGTAATGTCTTCTCATAGGCAGTAGGCAAGAGTGTAACTTTGGTTTTGGGGTCCAAAATGGGGAAAATGTTTTTGAATTAAATCCCATTACCAACATTTACATACATTTACTAGAGAATATGGTGATATAAAATGCAGGAAATGATTAGGTTTATTCAACTTTTATTTCAAACTAAGCTAAAAAAAAAAATATATATATATATTTTTTTTTTAAATGTAAAAAAAAAAAAAAAAAAATGTTGAATCGCTATATGGTGTAATATCAGTTGCAGATATACAGATGCTAAATTACAATGAAGGCTAATTATATCAACATTTTCAGCATTACTTTAATAATTCTATTTCGTGGATGAATATTTACTATTAGTAATAAAAAAAACATTCCTTGGGCAACACAAACTCCTAAAACAAGGATTATCCTTAAATCAATCAAATGAACATTCTCCAATCCTATCCTAAAAAACCATCTCCTTTTGTTATGCATGTTGTTGACATCAAAGTCATCTGATGCTGCTGATCGCTGACAGTGCTGAAGCTCCTGCTCATTCAAACAAAGTGAGCTATTGTAGTGAGCTATTTTAGGGGAAATTACGCCCCTAGCAATGCTATTACTTTTGTTTTGCCTCTATATGTTTTTTGACTACTAAAGTGCTGAAAGCAGTGAAAAGATTGATGAATCACCGTGGACCACAGTTTTACCTCAAACATTACTGTTCAACTGAAGGAAAATTCAGCTACATCTCAGAGGAGCCAGTTGAATTTAGTTGAACAGTGTTTTTTTAAGACTGCTTTAGTTTTATGTAAACCTTTTTGCAGGACTCTTATTTGAATTCCATAATAAACAAATATACAAAAACAATCATGTAAACATGGCATATAATCAGGGAATATTTATCACCAGTGAGAAATTGAGTCACATAAAAAATTATATACACTTCCTAACAAAAGTCTTGTTATCAATCTCAATTGTAAGAGCAACAAATAATAACTTCTAGTTCAGTGGTTCTCAAACTTTTTCCACCAAGTACCACCTCAAAAAAAAATGTTTCTCCAAGTACCAACAAAATGACCAGTATTGAAATGAAGTAGCGTAGTTGGTCAAATTAAGCAGCTACAGCACTGCACAGTTTGAGCCAGAGGCATATTCAGATTTATACATTTTTTGATAAATTTTGAAATATATGCTGCATGTACATATGACATATTTGTAAAACTTTTTGAAATCTAAATATTAACTCGTTTTTTTTTTTTTTTTTTCAAAATAAAAGATTTTTCAAAATAAACAATCTTTCAGACTCGGACAATAAATAAAACAGAAATAATTCAGGATTTTTTGTGCGGCCCGGTACCAACTGGTCTATAAAGCGGTACCGGTCTGTGTCCCGTGGGTTGGTGATCACTGCTCTAGCGTGTATCTTCTCTGCAAGCACCACGCTTTTTTGGAAAAGCGGCAGAAGGTAGATTTTTTTCAATGAATCATCTGATAAACTGCATCCCAATCATCAAAAATACAGCAGAAAATCTATTAGAACTGACATGGATGCAAGATTCTCATACAAATCAGCCAAGTTTGGTGAAGTTAAAGTCATGGTTGGTTACATTCATTGTGGGGGCATGCGAGAGATCTGCAGAGTGGATGGCAACATCAACAGCCTGAGGTATCAAGACATTTGTGCTGCCCATTACATTACAAACCACAGGAGAGGGCAAATTCTCCAGCAGGACAGCGCTCATTCTCATACTTCAGCCTCCACATCAAAGTTCCAGAAAGCAAAAAAGGTCAGCTGCTTCAGAATTGGCCAGCCCAGTCACCAGGCATGAACATTATTGAGCGTGTCTGGGGTAAGATAGAGGAGGCATTGAAGATGAATCCAAAGAATCTTGATGAACTCTGGGAGTCCTGCAAGAACGCTTTCTTTGCCATTCCAGATGACTTTATTAATAAGTGATTTGAGTCATTGCAGAGATGTATGGATGCAGTCCTCCAAGCTCATGGGAGTCATAAACAGTATTAATTCTTTTTCCACTGCACCATGACTTTACATTCTATACTGAACATTATTTCTGTTCAGTGACAAGACTTCTGTCTAAGCAAAGTCAGAGTTTACTGTCCTACTTAAATCATTAAAAATAAAGGCATGATCATATTTTATTGTGGTAAAATAAGCGTAATCTAGACGCCTTTTCATACAAGCCACATCTGACCAACATTAAAATCAAGTTATTATTTGTGGTTCCTAAAACTTGGATAGGTAACAAGACCTTTGTCAGGTAGTGAATAAAATTGTAGATTTTATTTTTTTATATTAAATAAAGCATTCAAGCCTTCTCAAATATTGTATTTTTCATAATCCAAACAAATTTCTCACCAGTTACATCTGTGATTAAGAATAAAGCACATACCACTAACATTTTCAAAGTTATTTAAGAAACGCCATAAAGGGAAATAGCAGTCTTTAAAGAGGCAAAAATAGTTCATTTAAGAGTTACCACATGTTCACTTTTACATTTTAGATTGTAATCTCTAAAACACACTTGTCTATGGAAAGTATTGTAGGTCTCCTTAAATAGTCCTTATCCAACTGATTAAGCTGCATAGCCAGCATTTACAGTTCAAAACAATGTGTCGTGAAAGAGAACTACAACATGCTCAACAAACTCTGCTTTAACAGTGCAATTATCAGAAATTATTAGTAACAAGTCAAGATTTCAACAGTAATTAAAATAAAATTAGCTCTGGTTATTATATAATTGAGCAATACAGTATAAATAAACATCACTGACAGCAGCATGTTGATTTCTGTTATTGACATCATTATTAAACAATTAAGTCTTTAACTTTAAATAATTGTGTTTATTAATTTATTTCGGTCATCACAATTAGTTCATTTTAATAGGGATAATGACAAACATACCTGCAGTGCACAGGCAACCTCGTTCACAGGTAGTTCACTGGCTTTCTTCGAGGTCAGAACCGGAACCATGGTCTCATCTTTACTGTCGGGTTGACACTCGACAAGCTGAAGAGAAGAGAAAAACAGCTCATTTTAAAATCAGAACATCAACCTAGAAGGATATTGGCATACTGACAAAGTTATAACTCGTGTGATCAGACAAAGAAAAATATTAAAAAGGTTTCTGACTATAGAGGTAATCCACGTCAAAGTATCATCAATGCTAATGCTATCATAAAATAATCTCTCTTAAACAAACGCGAGTGCAATGTACAAAAGGATTAGAAGCCCGGAACAAACTTTGACCCCTCAATGCTGCACGTGAAAACAATAAACAAATCAAGGCAGAGCACATTTATCATTCCGACCAGACCAAAACTGTCAGAGGATGGAAGTAAAGCTGTTTAAAATCAATCAATAGTTACGTTCTCAAAAAGCAGAGACTTTTAGCTATAATAGGCAGCATTAGTTCAAGCCGCAGCAGTGCCGGACTGTGAATGGAGGAAGATCATCTGACACCAATAACTGAGCCCATCAGACACCAACTGGGGCATGTTAAGGTACAAAATGACTTTAAAATGATAGTGAAACTCACACAAAAAGCATGAACATTGTCCTATCTAGGTCTGTACCATGCATATAGTTTCAACACCGATATTGCAATGTGAAATAGGACTGCACAATATTGGAAAGATTACACACTGCAACATTTTTTTATTCTGCGATATACAGTTGAAGTCCGAATTATCAGCCCCCTTTGAATTTCGTTTTCAAATATTATAAATATTATTTTTTTAAATATCCTTAATTAAGCTTAAAAGAGCAAGGAAATTTTCACAGTATGTCTGATAATATTTTTTCTTTGGAGAAAGTGTATTTTGTTTTATTTTGGCTAGAATAAAAGCAGTTTTAAATTTTTTAAACATGATTTTAAGGTCAAAATTTTAAGTCCCTTTAAGCTATATATTTTCTTAAAGTCTACAGAACAAAATATCGTTATAAAATAACTTGCCTAATTACCCTAACCTGCCTAGTTAACCTAATTAACCTACTTAAGCCTTTAATGTCGCTTTAAGCTGTATAGAAGAGTCTTGAAAAACAGCTATTAGAAATGAGTTATTAAAACTGTTATGTTTAGAAATGTGTTGAAAAGTCTTCTCTCCGTAAACAGAAACAGGGAAAAAATAAACAGGGTCTAATAATTCAGGGAGCTAATAATTCTGACTTCAGCTGTGCGATATGAATACATTTTTAAATAAATAAACACTTTTATTGTTTTCTGAAGAGTTGAAATGTAATTAGGTATGCAGTAACTGAATAATTAAACGCAAAATAATAGTCTTCGTTTTATTAACAATTTGATAAAATTAATCGATACTTTTTTTGTTATTTACAAAGTGTACTTTTATAATTTTCTTATGATTTTCTTTCTTTTAATCAAAATTGTGCAACCGTACTATGGTTAGAAGCTCTGATACAGAATTTTGAGCTTGACTACAGAATAATGTTTGACTACAAATTTAAATCGCAAACCAAATTGAAACCGCAATATCTTTATTTAAAAAAAAAAAAAACTATTAGCAATCAGATATTTCCCCAATTGCACAGCCCTAATCCAAACTCAACATTGCTTATATTCGCCATGTGACTATTACGAATGATGATTATTTTATATATCAAGTTTTATTTTTTCTCCACTATATTGATCTATGCTTGCATTTTGTTTGTCATTATTTTTACAGATTCCCTCCTGTACATAATCACCCCAATCACTCTAACCTATTGGAATTCTTTCTAAATAGAATTAGGTTCAATCCCAATTCTACCCCTTTGCCCTTCCCTTTACCTCTACCCCTCGTTTTGTGTGTTCCCGTTAAGGGGTAAGGGTGTCCCAACTCTCTTTAGCTTGAAGGGCTAGGGCTAAGTGGAAGGGGTAGATAGCCCTTCGAATTAAGATTTTTCAGGACCACACAAACCAAGGGGTAAGAAAATTTCCCAGAATACACCAGCTGCAATGGCAGGATAGTTAAACACAGAAGTAAGGAGATCCACAAATGAGTATTTTTGACATTTTTACAACAAACTATGTAAGCATATGTTTTGAAAAATTCATAACCGCGTTCCTGTTTTACCATCATGCTTTAAAAAAAAAAAAAAAATATATATATATATATATATATATATATATATATATATATATATATATATATATATATATATATATATATATATATAAATAAAAATAAAAACCGCTAAATTTCACGATCTATAATCCATAATAATAACTCCTGTATAGCAGTCCTACAACATTCTGACACTTGAATCCCCTGTCAGAATAGTCTGGTGGCTGGGAATGGGCTTTTACAGTGTCTGCTATAATGTTAATGTTGTTTTTGTTTGTTTACATAGATGAATATGGCCACGGTGTTAAAAGCACAGTATTACAATCTTATTGCCACATCAGATCGTAATGATAACATGATATAGTTGCCTTCAGTGATTTCTTGAAGATAAACACCCAAAAATAACACAACTGGAATTATTACAGCAGTCGCAATCGTCTGATCTCATATGAAGCAACAGATCGCGAGGACATATGATGGCGTGTGCAGGTGCTGTAGTGCTGTCACAATTCTTAGGGGTAAATTTTGAAGCCCATCACACTTTGTTTTAAGGGCCAAGGAGAGGGGGAAGGGGTAAGGGTACAAAAACAGAATTGGGATTGGGCCTAATCAAACTGTCTAGTGAAACAGCATTCATATTGCAACATGTATATCAGAGAACTAGATTTTTTTTCCAATATCATGCATCCCTAGTCCTGTTCTACATTTGTTTTGCTGGATGTTGATCAGGTGAGCTAGAAAACTTTCAATGACTTTTAAATGAAGGCCATCACATAACACCAGACAAACTCACAAACAATGCATTCAGTGAGCATTCTACAGGAGAAAGGGCACTGGATAAATATATTAGATTAAAAACATTCCTAAAGAAAGCGTAAACAGCAAATGACATTGGAGAGAAATACTTGCCATTCACTTTGCAACTAGTGTGTCCTAAACTGAACTCAACTTTCGGCTTTTTGACTTTCGAGTTTTAAATTTAAATAAAATTTTTATTGAATTACTTTTATGGTTTAGTTGCTCTTGTTATCAAATGCATTTTAACAGCCACAAGAGATCAGCTACTCTCTGCCTACAATAGATGGAAACAAATTAAACATTAAAATTTAATACAGTATAATACTACTAAGTTTGTTTTCAATAAGTCAGCAAATGTAAAAAGCAAAAGTTTTCTTGAAATTTCTGATTCGGACACAAACTCACAGCATTTAGTGTGGTTATGCTGCTTTCAAGGTGAAAATGAATGCTGCTGCTCGCTGCTTTCCATTGTCTCCTTTATGAACAAGACTTTAACTCATGAATACGGCTTTATAAATAATAGAATATTAAATAACACACCTACATTAACGGAAACTCTATATAACTTAATACCCTTAAGTTCCAAATTTAGTTTTATCTAACTACTTATATTCATTTATTCAAGTGTAGTTACTACATTTAACATACAGTGACCATGAATTGCATTTCTACAGTGAAAAACAGCTTTGTGTTAAATGTGAGCAATTATTAATGTCAACGGCTTAGTTCCTGTATTAATCTGGGGTTGCCATAGTGGAATGAACCGCCAACTTATCCAGCATAGGTTTTTCACAGCGGATACCCTTCCAGCCGCAACCTAACACTGGGAAACACCCATACACACTTACATTCACACACATACACTACGGCCAATTTAGCATAATCAGTTCCCCTGTACCGCATGTCTTTGGACTGTGGGGAAAACCTGAGAACCCAGAGGAAACCAACACGAACAGGGGGAGAACATGCTAACTCCACACAGAAATGCCATCTGGTCCAGCCGGGGAGCAACCATCTTGCTGTGAGGCGATCGCGCTACCCACTCCGCCACCGTGACGGACCTATTTGCGCAGTGATAATTTTTTAAATATACAATATACAGATAGCAGAAGCTTTTATCGGTATTTTCCCTTATTGGAAAGTGGTTTAAAAGTGGACAAACGTATTAAAACACCCTTAAAACCGTCTATTTGTGATCAGATCAACCAAAGAGCATCTTAATACCAGTTGTAAGCAGTGCCAATTTTTCTTTCAAGAAAAAAAAGATATCTGGAAAATGACTCCTAATGCCATGAGAATGAATGGTGGTAAGTAACATTGATAGGATCATAATACCAGGCTAACAGTGCAACATAAAACATTAAAATGATCTCTGGTCTCCAGCACTACTTTTGACATCTCTCTCACACACCTCCTTTAAATCTAAAGTTAAAAAAAAAATGTTGCTTTGAATTTCAGAACATTCACTATGGTAGCTAGTCTTACTGTGAGATAGATACCACTATCTAGAGGGGGTTTAGATGACTAGAACTAACGAATCTAGAAACGTATGCTAAGGACCGATTTTTGTTAAAAGTCACGTTAGATATGCACAACACTGGTTAAATGAGCAATATGCAGCATTGTTGTATTGAGTGTTGCAGTAATATTTCTTGCAATAGAAAACTTTCATAGAGATATGCAATTTTATGAGCTTTTTGTCTTTTTTTAATCATTTATGTAATGTTCATATCAAAATGAACAGTAAATAGATATTTGTCTGCTCTAATTAAGGCTAAAAAAAGAAAAAACACCATGCATGACTGAAAACCTCTGCAGATATTCTCATGTTGGTATAGGCATGGGCCGGAATTAGACTCTGACAGTATGATAACCTTGGATAAAAATATTACTGTTTCACAGTATTGCGCTCACTGCTCTAAAATATATTCTTTTCAAATGTCTGGATAAAAAACAAAAACTCTTTTCTCCTTAGAAAACAATATACTCTATTTCTTGAAAGACATCATAGAGCAGTAAACACGTCAGGCTATATAATTCAAATGAATAATTGACTTCTGCTGTCTTCATTTGTTTCAAAAACACAGATTTCTATACAATTTAAAACAGCATCTTTGGATATCTTTTTTTGCTGAAGATACTGTTGTCCTAAAAAACAAAACAAAAAAAAATGTAAATAAAAAAAATAAATCGAACCAATACCTTAGCAACGGAATTACAGAAAAGGTTGGCAGTTTCAAAACCTTGACTTTTTCAAACCGGGGTGTACCTTGAAAGCTGATGTTTTTCCACTGATGTAAATTTTTCCATATGAGTTCAATTATTTGACCTTGCGCAGTAGTCGAATTTACTTCAATTGCGCGCAGCAATTGAAGTAAATTCCACGTTATTTGCGCCACCCAGCTATAATTCATCTCTATTTGCATGTTTGAATTGACTTTGTATGTCATTTACATGAACTTATACCTAATTCCACGTTTAACGTGAACCCAGCATTATTCTTATTCGCTGTTGTCTTTGTCATTAGTTTTTATTTTCGGCTCTCTGCTCGGATGGATAAACAACCAATGCACGATGACAATACTTTTACAGTCTATTGCACAATATATTGCACAGCCCTAATAAAAATGCAACTGCAAAAACTGAACTTGGATAAACCCAAGCAGAATTCTCCCAATTCCAACCCAATTCTTTTTAACGACTTATAGCCTTTACCATCATTCGCCAGACATCTCTTAAACCCATAGTGAAGTTCAGCTCCCTCTAGCTGGCATTCATTAAACTTAGAAATTAACAGACCTCATCTCAATATCTTAAGTATTAGTAACAGTAATACAAATTCTAGCAGTGGCCAGGAAAAAGCCACATTCTCTGTTGGTTTGTTTTCTAATTTTAGGCCTATTCCCAATGATTTGCATTTATGCTTGGTAAATGAGTTAATGTAATGCAGATATATTCTCGGGTCATTCCGAATTACCCAAGGTTAAATATACAGAGGCTTTGCAATAGAATGGTACTCAGGTAAACAAACTAGGTTACAATGGAAAGAACCCAGAAGGCCCTTTAAAATTGTAGGTGAAACATGCAAATCTAAACAAAATGCTACTGCGACTTTATTCTGGACAGAACTGCAAAACAGAAAGAGGAGACATGCTTAGAGTTTAAATACATTTTAAGAGCGGCACCCTAAGGAAGCACAGGATTGGCGGTAGTAATAGTAAAGAATAACAAGAACAAGAAAGACACAATAGAGCGCTTAGGAATTTTAAAATCAGTGCTACCTTTTGTAGTGAACATCATGTTATGAATCAGATCCAGCATGCTACAGCACCGCATACACCTTAGCATCTCAGAGTGTTACACATTATTCTTCCTGCGCTTTCACTCGGCAGATCCAGAGCAAAGATAAAAGAAAGTGTCTTACTGAAGATCTACAGAGTCTGAGCCTGAGCGGATTCCCTTAATTAAGAGTGGCAACAGCTTAAACCTGGATGAGCCAATCCCTGGTTCTCACCGCTCTCTGAACGCACTCTTTTAGTCTAATGAATGAGTCCTATCTTAGCTGTACAGCTCAATTTGCAGAATGACATTATTGCACTGTGGTAAAATTTTTGTACTATACAAATGCTGTTATAAAACGCATCCCTGCTCTCAGTATCACTCTAAAACATTACGATTTTTGAGGCATTTTTGTTCATTTGATTCAATGGATGTCGATCTGTTCTGTTAGGAATCTTTTAATAATTTAAGAATGAACACCATCTCACAAACAAACATACAAAGAGAGATTCGCCAAACTGGTGTAAAAAGCATAAAATATAGTGTTTTAAAAGTCTATAGAAAACAAGTGGGAGATGACATACTGAATCTCATTGCCACTAGTGCATAAGTCGAGCTTGTTCACTTTCTTATTGAGCTAGACAAAAAAAACATGACCTTGGATTTCTTTAGTGGTTTAGATGTTCATATGATTGAATGCATTTGAACAGCTAAGACAAAATATTCTGACAAACTCTCAGCATTCAGTGTGGTTGTGTGGCTATCAGTGAGGAAATGAAAATTTTTCCATTGTTTCTTTTCATGTCTTTCCGCAGACTCATTAATACAGTTTTACAGGGTTTCTGCAGGTTTCACAATGTCAAATTTAAGACTTTAAGACCTTTTTAAGACCATTTTAATGAAATTTCAACAAGCAAACCCTAGTTGTGTGCTTACACATTTAAAAAAAGTCTTTAAAAGTTATAATAAACTACACTGACAAAAATTGATTTCTGCAAAACTGTTGCAAGCAACTTAAATAGGTTGAATTTAAACAAACAAAGTAAACTTAGTAATGTTAAACTTAATTTGTTTAAATTCAGCCCAAATATTTTTACAGCCACTTAAAGTAAATAAATTTAGTAAATCCAAGGAATCATCTTTGAATATTTTTTTCCAGAGTAAATGTATACACAACAGTTTGTCCAGGTCTGTGTCCTCCCCATATACAGACTATAAATACAGAGAAATTTTGAACAAATATTAATTTGAGGATAATAATTAAACCATATTGGCAAATAGAGTTATAAACAGAGCTTTGTTAAAAGTTCTATTGAGATGAAATTTTGGTCATTAGATGCGTGTTGGCCCGATTAGGTGTTACATGGACACAGGAAAATGAAGACTTGTTTGCAATTATTTAGGACCTAAAAGACAAAATTTCAGTGAATTCAAGACTTTTTAAAGGCCTACAATTTTGTTTTTGAAATTAAAACATTTTAGGACCCCGTGGTCACCCGGTTTTAAAAGAATAAATAACAACACTCTGCAGAACAATACTCTTTACTTAACAGAAATGATTTAAGAAATTACTTACAAGATAAATAAAAAGGAGAAGGTAGTTGGAAAATATTAAGCTTGTGTTCATCCCACACCATGTTAAAATTAATTTTTTGTTAAAGAATTTTTATGTCTAATATGTCTGTTCAAAATAAATAAATAAATCAAATACTACCTTAATAAAGTCTCTGCACGTCACTCTAGTGATAAAATTCAAAAGTTAGTTATGTCAAAAAAGTTACAGCTACATATTTACATTTAATACCATTTTAACTGGCTGTAAATTATAAAGCAACTGTTAATATCTTAATAATTCCTTTAAAAATACTTTTAAAACTGTTATATTTACACGGCGTATAAATAAATACAATTAAATGTGTTCAGATTAGTTCCTCAAACCAAAAAATGCTTATAATACAAACTTGCATTACAAGCAGTAGTTGTATAGACTACATTTCTGATACATTTGGTCCATCAACTTTCTTTGAACACAAAATAATAACAACAGCTTAACCTATCAGTGTCCTTCACCCATTATCAGCAATGTTACGTGTTCCTTGAACAACTTCAATGTGCTAATAAAATGACATTTCTTTCATCACAATTGCATCATGTTTTTAATAGCAAAACTTTACATTGGTTACAAGCAAGAGCAACGTTTAGAGCAAGATAAGCCATTTATCTTCACACTCAGCTGGCGACACAAAATCGAAAATAAATAAATAAATCAAGCTTTAATTGTTATCGTGTCTCCAGGGGCCCCCTATCTGGGTCTCAATTACAAACTGTGCCTGATTCTGGAGCTGACAGAATTGGGCCACGCGCAGGTTCAAGGCCATGCAGACACAGAACAAACCGCTCTCCATTAGATGATCGAGACTGATCGTCTGCAGTCCAATGAGAGGCACAAGGTCACGCTAGCTCCAGCAGGGCCTCCGCAGAGCTAAAACCGCATCAACCTCTCTTCACCTTTTAAACAGTGCTAGGGTAGGAGCTTATACGCATGCATGTGGTATGAGAAGAATCTGCTAAGAAATACCAAGTGCATAAAGGTAGAAGGAAAAGTGCTGTTCAGCTAAAATCACAGATGAAGCGTCCTTGGCCCTGACCAGGTCCAGGGCTGCACAACATATTGTTTTAGCATTGATATAGCAATGTGCGAATCTGCAATATACATCTCAAGATTTTCAATGTCGACTTGGGAATGCAATTAACCTAAAAACAACAGTTCAGAAAGTGCGGAACGTTTAACCCTAATAGAGTGAAGGGTTCATTAAAGGCCTGTGGCTGTAACTGTGCATTCACATGGAAAGTAGCAAGAGTGTCAAAATCGTTGGAAGTCATTCATTTTCAATGGGAGCCAGCGGCGAAGAGCGTCGTGTTTTCGCTGGTTTGGAAACGTTGAAGTCAACTTTATGGTACTAATGAGCTATGACAAAGTTCAGCAGGAAGCAATCGGAATGTTGAAGTCTACCATTTGAGAGGATTCCAGAGAACACAGTCCTGTGAACTTTGGTTCCGACCACAGTTGTTCCCAAGGGTTTGATTATTACGGTTGCCTAGTTTTCAGTTATTTACAATGTTTTCATACAGTGGCATACATAAAAAGGACGAATTGATTTGCATTAATATTTTTTTTTCTCTTAAAAAAAAAATGGGAATTTCACTCTAAGTATAAGGACAGTATTGATGCTTCAGAATATTTCAGACATACGGACACATATTGGATAAGTGGAGCAAAGCCACACTACACACAACAACTTGATCTTCCAAAGTGAAATTAATTTGATAGAAAGCGTGCAACATTTTTACGCTAGAAAGCTTGTTTTTTTATGCAGGAATGTAAGTGATTTGCTGAAATGCTGCAACGGCCACCTTAATTCAAGATTAAATATAGCAATTTTGGCGCTCTTGCAGCCAGAGCTATGAAGGCAGACAGCGTTGTCGTCAGGGTGGCCAGAGCAAACTTTGTCACTCTCGCTACCTTCGGGGTAAACTCACAGTTAGAGTGCTTTCACACCTGTAGATGGATTGTTTTGTTCTAAACAAGGATTAAAATTTGTTACAATGTTGCTCTTTGTTCTTGGTGCGGATCGCTTTTACACAGCAAAGTTTCTAAACGGACCAAAATAGCTAAAATAAGTCACGTGCAAGTAAACTCTCCACACATTGGTCAGAGTTCCACGGTTTATTTATTTTATTTATGACAATGAGCCATAAGACTTTATAAGCAAAAAGCTCTGCTTTCATTTTGAATAGTGACACCCACAGAAATCGTCACCAAATAGAATTAGCTAGAATTATGCATTATAGGCTTTACATTTTAGTGAGAAGTAACAGATAAATCAAGACTGCTGTTTGGTCAAACAGACAAACAGCTCTCCTTAATAGTTCAGCATGCTTTCACTTTCATATTTGACATGAAACGCACATTTAACCGGTAGGATTGAGGACATCCCGCCCTACTCATTCTCTTTTCATCCAGCCATATATGCCTGTTACATATCCATAACACACGGTGATACAGCCTGGTTCATTAGGTAAGTGGATCGTACTGCTTTCTTACTACAATCCATTCACTTCAGAGTTCGTCTGAATTGAGCTGAGACCACCTCATTCAAGCATTCTCGAACTGATTGTTTTAGCGCAGATCCGTGCGTGACTGCTATCAATGAATGAATGAATGAATGAATGAATGAATGAATGAATGAAAATTTCATTTCTTGCTGCCAAAGTTTAAATATTCTACAATTAAGACTACAGAAGTCAAGTGGTTCAAAGGTTTCCAAATTTGTCAAAAATAGGTGTGAGCAATTCCATGCAAATGTCAACCTTGCTATGAAAAACAAAGTATTAACAAAAATAGCAAAAGCCTTTCTAAGTTTGTGTAGGCTTGACTTTTACAGTACTGTAAAAATGTGTCCCTCAGTGTTTTCAAACAATTATATTTGATTTACCAAATTCACACAAGTGGCAATTTCTGCTGTAACATCCATAACAGAGCTTTTTCCTCATAAACACAAAAATGTCAAATAAAAAAAAAATGATCAGTTTTGTGCTATAGAGAGCCAACTCTTTTCCATGATTAGCATTATTTCTTTTGGGTTGTGTAGTTTAATTGTAAAATGTACTTAATCTACTGTACTTGCATACTTTTTTGGTCATATGTATAACAAGCTTATTTTCCTTATCTAACCTCTTAAGGCCCAAGGTGTTTTTTACATGCATTTTTTTAGAGAAAAATTATGTCCATATATGTGGACTCGTGGTCTGAATTTACATAACACTATCCTGATTGTTTTTCAATGCATTAATAACACACAGTTTTTATTGAGTATGTTTTGACTATCAGAGACTAAAAATTTTTGTTCTCATTTTGGACAGTTAAAAATAGTGTTTGGGACATTTCATACGCTGCAAAACAGTTGCAGAATGACACTGTATGTCTGTAACAAAATATAAAACATTCTAAGTATTTTAAATGGCTACTTAAATGTGCTATCCACTTATGTGGCCACTAAGCCCTAGGAGGTTAAAATGTGAAAAATGTTTACGAATTGATATTTTTCTGATCCTATAACTTTGTGGTTAGTTGTAGTAGTAG